AAAATTATGGAATTAAAACCTTTTGTTATTATTCAAAACCCCTTAATTAAATTTTACATCAGTAAAAAACAATACTTATAATAACTTGTAATATATATCCATTTATTTCATACTTTAATAAAATAAACTGAATTATGAAAAACAAGACTTTACAAACATTTTAACAGACAATAATTTATATCACTATTAGCGATTATGACAAGCCTTACTTACAGTAATATTGAAAAGTATATTGAAAAATAGCACAGAACGCTTGAGGATCGGAATAAACCTAGGTCTGACAAATAAATTCAGCTATTTCAAGGCGAAAAGAAGCTACTATATTCAATGATTTTTCAACTAAATGACGGATGAGAATTGGCACTTTTACAAACTTTTATTTTTATTGTAACATGCATTAAAATTTGTTAGTTTATTATGTTTTTTCCAATGAAAAAAGAAGTGTACTCCAAATCTATAAAGCAATAAACTGAAAAATAATACGTGACATTTCGATTTTTATAGACAAACTATGCATGTGTAATTCATAATTTTAATGTTAAATGATATTAAATAAAAGGCCTAGTCACCTATTTTAAGAAATAGACCTATTTAATTGCACAAAACTTGATAATCAAGATCAAAGCAAATGATGATTTTCCTACTGAACAAAACATTGCAATATTTCACATGAAATATTACTTAATTATTGTGGACTAACATAACTGATTTATCAGATGAAAGAAAATAGTATGAAATACATTCCAAGAATTGTATTAATTTCTAAGATTATAATTTACATGGGTAAAACTGCATTTTACCCGATATTTTGTAAAATTTGGAACAAATCTATCGGAGTTTTTTTCTCTTTTCAAGAAAATAAGGTTTTACAAGTTCTACAAATTTAATTGAAATTGACTATTTTTTAAATTTAGATAATTAATGTCTGGCAAATATTAATGTGCAAAAAGTCAACAATTTTTGATGAAGTATATATTTGATCTAACAGATGACCTTTTTAAAAGTGCTTTGGACTTGATTCTCAGGAGTTGTGTTCCAACAAATTCTTAAGAATCCACCAAAGATTGTTATTTTTTCTAGATTGATTCTTAATGATGAGATCTTATCACATTTGATCGCAGTCTCTTTATATTGCTGCGTTAAAGGAGTATAAATTATTGTACAAATTTAAAAACATCATGAGAGGAGTTCCAGATCAAATAATTTATTATTTCAATTAATTATTCTTTTTATCTAAGGTTTTTGGTTGAGGTGAAAAATTAGTGGCACAAGTGGGAGTCAAATCCATGACATTCAGCTCAGTACACCACTGCCTTAACTTAAGCAATCATGATATAAGTGGTTAAAGCAGCAGTGAATTGAGCCGAAGGTCATAGGTTTGAATCCCACTCATGGTACTAATTTTTCACATCAACTAAAACCCTTAGATAAAAAGAATTATTAATTGGAATAATTAATATGGTAAATTATGATCACCAAGCAAATAAGGTTTAATGTATTAACTCTCATATTCGTTTACAATGCCCTAGATGCGGATCATGATTTCACGGTTTTTCCCTATAACTTTTGATTTTATTCAGTGAGCATTTTAATATTATAGATTATGTACATTGGGGTTGAGGAGCTGGGCAGAAGTGATCTGAAAAATTCTAAGTGGGACGGACATTGCACACAAAAGTTTGGCCTTAGACAATCCTTAATTGATTATGTTACAACAATCTTTTATCTGATTTAAAGGATTAAAGATAAATAAAATATAGATGATCTCCCACTTACATTTACAATTGAATTTTGGTAATAAAATCATTCTTTGTTGGTTTTTCCATAGAGATTATTTCTAATTATAAGATACAGGGATAAAAGAGGCGGCTACAAGGCCTTCTGCACCTCAACCTGAGTAGATTTATTGTGCTCCCCTGTTTTTTACAACTCACTGGCCAGCTTCAGATTGTTAATCAACCTTCATAGCCTTACTTCACAGAAAATCCTTTGTAAGTTTTGCAGACGGCCCTTTTATGAATCTCTTCGCAGGCCTCACGCCTGTGGTATTGTTCCAGCAGGTTTTGAACTCATTAAAGATCTATCAAGCCTGTCAGAGAAGATGGCTATTTTCCAGGAATGTATTCCTAATCATTTTATTTCCCTGTTCAATCGCTATGATTTCAGACTGGAAAACAGAATATTTACCTAGGTTTACTGTAGACTCCAGCCTCCGTGCCCTTGTCAGTTTTGAAGCTGACAGTGTACCTATAGTTTGCCTGTAGCAGTGTTACTTTGGTCTATTCTTCCCGTTCTGGGGTTTTACTTTTTAGTCAAATTGTATTTTGGAGTAATGCCAGCAATTGGCATGCTTCATATTGCATTTATGAACATGTGCTGCAGCAGCTTCTCCTTGGATTAAAATATGAGTATATTGTTGTGAGGTTTTACATTAAAAGCTTCTTTATATATTTCCAAATGGTCACAACAATCACCCGGTCGATATTACCACCAAAATAATTTTAACTCCAATGGTCTGCCTCTTTACCTTTGTAAATAGTTTACAATCAAAATTACGTAAAGAAATAAGTAAATAATAAAAACATTTGACTATGTATGGCGTCACCAAATGCGGCACACCTAATCGTATCCAAATTCCATCATAGATAAAGTCATGCTCTAATAATAATCATTAACATAATTTATCTTCGATTAGGAGAGAATTTTTTTAAACTTATCTCTGTTTCACAGGGAACTTTTGAATAGGCTGAATGTGATTTCCCAACTTGGTTACTAGCCGTTGAATTCTTCAGCTCACCCTGATGAAACATAAAAAATGGAAATAATTTTAAAAAATTGTTTTCATGGCATCTTTGAATGAATGAATGAAAAACTGTTATGTTTACAATATAAACCAAAATGTAATAGAGAGAATACAAACTTAACAGTAAATAGACAATAGATCAAAAAATCCGTCTGCCGTAGGTCGCTGTGTTAAAAAAATAATAATTAAAATTCGATATGCTTTAAAAAAAGGAAAATAAAAAGTATACATATTAATTCAGTAATTAATTCAAAAATTAAATTCTTCTGTCAGTTCGTAGTTCCAAGCCTATCTCGCAAACCCAATCAAAGGCCTAGATCTTGAACCATCCAAAAAACCCAGAAGTTCACCCCTCAACAGAGTGAAGAAAGCGGATCTCACCCAGAATTGAACACTGCCAAGAAATGAAAAACATATTCGAGGGCATGCGAATTGCAAAGCAAACAGAAGCCCTGCTAACCTGTATTCCACATAGCTGAGTTCAGCTGAAGAACCTATCAGTGCATTTTCACCAAAGAGCAACCTTTAAAATCAGCCTTCTTCAGATTGAACAATGCTAGCGAACCATTAACTCTTTATATAATGAAAAGTGCGCTGAGTTCACGATCAGCACATTCACTACAGTGTTGGGAATTAATCTGAATCAACAGAGCCAAAAAATGTGTGCTTAAGTTAGTGATTTTCCAATGACAGGGAGAAGCCAATATCATATTTCACGAACAGCGATTTCCAATAAGAGAACCTCTCTTTTCGAACTATTCCAAGTGAGGTAATTTTTTAATCTATCTTGAGTCTGGAGAACCTAGCGACTTCAGGTTAAAGGAAAAGTACAGCTTGAGAGTGAACACAAACAGTAAATCGGTGGCACTTTATAAATAGATTTGGTTTGCAAACCGGTAGAGAAAAATATTTTCTTATGAACCTTTCTCACAGCTTCAAATCTCTAAAAGCCCCACATCTGACCCACAGCAAAGAATCGCTCAAGACACAAAGTTAAATACATTAAACTTTACATTGATCAGGATCGTGTTATGGGTCATAAAAGACAAGGTTTGATTCAATGCCAATTTAGCTGCCGACACCTTTGTGGAGACATATCTCGACCAACAAAGCCTGGAAGTAAATAAAATGCCTTAGTATTTACAATCATTCACCACCTGTATATTCTCACCTTTATCGTAGAAGGAACGATCCAAAGAACTTAATCTACCACCCTTCTTGAACACAACTTTGGATTTCTGTAGATTAACTTGACAGGTTCCAGATCGAAATAGGCTTCTAGCAGTTTAATGTTTCTTTTAAGAACCGTTATAGACTCAGTTACAACTACGATGTCATCAATTACAAGACTTATAATTTTAGAACCTACATGAATGCCACATTCAAGAGTCAGGGAAAGGTCGTCTAAACAAAGCGAACAATGTCGGTCTCAACGAGCAACCCTGAGACACACCACTCGAAAGAATCAGATATTCCCTCTTTGCCACTAACACGGGCAGATGTCACTGAAAATAATGATTTCAATACAATTTTAATAAGTTTGAAAGAAAACCCCAAATTTCTCAGTTTTAAAAATAGGACTAAATGGTCGACCCAGTCAAATACTGAAGATGAACGAATAAGTGTGTGTGTAAAATATGCATTTTGTTTTTGTTTGGAGAGTCTGGGACAAATTAAGTTGGACAAAACAATTAAGTTGTCACAGGTTGAGAGCCCCTTCTGAAATCTCATTTGGTTTTCACTTAATAAATTATTAATTAATAAATTTTTTTTATCCGGTTAAGAAACAAACCAGAAAAAATTTTTGCTACACTAGTGAGACAAGAACCTAAGCCAACTACTGTCACCGTGTTTGAATAGCGGAAAAATAATACATTTACCGAAATAAGATGGGCATCTTAATACTTTATGAATACGTTTAAAAAGAAATTATCCTTGCTTTTTTTTTCTAAATAGATGAAACATCTTATGTCTTATTTTAACTGAAAAAGGTTTGGTTTGAAATCATAACCTCTTACAAATTATGTATAAAGCTTCCAGAATTTTTAATTTATTGAGGGGTCAAAAAAATTAAGACCTCTGTTATCTGAATATCGAATAAATTTTGTTTATAATTTAAATTATTTTTGGCAAGGTGGAAATTTGAATTTAGGCGGTTAACATACGGTTTTGAAGTCCATTTATACCGATGTGATAAGGTTTTATCAAGGTTATAACGTCACGTAGCATGGCATGTTAAAATATAAAATCACAAAAAAATTTATTAAAAAAAAGGAAAATTTTCTGAGTTTCTTTTTCGGTTTGTTTTTGTAAAACATATCTATGGCTTCCGAAGGCAGGGAGGCTGACAAGGTGGTCTGCGAGGCGTTTTGCGACAGCAATAAAAAGAAGAAGAAGAAGAAAGACGATAATGACATGTTCAGATCTTCGAAACTCAGGTATCTCGGTTATGCGAACGAGTTCGGCGAGTCGTTCCGCAATTTCATAGGGCCGAAGGCCGTCGGTTTCTCTTACCTCCTTTCTTCAGCTTACGTTATCGCAGACACCGGTGCCAAGGCTTCGGACACTTGGAAGGCGCACGGAAACAAGCCGGGCAGGGGCAAGCAGGCGTTTAAGACCGGCCTGGACGTCCTCACATGGCAGTCGCTCGCCTCTGTCATCATACCGGGCTTTACGATCAACCGTATCGTCGCTTTGACGAGGGCGATCGCTTGCAAGACGTCATTCGGAGGGCAGGGCCGGCTCATCTCGTCTGCTGCCGGCCTCGCAGCCATACCTTACATCATTAAACCGATCGATGAGTTTGTCGACATAGTCATGGACGACTACGTAAGGCCTGCGTTGGCTAAGATATGATTTAAATAAACTCAGAGGTATTATTTTCCACAAAAAGTGTTTTCTTCTAAATAATATTGTTTATATAAATTTAAAATAAGACAATTTATTAATTAAGAAACAGTAATGTTAAAAAACATATATTCAAGGTGTTACGGATCTACATCCATCAACAGATCAATAATCAAATTAAAATAAATCTTATGTTTTATATAAAAATCAACAAAAGAACATTTAAAATTTTAAACATTTGATCATTTATACCATCAAAGAAAAAGAAAATTGTGCAAAAACAATTGCACATTTATCTTTCAAATCAGTCACCCTGCTCATCACATTTTCACACTCATCAATCAAACATTGTCCATTCACAAATTCATTCGTTCGCTTATTTTTCCGTCAATCACATTTGCTTGTTAATTAGTCATTCATAATTTGTTTTTCACATTTTGATAATTCATTCTCGTACTCAATCGGCACACTTATAATCTCAATGATCAAGTTGACTCTTTCTTTCATCCACTCGTCAAATCGTTCCTCGCTAATATAATTAAATGTCGGAACTGGCCGATCACACATTCGTTCTTTCACCTCAATAAATTGCACATTCATCACATTTGCATATTCTTTCTATTCCTCACACATTTATCTGTTCATTAACTTGTAACACTTGCTCTTTACGGTTTTAACCCTCATTCATCCAATTACGGAATCAGTTGGTCATTAGACATTTGTCTTCTTAGGGTTTACTTTTTCAGTCAAATAGCCACTCACTCAATCGTTCACATTCATCCACTTATTTACTCATATCACAATATATCTTCGAATTCATTCTCACAATCACTCTTACAAGCTCGTGCATTCATTCCTCATATAATCATTCACAGTTGCATATCACATCTGTTCTCCCAATCATTCATACAAATACTCTTTAAATTTGTACACTTCTTCACATTCATTTGCACAATCGCTCATAAAATGAAAACTCGTGCAACTCATACTTTCTGTACAGATTTTCACACCACATTCATTCGAACAATCACTCTTACAAGTGTTCCTTGTACATTGTTCATCTTTCACATTTACCAAGGTATTATTTTATTTTTTTTTTTAACGATTGTTCACAACACATATCAACGCTCGGGGTGCCGGTGTTTTTGAAAAAAAGCCCATTTCTAAGTATGTCAGGGACGAATGCAGGGTTGCTGGATTCGAACCCGGGACCTTTACGGACGAGCGCCATTTCAATGCCTTAACCGTTGCGGCCACCGATGCCCCCTACCAAGGTAATTCATATAATCATTCACTTGTTCTTCACATTTTTTCATACAATCACTCTTATAATTATTATTTGTGCATTCATTCATCATTCACATCTATCCATGTTTTAGCTCATATAATTCACACTTCTTCTTCACATTCATTTGCACAATCACTCTTAAAACTATTATTTGTGCATTCATTCACCACTAAGATACACTCATTATTTACTTTTAAAAATATATAGTCACACTTTCGAGAGAAAAATCAAATATCCAAAACAAACTTACTTAACTTAATGCACTTGTATTTAGAAGTACAGCACCCTTATTTTAATGCAAACCAAATTAACCTAGATCAGAAATTTACAAGGTTTAATACTAATTATTTAAATTAATTATATTCTTTTTTTAATCTAAGATGTTGGTTGAGATGAGTAAGCTAATATCACGAGCGGTATTCGAGCCCACAACCTTCAGCTCAATACACTGCTGCTCTAACTACTGGACTTAGATCCATTTGGACGCTAACTCCTCTAAACCTTTCGAATTTTCTCTCTTAAAAAAAAGTATAATTAATTTAAATTAATAATTATTAAATTCACTAGTTTCATGGTCTGCTTGACCAATTAATATCATACAATTAATTAAGGTTTTTACTTGAGATAAAAAACTATAATAACGATAAAATTAATAATTACGTTCAGTTATGACTAATAAATACATTTATGTGTTATTTAATAATGATGATTTGAAAGAACGTTCACCAAAACACCGGAAAATCATTTGATGATAGAATAAATTTATCTAGCAATGTATTACATCATCTGGTCATGATAACAGTATTAAGAGCAAAAGTTTTAAAAAAAATTGTTAAATTTTAATCTATCACTAAATGATTTTCTTTCAAACCATATTATTTTTTTAAATATTAAAAGTTGCATCTCAGATCTAATTTAATTTGCTTTACAGTAAAATAAGTTGTAAAAAAATTTACAAAAAAAATTTTTTTCATAAGTTAATTTTTGAACACGAAATTTTTAGGGATGGAATTTGAAATGAAAAAATAAAATGCCACAGGTTGGATTCGAGCCTAGAGTCTTCAGAACACTACCCCAACCATGGAGCTGACTTCGATCTCCAAGACATTTACACTATCCCAACAAATTTATTTTTTATCTCAAATTTTATGTTTAAAAATTAAACTTATGTATAACATAATGAATGGGACTAAAACCAATAAAAAAAGTTATTTACTCATGCATTCACACATGTAGCCATAAATAAATAAAAAATATCAATAAAACTGTCAATAAATAAACTAAAAAATGGTATTGAACGATTTTTTTTTTTATATTAGCTGAGTAGAAAATCAGCTTACCGTCTATTTTTAAAAAGCTTGGCGTTTTCTTGCTGACAGTTCTATTACCGTTGTAATATAAACCGCACTGTTAAAACCATTTTTTCGACGCCCATCTGAAATGAACTACAATTTAGAAATGAGTCGAGCCGGGAAAATAAAATAAAATAAATATTTTCTGACACGTGATCGTTGTCCTCAAATCAAAACTGATAATCAGAGTTTGATGTGTGTTCCAGATCTTTCTGACTAGACGCCATTGGCATAGACGCGGTCTCGACGGCATGGCGTGATTAAAAACTCTCCTGCACTTCCGACTCTCGCAAAATTTATGAAAATAAGAAAAAAAAATTTGTTTTTGTTTATTGTTATCGTATGGTTAATAAAATAAAATATTTTACGCCTCCACTTCGATTATTTTGTTCAATCCATCTTGACTCTCCGAAGAAGAAGAAGAAGACTGATGGTCTTCCCAAAACCCCATTGTTTTTAACAAAGTATTTTTTATAACTAATGATTAAACAAAAATAAATGGATTTGTACATATATAATTGTCTTTTTTTTCTTCTTCTTTTGTCCGTTGTTTATATTTACAAAATATTGAGCATTTACAAATGAATCTTATTTACAAAAAGTTTTTTTTTTTTTTTGTATAGTTTGTAAGGTAGGGCTGTTTATTTACAGAAGTAGACAAAACAAAAAACTCTGGAAGTCCGATGTATTGTCGAGACGGCCCGTCATTTGCGCTTGAGGCACGAACAGATCCACTCGAGCCCCTGGTACAGCCTGTAAATATTAGGATTAGGGGATTAGAAAAGAAAAAAACAATGAAAATACATTTAAAACAATATGATGATGAATAGCTCGTTATCGTATTTACCCTTCCCCACTAAGCGCGCAGCACGCCTGTATGTGCCACTGGTGTTTCTTGATGCTCGTCAGGTCAAGCTGGCGGCTTATCTCCGCAGCAGACATCGCCCCCTTTAAAATATAAAATTAATGAAAAAGGATTAAATAATATATTTTTTTAAATATAGTTGCCTTTATATCTTGTTTATTTGCATAGACCAGAACGCCAGCCTTTGACAGGTCCTCATGTCCTAGCATTCTGTACAGCTCGTCCCTCGTAACCGACAGTCTCTCTCTATCGGTCGAGTCGATTACTAAAATAACAAACTGAAAAAAAAAAAAACAAGTTAATTTATCGACTTATGCAGATAATGATCTCTTGGTTGTTATCAGGGATGTGGTCAAAGAAAATATATCTAATTTAAAATTTTTGTTAAAAGGTGAAGAAAAAAGTGAAAAGTGTTAACATGAAAATAAAAGAATTTGCTTATATACTTCTGACTAAAAATCAGTAAGTACAAAAATGTGTGTCTTGTTCTTGTGTATATATTTAATGTTAAATTGGCCAAAAGTAAAATGTATAATATATACTTTTGCAAAGCCCTAAAGAAGGTACAATAAAGAAACGAAAGCTAAGCAAAAAATTAAAAAATATTTTCTTTAACCATATCCCTGATAACAACCAAGAGAAAAAAAATTAAAATTAAAATAGTGATTTTTTCCTTACTTCGGTGTTTGTGTAATAAGTAGTCCAGGCGGCGCGCAACGACTGCTGCCCACCCAGGTCCCACATTATAAAGTGTATATTCTTCCATACAACCTCCTCGACATTGGAGCCTATCGTTGGCGACGTCGTTACAACCTCATTCATGAGGAACTGGTACAGTATCGTCGTTTTTCCGGCATTATCAAGGCCGACGATCACTATCTTGTGTTCTACAATAAGACATTAATCAAATACATGACAAAATAAAATAAAATAATAATAATAGAATGTTACCCTCGTTTCCAAACAGGCTCCATAGCTTGGAGAGGAGTAGCCCCATTGTAGACCCGGTTTTATTTTATCGAACGGCAGGCTTTCCTCCAATAATAGCATTGGCCTGTCAATACAAAATGTAAATATAAAACAAATCCAGTTTTAATCACAAAATAAAATTATTGATTAATCATTGGACAAATACAGATAGCAAAACAACCATGGTATTTGGCAGTCTGACCGTACAAACTATAAGAAAAGAAGATTCTCAAATAGTTTTTTCTGAAAATGATCGCTGCAAGTTAGAAAAATTAACAGAAAAAATTGCATGATGCGCATGCACTGTCATCATCCACACCCCCATGAGCCCTGAGGTATAAAAGACTCCCAAACTGTCAACATGTGCTGACATATCAACGCCCATGCCACCATGGGCTTGACAAGGAAGTACTTAACTTTACTTAACAGCGGTATAACCATACCTTAAAATGACCTGAATGGTCATATAATCTTTTCCTAAACATTAATCGAAAGTAAGTTGGGGCAACAGTACTTTGTGACTGAGTTTACAGCCACTACACACAACAGTAACAACAGCTTCACTGTTGTCCACCACGACTGGTAGTATGTTGGGGACTCGCACGGCACTTAGTGAATATTCACTGTTTCCACACAAAACAGCCGGTTGTACAAACGTCGCATGTGTGTATGTAGGTACGCTATTTGACGAATGGCAAGACGAGCATCTCAAGACGACTTGGTAAATATCTGGTGAATACCGCTTGTCTGAAGCTGCCTTTACAGCAGACAAAAGCGTTCATAACTAGCAAGGTGTTTGTCACCAACACACCTTATTACTTTTGAGATATCAGTTCACAGTAATAAATAAATTCTTACAGACCTGGAAGTTGTTTTAATTCCCAGGATGATGAAAAGCACTGTTTTTCTACTGTGTGTAGATCAGCGGTGTAACCATATGTTAAGATGATCTGAATGGTCATATAATGGAATAACATCAGACAACAATGAAACTGGCAGGGTGACAAAATTCAACGCGCCTCATTACTTTTGATTCATATCAAAAAATAAAATCAGACGGAGCAGAAAGCAAAAGCCGTTTTAATTTCCAGGATGGTCATGCGGTGTTTTTTCATATGTGTGAAGTTCAGTTGTATAACCAAATCTTTCCTTTTTTTTAGTTGTAGTTGAGTAGTTGATTGTTTCAATGTAGTTGGAGGGGGATCATGGAAAAAAAAAAAAGGTCAGGGACGATGTTGAGAATCGAACCCATGACCAAAGTCTATTACGCTAACCACTCTGCTACCACACTCCCCATATCTCAGATACAGTGGATTTACCTTCAGGATAAGATAATTCTTCAAAATGGTCATAGAGTGAGTATATCGATTATTAGTTGAAAATTATACTCTATTCAGTAAACGTAGTTAAAAAAAAAAAAAATATTGGATTTTTACTTTAAAGAGTGAATGCTGACAGACAAAGCACAGACCAAATTGTTGGATCTAAACGAGTGAAATTTGGACAGTGCATTCCTATAATGACATTCTGGTAAGAAAGGATTGTTTGAAATTCCATCCCATCCCTATCTATGTACATAAAATAGTTCCGTGACTGACTAATAGACAAAGTTTTGACCAAATGGCTGGATCTAAATGGGTGAAATTTTGACAGTGCATTCCTGTAATGACATGGATAGCCAGGAAGAAACGATTTTTTGAAATTCCATCCGTATCTATGTATATAAAACAGTTCCATGACCAACTGACAGACAACGCATAGACCAAACGGCTGGATCTAAAGGGGTGAAATTTTGACAGTGCAATCCTATAATGACATGGATAGCTGGTAAGAAAGGGTTTTTTGAAATTCCATCTTTAAAGGGGTCATATGGACAATTTTTTGCAATGTATGGACCAGAGTGAACTGAAGAGAAGAATTTGAGAAACAAGACGTAAGCCGTACTGCATCGCATTAATGTTAATACAGAGTCTTGCGTAGATGAAGAAGAGGTAATATTGAACGTATTAGGATTAACTGGCCATCGAATGGAATCACCTCCAAACCCCATCGTCATAATATTAATGACAATACTATATACCACTTGTTGACACTGTGACGATTTTGTCAGGGCGGACTAACCTGCAGTGTTGACAGTCCACCGAAGATTATGGCCGATGGAAAAACGGTTGGAAATCTCTTTCAAGATTTGGAAGCTTATTTTATATATAAAAACGGAGAGAATTTAAACGATTCCGTTAAGGCTGAAATGTTTTGTTTTTTATTTTTATTTTTAAACGGACCCGTTATATTTGAGGAAATAATAAACTCTGGCCATATGTTTTGGGAAGAGAGCGTAACGGGGAAATCGCACTTTTACTGACCTTTTCAGTTTTCTTTTACTTTTTTTTTTTTTAAGAGGTTTGGATACTCACTCAGCACCGAAGAAGGGCCGTTGTTATTTTTTTTTCCCCAAGGGGACGGGTCCTGGATTGTTTTTCGTCTTTTATCTAATTTTATCTGTCTAGAAAAGATTTTCCCCAAACGGCGCTTATATAACGGGAACGTGTAACGTCATGTCGGCCCCGTAACTCGTCCAGGCTGCCGGCGCTTCGTCGGATTTTTTTTCTTCTATTTTCTTCTTCTCCAGAAAGGCGATTCAACGGAATTCAAGATTCTTTTCCCCGCACCTCGGCGAAAGGGGGAAATGCAAATGGTACTCGCACTCGGGTCGTAACTCGTCGAACCGTCCCTCGTCCGTGTGCGAGGTGGGGAGACGGGTGAAAGCGAAAGGACAACAAGGATGGCAAAGCGGGGCCTGACGGGCCCCCAACCAGATCTAGAACACGTCATTCATGACGACATTTTCACGGAAGACCAACTACCCAATTCAACCAAAATTTTCATACAAATAACACAATTCAACTATTAATAATTATAGGAAAAGGATAAAACAAGTCTTAAACTTACTTCGAGCGAAACATTTCTTGAAAAAAAATTATATTTATGTCACCTTATTTTTATTACAAACAGACTTGGAAACATACAATAACAAAACAAAAAAAGGTAAATACAATATAAAAATAAATATATCCTTATATTCATACTTATTAATACAATAGCTGTGTATTTAACATAACCATCAAATGAACGTTTTTACAATCAATTACATTTTGGTACATAACGACATGAATAATAATAATCTTTCCAAATACGTCTTTACAGTACAGCGAAAATAGTCAAAACCTCATAAAGCACATCCGGACATGCAGTATTCACCAATTGCTACCGAAGTCTCGATATGATCGCCTACATATAAAAACACATGAAGGGTTCTTACAGCCAGCCAGTTTGTGTGGAAAAAGCGAATACCTATTTGCCAAGTGCTGTGCGAATCCTAAATGCACTACCAATTGTGGTGCACAACAGTGAAACTCATTGCTGCAGCTGTGGTTACTGTTTTTTTGTAGTGGTTACAAACTCAGTCGCTGCCCAATACTTTCAATCTGTTTCCACCCACTGAAAACCTTGTTGCGAGTTGGAAGAGAACCATTCCAAATTGGTACAGATTGATGAACTCCAAAACTCATGTTGAACCAGCACAGGGTCACATAACTAGGTCTGTCTCCATTCGCAGGTGGAAACTACACTTGCTATTTGGTTTAAGAAATGATGCCTCACTAACAATTTAACTTGGACTTACACTAAACTTAAATCTGTGAGTGGAGGCAGACCCAATAAGTTACCCTGTGGGGGTTCAATATGAGTTCACTCATCCACAGAACAAAACCCATCTTCAACTCCAAGATATATTAATTCAGTCCATTCCTAACCGACAGAAACAACGCTATGTTCTTTCATTACTAATTAGGAATAATTTATTATAGATACATAACTAGTTTGATTGATGATTACAGCTGATATCGGTACAGTTCAGAATGTGGGGTGCTACGAAGTTCAGCTACTTGATGATCATTTGTGCACTTTGAAGGACAAAGAAACAGACAATAGCCAAGCATGGCAAAGGCCGAAATATTGTTGCTTAACACTAGTAGGGATTTGGCGAACCTTTGATTGGCATTCAGCGACTCTTGCATTGTCTGGAGCCTTTATAAATGTCACCTTGCTTTATGATCTTGACATCTTGATATGTCCTCTTTCAAAGATAAATGTATCTTATTTTCCGTTCTACCTCACCGTAGAATCTTTTTGAACTTGACTGATTTTCTAACATGCTAAGCAAATCCTAGGCCATATTAATTTGAGATTGACACACTGCCAACTTTAGTTCAGTACGCATTAAGATTTAGGAGGCATACCTGGTTAAATAATAGTGCATATATATTTTGTTATGAATGTAACAACATAATAAAATTAATATTAAAATAACAAAATACTAAGGTAATCTAGAATGGAAGGGTTGGGTTGCCTGTTAATAATTCAGCAGGGAAAAGTACAAGTAAGATAAGAAGGATCACAGGATGAAAAGCAGAAGAGCTTGAGATAAAGGGAAAATAGACAAAAGAGTAGTTTCAAAAGACGTGAGTACGAGTATGCATGAGAGAGTGAGGTTGGAACAACCCAAGTATGAAAAGAACTAAGAAGAATTGAAAGATAGAACAAAACAGACAAAGCAAAACATGAAAAATATCTTTAATATTTAATATTAAAAGAGAAACAAATTAATAATTCTAGGACAGATTGTTTTTTACCCCTTTTGCATATAGAAAATATGGTGCTTAAAACCATTAAAATTATTTTCAGAAAATTTCCATAAAAAGATTTTTTATTTAATTATAACATAAATATACATATTTATTCGGACATAATAATAGTTAATTATTCATTATTTACAAAATTGCCTTACGAATAGTTTTTCTTTTCTTTTTGTTTATTGAAGAAGATTTAGGCATCATACAGATCGTCATCTATAGAATCCTGAAATCACAAAGCAATAAGTAAAAAAAAAAAATTTAATGTATAGTTTTTTTGATTCAATGATTACATTTTGATCGATGTCGGACAAATTCATGTCTTCAATTTCCAAGTTCAAGACGTCATCCAATACTTCATCGAGGTCGTCTTCTGAGTGTGATTTCTTCTCAACAGGCCTCTTGGGCGACTCTTCTTCACCAGGCTTGTCGGTCACGGCCTGGCTGAGTTCTGAAATGGTCAGTGGGTTATAGGCGATGTAAGAGGGTGGAAAAAATATTCAATACCGTTCTTGTCAGACTGAATCTGGTTGAACGTGAACTGGCCAGCAGCCTCGGCCGCTTTCATCTCTTCGATCGGCTGCCTCTGGTGGTTCGGCTGATGAAGAAGAAAAAAAAATTTAAAACCATTGTAAACTGGTCCCTGCCATAATTATAACTTAGGAATACTTGTTCAAATTCAAAAATAGTTGTAAGGATTGTCAAACATCTGTTGATAACCTAGGTAGATATAAATCACTTAAAATGAAGAGAGAAAAACCGTGAAGTTGTTAGAACCCTCCTGGAAAGAAGACACGAGTAAACTGAACAAACGTTGACCCGTGTATGCATAACCTCACACTTAGGTCACAATGAGGTTGCGTGGAAGGCTTTGTAATTCTCCATGTCACAAACTCTCCATAACAATAGATCAAAATAATTAAAAACCAACATTAACTTCAAGCCTGAATTCAGTATTAACAATTTTTTAGAAATTATCGGAAAACCATAAAAAGAAGTACTGACAATTTAGAATACATTATAGCAATAGTAATTAATATCATTTATATAGTTTATTATTTTATTTTATGGCTAAAAAATATCAATATTAATTACCTAGCCATCTCGCCTACCACCAAAAGAAACTCTTTCTAGGAAGAGAAAAACAAAAAGATGTGGAATCAACAACAATAATTTAAATAAATTTTATGAAATGAAAGCGTTACCAATGGGGACTCCCCAATTTGAAAAAATCCTTTTCAAATCAAATAGTCAGGAAACCTAGAAAATCTATAAAAATTCCTCATACTTTACAATTAATTAAGGTTTTTTCATCTCAACTAAAAACCTTAATTAATTGTAATGTATTAATTGGTCAAGCGGACCACAAAACTAGTGAATTTAATTCCTCATACTAATTAAATGTTTAAACCAGCCGTTCCCTAACCATCCCAAACTTTTTTTGGTTTCTGGCGCCCTTAATATATTAGGATTTTCCACGGCGCCCCGAGTCAAAACAATCATCTTTCTCAGTGTAAAATTTAAACAATGATTATAAATCCCAGGCCCTGAAGATGATCTCAATAAAGATCGAAACGTTGGCATGATAAAGAAAATGTTTTTCTAAAATCACACCAGACCGCACCTCACAATATCCAAATAATCATTTACGATAACAGTAGTAATTCATTAAAATTCAGAAAAGCATTCATGTATCTAAACCTCTTATTTCATCTGCAATTTTATTTGATAAATAATCAAAATTACTGACTCTCTTGTGAAATAGAAACAACTTGCCTTTTGATAAATGATTAAGCACTTAATAGCAAAAAAACAAGTGATTTTTCCCCCCGCAATAATATAAAATACACAATTGCAATTGTCTTGTCAACAACCATATTAACATTGGATTTACACCAGGGTCTTAGTTTTTAGGGTTTATTTTTTATAGAAAATTTTTGTGGTGCCCTGTAGCATGGCTCAAGGTTTGGGAATGATTTACACCCTAATATAAATTTTACATTAGAAATAAATAAAGAAGGTTGTTTAAACTTATTAGACTTAAAACTGTCCATAATAAAATACCAAATTAAACTAGATGTATTTAGAAAACCCACAACACAAATCACAATACCAGTAGATTTTTCTCATCTCACCAAAAAGCTGCTGTATTTATATGGCCCATAGACCATATGGTGAAACTCCCATTAATTATAAGAAATAATTACAAACAATCAAAACTTTAGTTAAACATAATGGATATCAAGAATTATTTAAACAAGGTATCCTTTTTAGATGGCCCGGCTGAACTTCTCTTGAAAAATGCATAAATACAACAAATTTCGATTTACCAGCAATTTTAAACATATATTTAAATGATATTTGTCGTAGAAATCCCTAATTTAGTAGGATAACAGTTAGTTGGGTTATAATTCACACTTTCAAAATTTAATGGTATGAAAAACCAGCTTCTCATTTTACGACGGTGGATTTACAAGTTATTCATACAGTCAACACTAAACATGAATCACTTATTTTGCCCATCCAATTCAAGATTGTTGCCTACGGCGACGACTTGTCATTGCCTATCATTACTCATATAACATCAGATCTATTTTCTCAATCTTTTAATCTCTTTTATGTCATCGCATTTTAGTCATGTCTTTCAATTTGGCCAATGCTGATTTAATTGGCTTAACCACCAACTGCCTGATAGCGTTTGTTCTATTATTATGGCATGGTACTAATTCTTTAACCTGGTGATGAACATTTAATGAAATCCATATCATTGGTGACAACAGTTTTATGAGTAGAACTTTCATTCATACATGCCAATCATTATCTACACATCTCATTCACACTTGATACTGCTATTATTTGGTCGAAAAGTACCTGGACTTTGGAATAGTCACGAGCATGGAGGGTTTTTCTAGTTTCCTTGAGGTATTGTTCCGTCTTAAGGGCGTCGTTCCAATCCGGGAACAAATTCGGGTACTGGTCTGGCCCGGCGAGAGACTGGCCAGTTTTATCTTTTGAAAGAGTTTTCCAAAGTTCGACGACCCTTGGAACTTGGCTCGGCATGTACGTCCTATAAAACATTTTATTATTTGTAATTGTAGTTGTACAGGTTTGTTTTACCTGGCGAAAAATGCGGCCTCAGGGATGCGTTTCGTGTTTATTAATATTTCCAGGCACATTTTCAAATTGCCCATTAAGAAATAGGCGAGGAATGACACGTTATTCTTTCCGTCTTTGCCCGAGCTCTCGGCAAGCTTCTCCATCATTTCAACGTTAGAAGCTGATGTTGAAAGGAGGAGGAGGCCACCGTAATGCTGTGCCTGGTGGAGGCACATCTGTGCGACACCAAGTTTCGCCTGGGAGGTCGCAAGCTCGGCGACTTGCGCCCATTTTGACTTGCTCGAAATGTCCCTTGCGAGGGCGACGGCCTTCTCAAGGTCGCCAAGCTGCAAGGCGAGTTCGAATTTATGCTCTGGGTCCGTTGAGACAGCTAGTGCCTGCTTTTTAAAACCCTATCAAACAAACAAAAATAAAAATAAATTAATAAATAAAATATGCAAGTGATCTCATGTAAAAAAAAAGTACTTGTTTTTCTAAAAAGTGTGCCACTCTTGAACGGTGCTGGATGGGTATTGTTGGTAAGACACGGTCTGCGGTGTCAAAATCACGCCGCATTACTGCAGTCTGATATTCCAAAACGGACAACAATAGCCTTTAATCAAATAATTAATAATTAAAATGAATCTTTAATACTTTGTAGATTAAAAAAAATATTACGTGTAGCAAACGATGTTGTGATGCTTGTCTGAAAGATAAAGCAGGTTTTGTCGTGCAACGTAGCCAAGAAGATACATTGTTGTGTCAAGGTGTCCCACAGTGACAATCTCACCACCGACATAATAATTGATACGGCACACGGCGTTCGTATATATGAAACAGTCGCCGACCCAAAGGCCTGTTTTCACCGATTCATTCACCTCTTTCACGAGCTGAAATTGGATTTTTATCACTGATACACGTCAAGGTTTAAAGTAAGAAAGACATACCTCGAAGGCATTGTCATAACCATCCGGGCCAGGTGGTGATCCATTCACGACAGACGGGTCATACTTGAGCAGGAAATAACTGTCGTCAGTGACGATGGCGAGCAGGTGGCCTGCTTCAGACCAGTATAACGCCTTCGCCTGTATATCTATGCGGCGTATCAAAACCAGGCTTTCCCAATCGTAAAGTGAAAGACCAGACACTGTACGTACGCCAAGTAATTGTCCTCCAAATATTCCTATAAAAAGAATTTTTCTCGTAAATCAATTTTTTTGTGTGAATATGAATGTTATTCACCCTCTGCGCCAAATTCTGGCTTGAAGCTAGTCCTCTCTTTGAACTGCCTGTAGAGTCGTACGGTGGTCGTGCCCTCCCTGATGGCATAGTCTGAGGATTCTTGCGCCCAGACGAACTCCTGTGCGGTGCCAAAGCTCTTGTTCCTCAATGCCATGGATGTATATATGATGTACTCGCCATCTCCACATACGACTACAAAACGGCCGTTCGGATTGTGAGCGATGCTCTGAGGGAATATCTCGCAAGGACCCATGTCTTTGGCTACAACTGGGAGTTTCTCACCGTCTTTCACCTCGCCGCTTTCCGTACCCAAAGACTTCAAGTTCACCTGGTGAATAAAAAATGTTAATATATATAATTTTTTATTAAGCGTTAGGTGAACTTATAAATACCTGTTGCATTTCTGAATGTCTGGCCCATACAATTTTCTCACCATTAACATCCATGGAAATCGCAGGCTCTTCACGTCCAATTTTTACCATAATCGAACCCTCATCGTATCTACAACAAAGTATGTCTTACAAATAAGTAAACTAAAAAAACAAATAAAGCATACCCAAGGGCAATGTTGTTAGAACCCTTAAGACAGCTTATTGTCCACACACGTTCCAGGCCATAATTCAATGAAGATTCAAGCCTATATGTTGAAGAATGCCACAGTCGTACAGTCCCGTCTTCAGAACCAGTTATAACGATTGGCAATTCTGTATGAAAACAGACTGCAAAAGAACAAAAAAACGTTAGTCACTTATTTACTCAATTGTTCACACCAATATTCTACCTGCTGTAATATTTAGCTCATGCCCTTCCAAAGTCTGAACGCATGTTTTGTTCTGATAGTCCCATATCTTGACATAATGGTCATCCGCTCCAGATATGAGGTAAGGCTTGTCACCACCGTGGTAGTAGTCGACGCAATTCACACCTTTTTCGTGACCCTCGAGAGTGAAGTTTGCCGCCGCTGATCCGAGCTGCCACACCTTGACAGTCCGGTCAAGCGAGGCAGATGCAAATGTGTTGTTGTCCTTCGGGTTGATCACAATCTGCATTACATAGTGCGTGTGGCCTTCGAATACTTGCTGGCAATGCCAGGACTTCTCCCAATTCCACAGTTTGATTAACATATCATCTAGAATAAAAAAAAAATTCTTAGTGATTTTGTTTATGTATTACATACATTATTACATACCGCTGCAGGTGAGAATATAAGGCTGTGTTGGGTGTACAACAATCCAACGCACGTAATCTGAGTGCGCTTCGAACGAGTGCATCCGCTCAAGCGTGTTGTAGTTGAACACCCTTACGTGCATGTCGTCAGAGCCTGTCACGACCCAGTTCTTACGCGGTACAAACACAGCAGTCCGTACTGGCAGGTCGCATACCTTGGAAAAAAAAACAGATTAAAAAGACATCCCGGTCTGCCTGGGATCAAGCGGCTCACCTCGAACGACCTGACCATCTGTTGAGTCTCGTGGTTCCATATGTGCACATTTCCGCTGTACAAAGAAGCGAGCATCCAAGGCTCTGTCGGATGAAGGTCTACCGACTTGACCCTCTCTGACCTGGCTGTTAGCTTTCTCTTGATATCCAGGCGCAACGGCTAAGCGTAAAAATATACCACAGATAATTAAACAACAAAATAAAAACATTTAACAAGTAAAACCGGCCTGATTATCAACACGTACCTACACGAAATAAGATACGTTCAGTACTAAACAAAAAAAAAAAAAACGATAAAATTTCAACTTACCATAATGTAATAAAATGTTTACTATAATTAATAATTATTATTGTTAATAATTATAATAAAACTAATAATCCTTGTGTTCTGAACAATCAGACGTGGCTAATACAACTCGATCCTCGATGTTGTCAACTTTTATCAAATCCACCATAACTGACAATCGATTGTATTCATAAGTTAAAGAAAATAATCGATTAAGTATAAACATAAACATAAATTATTTTGTTTTAAAAATGTACAATTTTTAATAATTGTTTGAACAATAATTCCTCTATATGGGTTGATTATTTTTTTTAATTTATTTCTGTGTTTGTGTTATGGGGGGAGCTCTAATGGAACGGTTTCAACTTGACAAATTATACAATAAAAACCAAATTGTTTAGTTAATTTGTCCAGAACCAAGAATTTTTTATCTTTTATTAAGCTTAGTTAATAACCTTTCAAATAAAAATATATTATGTTTTTATATTTTAGAATTCGAGTTTAAAAAAGGAACAAGTTGCCCAACCTGTCACTTGTTGTTCAAACTTCTAGTCTTCAAAAGACCTTCAGACAAGGTAAAAACCATACAAAAGTAATTATGGTTTTATTATTAACAATTAAATTAATTAATGTTTATTAAATCATTAATTGTCGTTAAATGATCATTTTTATTGATAAAGTCTTTGGCTTCAAAGATGTGACATGCATTTCACTTGATCTGCCCATCGGATATCTTGGCAAAATTTACCATTTAATTATAATTATTCGACACTATTCAACATTTTTTAAGCCATTTGATTAAATTGTTGTTAAATTTAAGTTGAAATTCGATCTTGCATAAAATTTTAATTTTTTTTTCTAATATTTCATACTCACTTGTTCCTTGTACATATTCGTTGGATTCGTGAGGGGCAGTCAAGAATGAATTTGGTTATATGAATAATAAACAATTATAACCCAGCACTATACAAAACAGTACAGAACACATCATTAATCCAATCACACAAAGACAGATGAATATACATTCCATTTATACATATATTGTCATACAAATTAAGTAAATTACACATTAAAATAGCTTTTTAAAAACACAAAACACACACACACTTTTTTCCAAAGTCACACACAACACCAATAGCCTGTGAATCGGATGTAATTGTAAAATTAATTGTATGAACTGGCCAGCATACATTGGAGTTATATTACATAATCTGGAAAAAGCGGAAAAAAGAACACATTTATGATTGTAACACACCAAAAACCAATCCAACATCATTGGCCACACACTTTTTTTATAAACAACATGACTTTGATTTCAATAAAATACAGATACTAAACAGTGGAAAAAATGGGACTTTTAGGAAATAGTTTAATTTTAACAGAGAGGTACACACAGCAATAAGTACAGAACAAATTAATGAAAACACAGTTGTAGCTGTGCTAATATCGTAAAGCAAATAAACTATTAAAGTTTATGTTTAAATTTCCCTTTCCTTTGTTGTCGTCCTTAACAGAAAATCCCCATTCTTGACTACTTTTGAGTTAAATAAAACCACCTATGATCAAAGAAAATTTCCCAGATTTATTTCATCCTGGATTTATTTTATCCATATGTAAAAACAGTAAGATACAAATTCAGAGCTATTAATCTGAGTATAGGAGCTTTTAAAAATTTAGCCCAATAAGCAGTTTACTCACAGAACATTGGGAGCCAAATCTCTCAAAACGATTACAACAACTTCTAGTTTACAACTATATCAATATATATAAAAAAAAAACCAAACATCCCATGTTAAAAAAATCTTTGAAACTCAAATGGCTCTTTATTATGAAAATCATTCTAGAGTCACAAAACCATTGGCATATCTGTAAAATAAGAAATGTTAAGTTGATGAGACTCTTTCCTGGAGTGCAGAAATAAATTTTAATTTTAAATTAACAAGTATTTCTTTAAAAATAGCGGTTCAATTGTTTACATTATGTGGTGAGAAGAGTTCACATGACAGCTCATTAGAGAGGTCGTTCCACACTAAACCAGAGTACACCACGATTAATGGTCTCAAGGGAAACTATTTTTGGCATGTGATAATCTGGAGGTTTCATTATTTTTAATATGCATTTGAAATGGAGCTGCATTGTAAACAAATACAACTAACTGGCGTAGTTTCAGTCTCTGTGTATAACATGAAATTAGGTGTTGATGTAGGTCAAGCAAATAACTTTCTTATGAAGAAGCGTTGAATCGTTTCCAGAGGCTCAAACTTTTCGTAGCGCCATACCTGAGCAGCATAACAGATTATCAAATGGCATATTGAATTAAATAGTTTTATTTCTGTGGACAGGAGAATCACATCTTGTGAGATAAAATCATACCAAATGCTGTTCAGAGCCAGTTTAGTTGTGGATATTTTTCTATAAATGTAATGGAGTGACAAATATGAAGACGAGGAAACACCTAGATATTCATACTTGTTTACAATTTCAATGTTTATTATTGTAACTATTCTTATTTACTTACTTCATTGTTATTACATTTCGTTTAAAACGAAAAATATTTTTTTAGTTTACATAGTTTTTAATGTTATTGCAAATAAAACTTTTTTATGTTGGCTAACCTGAGTTTGAAATATAGTTTATTTAATAGTGTATGTAATATTTAGTGATCGTTAATTACCGATTATTTAAAGATCGTGAGATGTGGGCCGGTGTGATGTAGGTTTAGAAAACTATTTTCTTTATCGTGCTGATGTTATACTTATTGACATAATCTTCATGGCTTATATACATAAAATGATGTAAGCATTGTAGAAAGGCAGTATCATCGTATCCTTGTCTGAATTTGCTGGAAGTTTAGAGCACAAATTGATTTTTCTATGCTTGGTAGACATTAATGCTAATGTTTTTGTTTTTAGTCCAATTTTTTTTTACATATTTGAATTTTTTTATGGAGGGATTTTTTTTAGATGGTGACGGAGCTGATACCCCTGTAGTGTTGGCCAGACTGCACCCAGTGATAATGGGAAAAGTCGCCTTTGGTTGAAATGAGTCAATAATCGTTTTGGAAAGGGATTTTCCGAAGACTCGGCTTTTCGGGGGGCTTTTTAAATTTCTTTTCTTTTTTCATTTCGCTTTTCAAAGAGTCGCGTGATTCGGCCGATCCATTGGAAATGAAGCTGTACGCCCTGAACGTCCTTTTCAAGGGGGTCAACTCAGCGATATGGCTCAAGACGTCCTACGACCTCAGGACTATGAGCTATTTCCAGAGGTCCAGTGTCCAGGAGTTCATGGCTTTCGTGAGCAAGACGATTGTCGAGAGGACGCAGACGGCGACGAGGCAATCGGTTAAAGACGGAGGTGAGGCGGATTTTTAAATTTTTTTATTACAATCTATTTAAATTCTCAACGGGACGACCCCCGTCAGACACAAGGTACCTTACATCCTCCCCGTATTCCTTAAGGATGCGACATTTTCATTTCAAATGGTCCCTCTTAAAACAAAACATAAGTTGACGACAGTGGTCCAAAGTTAGAGTAATTTGGTTTATAAACGTGAACGTTAAAGTTTCTCCTATCAGATTACGCGGTAGACAGTCTACTAACAATTGTGCATGATGGTGATAAATTGCTTTAATTGCCTAATGGTACTAAGAAGTGTTCGGCCATTGTTAAAAGTTTCACTGGAATAATATTCAGTCTACAATGGCCATTCATCAGATTTGAAATATTTGTGTGAACTGTACTTCTGACAGTATGATGTTACAGTGTTAAATATAACCATACAGAAGGTTTCATTTCTCGTCCACCACTGGTGTTTTAAGTATCATATGTAACAATTATTTAGAGATCGTGAGATGCAGTCTGCAGCGATCTATAAATAATCATTAATTGACAGTCACTAAACAGAAACATTATTTGTAAGTGTTAATTAGCACAGCATGAAGTCGGCTCTAGACGGGCGGTATTCGGCGAATATTTGCCAAGTCTCGAGATGCTCGTCTAAGCATTTGCCAAATATCGTGTCTACATATACACACATGTGGTGTTCGTACAACCACTCAGTTTGTGTGGAAACAGTGAATATTCCCCAAGTGCCATGCGAGTTGTCAACTTACCACCGATCATGGTGGACACCACTGAAGCTTCGGTTACTGTTTTGTGTAGTGGGTACGAACTGAGTCACAATTCAGCCACAGAGTACTGTTGCCCAATCTTTCTTTCCATCTGTTTCCATGCATCAAAAAGCTCGTTACGATTTTTGTAATTCGGAAGAGAAGCATCCTAAATTTTAGTTCAAATCGAGGAACTTAGACTGTTAAGTTGTTGGGCAGAAATAAAGCTGTTTTTTCTTTCATTATTATGAAAAAATAAATAAGAGTAAACAGAATAAAATAAATGTTGATTGATGATTAGTTATAAAAGTTTGTGACTTGTTTTTAATGGAACAGTAGAAACTGGCTTCATTTCGCACTATAGAATTTTTAAATATCAGTTTTTAACATCAGATCTGATGTGAGAATTGTGCAGTCTGTCTATTGGACGTGACAGTTGTTTATGATACAGGATTGGACAGTACCAGGTGGCCGAGTTGTACATGTTTAACCTTATACAAGTTACTTTATAAATTATAAATGCTTAAGATGATGACTGGTTGTTCACTGTGTCAACATCACTCCTTCTTTCTGAGCAAACTTGGCTGTTGTAATTTTAACCCTTTCAGAACAGCTAGCATGATATCGTGCTCTTCGTTCCCCCAAGTGAGGTAGAAGAAGTATCCTTTTTAAGATTAATTTTAGTGCTAGTGACAGTGGGAAATTGAGAAACATAACACATTCACTGCATCTCATGGTTTATTTGAACTTTAATTTAAATGAAGTGACACGACATTATGCCTGCAGTAACTGAGTTAGAGGTAAGGGTGAGTGTGGCACGCATTGCCTCACTAAGGGAAGCTATTGTACAATATCAAGCTCACCGTCATGAAAGGGTTTTTAATAATTTTGTTGTAAACGTTAACCGTACTCCTATATAAATGGTTTGTAAATATTTTCGCAGAATACATGTGTCATGTATACGTGCGCGGCGACAACCTGGCCGGCGTTATCCTGTCTGATCACGAGTACCCGCCGCGTGTGGCTCACACGCTACTGACTAAAGTGCTCGATGAGTTTTCAGCGACGGTTCCTCAACACCTTTGGCCAACTGCGGTCGAGTCGGGCATCAACTTCCCACAGCTGCCAGAGTACCTGGCCAAGTACCAGAACCCCAAGGAGGCTGACTCAATGACGAAGATTCAAGAGGAGCTAGAAGAGACTAAAATCATACTTGTAAGCCCTTTGATTTTTGATGACATACATGAAAAGAATGTTCTCTTGGTTGCTATCAGAGAGTCAAAGAAAGTTTTTTAAATTTTAAATCTTTGTCTAGCTTTCAAAACTATTGTTCCTTCTTCTGGCTCTACAAAACGATGTATTATACATTTTAATTTTGGCCATCAAATATATTTAAGAACAAGACACACATTTTTGTACTTTTCTCTTTTGTCTTCACTTGTTCAACTATGAAATGATTAAACTAATTTACACAAATATCACAGACAGACAATTTCCAATTCATAGTAGAAAAAGTGAAGAAATTGAAAAGGTTTTTCAGTGTTAACATGAAAATAAAAGTATTTAAGTTTATACACCAAAAATCAGTAAGTACAAAAACGTGTGTCTTGGTCTTACATATATTTGATGTTTAATTGGCTAAAATTAAATTGTATAAAAAATCCTTTTGTAGAGCCCTGAAGAAGGTACAATAAAGTTCTGAAAGCTAGGCAAAGATTTAAAATATCTTGCTTTGACTACATACCCCAGTGACAACCAAGAGAACATTGAACAGCCAAGTTGGTACATAAATCTACAAAACATATACATGAAGAAGGTTATATACATATACATTTTTTTCCCCAGCATAATACGATAGGCGCTGTGTTGGAAAGGGGCGAGAAGCTTGACGACCTCGTTATGAAATCAGAAAGCCTATCGATACAGTCGAAAGCGTTCTACAAAACAGCAAGGAAAACAAACTCCTGCTGCAGTTATGTCGGGTGAACCCTCGTCAATGATGATTCTTCGACATCACAGCAATCAAAATAGAGTGGAAAAAATACTTTTTTTTTTTTTAAAGATTTTTGTATCTATGCAATTTAGATATTGCAACATTCCTTTTTATTTTTCATGTTTTTGATTTTTTATTATATAATTTTTTAAAAGTATTATCATCGACAAAGGCCTATTTTTAGCTTAATATTATTGATTTTTATTTGTAATATATTAAATTTTTTCCAATTTATTTATAGAAGATGCCTAGGTGATTTATTATTATTATTATTTTATTATTAAGTATAACTTTTTAAGAGAATGCTTGCATGGAGTTAAGACCTTGCACATCTCTTCATCCTAATATTAAAAATAAAAATAATCTATTGGAGAATTTAAATGTGTCATCGGTGTTGTTTACAATGGTATTATTCTTTATGAGGAAAAAAGTTAGTGTTAATTAATTATGAATGTAACAGCGTATCATTCCTGTGCAATGGTGTATGTTATATGTTTAAACCAAAACAATGTGTTACAATAATATAAATGAAATATTAAAAAAAAAAAAAATGAAGTAAAAAACCGACTGGGATGTATATTTATATATTGTCTATTGTTGAATATATATATAAGCAACGTGTAATTCAACTTTTTTTTTTTTTTCAAAAACAAAAATCCAGAGATTTTTTCCTTACGGTGTAAGGGGTAAAAACAATGCGTTGAATGAGAATAGTAGAGTGAACGTTCGTTTAATCTTCATTGTTTTCAAGATATAGACGGCGCGAGACCTTCGCCATTGATATGCTAACGAGTGGCGGCACGAGAGTCTCCTGGGCTGTCGGCTGCGCCACATGCGTTTCGCAGAAAGGCCGGTTTGACAGAAGGTTGATCGAAGGATAGAGGATCAGGCCAGTGAAGGCGATCGTCACCAAAACGAAAATGGGCAGGGCTACGGCCCAGTAGACCTGCGGAAGGTACGTTAGCCCGAGGCGCGTCCCGACCGACTTGTCAAAGTCCAACGCCCAGAAGCAAAAGACTATGAAAGCTGTCGAAGACGCCAGATAGAGGGCGAAGCCATAATTTGCCCTGCTCGGCGTTGGTGCAGGGCTGTTGTGCGGAAAATCATGTGTCGTCGTCATCTGTAATAAATTAACCTCTTTAATTGACAAAGAGTAATCTTTACACATTTACCCAGCTTACCACTCAAACTGATGAATCGTGTTTACGACGAGGTAACTCAAATCAAAAATAGAATTCGATGCAACTCGTAATTTACGCAACTCTGAACCTCTGAAGTTCCTGGAAAACATTGTAATAATCATTATTTAAACAAATAATTCATTTGATAATTGTTTATAATTGACAGAAGTCTCAATATTATAGGGAAATGGAGTAAAGAACAACAAAAATACATTGAAAAAGGAAAATAAAATCGTCATGACAGAGTAAAAATTGAAAAGGATGATCCTACTCACAAACTGATTTTATAGTGATACAAATTTCACGCTGTAAACCCCACATCATCTCTGCATGCAATTTAACTACAGGTTTTTTATTTCTGGATTACTTTCTCCTATATATAGACAGATTTCTTCTCTTCTGCCCCAGGATATTTTCATTTGGTAAAAAAGGGTTTAATATAGTGCTCCAGTTGACTTTTAACTTAAATGGGGTGACATTTCATTTGTAAACCACTGAGAACTGTGAACTACTGATTCATCCCTGTTTCCGCATTCTTCCTCTTATGCTGACTCTGACTCAGACTCATTGTCTAAATTTGTCTCAAACTCTTCTCTGTCAGACTATGGCTCTGATAGACTCACTTTCTGTGAATATTTCATACTAAAATCGCTCATTTTTATATAGTCCTGTGTAGTTCAATGAGATAAACAACAATCCCAAGTGAAAAGTAACAGCCAAAATAAGAAAACAACAGTAAAATAAATAAATATTGATGCAGTGTAATAAAAAATTAAAGGAGTGAAGTTCAAGTGGAGAGGAGGTAAGGTACTCAACAGAGTAATTCCCCGACATAAGGATTAACAAAAATTTCTACTGATAATCAATCTAATTTTTTTAAATTTAATTTATATTTATCATCTTATAATAAAAAAATATACAAATAGGAATGATTAATATCGATTTAGAGAAGGTTATCTTGAAAGGTCGTATAACCGTGACGCTACCTCCCTGCCAGCTCGTCTTCAACCCTTACAGGCCTGTTTGGTATATTTTGTGGTATAATTTTGTTTAATAAAATTTGTGTTTTATTATAATAAAAATGGTCCTACTGGACAACGACACGGTGAGTTTTTAACACAAAAAAATTGTTACTTTCGATTCGTTATTATGTCGTGTTGACCGAATTGCTTGTCTTGTTTTTGCTCCAGTTCCTTACAAAACTGACGATACTCTTCCATGAAGCGAGGAACACGGGATCGATAGGGATAACGATGAAAAGATGTAAGTAATTAATATTTATTTCTTGTTAAAATTGTCGGGAGTGTTGTTGTTTTTTTATGTGAAAAGCATACGATTCTATGGTAGATAGTCAGTTGTGATGATTATTTTGCCATTTTGTTCCCACTGTGTCTTTAGCACAAATCGTATCCATTTAATTATATCGTTTGTAATGTTTATAACTGTAGACGATGGCAGGACGAAGCACCTGCCGAAAAACGGTTCGAAAAACCCCGAGCCTTCTGAGTACATGTGTCTCCTCAGGGCGAGCCTCGCCAACAGGAAGATTTCGACAATCGTAAGACAGTTGTATTATATTTTACTTTCTAATCTTTACATGTGATTCGGCGTATTTCAGGTGCATCCTAAAGAGGTGAACAGGTTCCAGCAAGCGTACTGCAGCCTGCTCAGGGGCAACATGGACGGTTTGAAAAAGGTGAAGAAGAGCAAGCAGAAGACAAAAGCAACCCAATGATTCAATTACAAAATAATTTTATATTCTAAAAAATTTTAATTTCTTTTTTTTTTTGTTTATAACTTTTTCAAAGAGAAAAATTAAAATGTATATAAAACAATTCACTTTATTTATTTAGTACATGTTATCCTTTCCAGTAAATTTAAAAAAACAAAATCTCCACAGATAGGTAAGTAATATTAATATTTACAATGATAATAAATAATAATAAAATACATTCATCCATGCACAGATTAAGATGATAAAGATAAGCCAAATGACGCCAATTTTATATGTAGAACAAAAGAAAAGAAATTGGTCGAGTGAGTTAATTGATTTTTTAAACTTTTTTTAAATGAAACAATAAATTAAAGCAAAAAATTATTGTTTCTTCTTAAAAGCATGGTTTTAAGTCGAGATCTCGTTTGGACTGAAGCTTTGGCCAACAACGAACCTAAGTCTTGGGTGTGCCTCACTCTACATCCACGACGGTCTACAGCGGTTTAGGGTCTCGAGTGAACGCAAGGTAGCGGTCGCGATGCACGATGGCTAGTCGGCTCATTTTACTTCACTACGGGATCGTCATTTAATGGCTTCATTGGTAGATAAGTCAACTCCAAATGGTCCAAAATGTAAGTGTGAGGTCAATAACAGTTATCAGAAGATTTTTATGATTATTTAGGCATCAGGCAACAGGTTCTTTACAATTAATGTGGCCCCGAGTAGAAAGGCGACTTCGCAAATCACAATCCATTTTGAACAGGGGCTGAAGTAAAAATTGTTTTAAAATGTTTAAAAAATTACTTCCTTTGGAAGTACAAGTTCAGTTTAATACTAGATCTCACCGCTAGAAATACAAGTATTTTTGGTAAAAATATGTTGTAATTTTCATTTTTTTACTGCTAGAAGTGATTATGTGATAAGTGCTTTGAATGAGAATGAGTGATTGATTTGCGAACGCAAAAGTAGATTTACCAAGAAACTGACAGTGATTGATAGGATCATTGGGTGAGAAGTGCAATCTTTGTTTCAGGTGGGACAAAACGAAACTGACTGAATGAGATTCAATGACTGAACAAGCAAGTAAAGAGAGAATGAATGACAGCCGCCACTATCAAACTGAGCAAGCGCAAGTGATGAACGATTTGAACAGATTTTTTTTAAATAAAAGCACATTTTAAGTTCTCCAGGACTATTAGTAATGAGTTGCTGGTGTCAATTCCTTGACCGTTACAAGTGCCGTAGCCGTGGTATCTACAAATGAATGAGAAAGAGCAGTTACCTGAATTATAAATGAGCAAAATATAAAATAATGTCACAAGACCCGAATGGTTGGTTTTTGTAGATAACATGTGCAATTTTTTTATCCTCTCTTTTAAAGTTAACACATTTAAGTTTTAGCCGGTCCTATTAACCAAGATATAATTTTTAACGGTTTATTACTTTTTATACAGTGTAGTGGTCTTGAAAAATTAGTGGGAACTCCAACCCACCAGAAACAGTACACTGGCGCTCTGCCATTTGAGCTATCTTCAGTACTCATGTACAAATATATACAGATTATTTATACCAGATTGTTCACGTTACCTGGTACTACCTTCGTATTGATGAATATAAAAAAAATTAAGTTCTATATTTTATTTAATTATTACTATTTTTGTTAATAATATTTTAGTTGGTTAATATTAAAACCCTCACACTGATAGTTTATTCCCTTCGGCCTTCAGCTCCCTTTCAACCCTGCTCCTATTCGGCTCTTTGTCAACGCTCAGCACCTTGTAGGCAATGCGTGCGTGCCTCTCTTCGGGAAATTCGATTTCCACGCGGCTGGAGAGGAAGAAGAATTAAAAAAGTAAGAAAAACAAGTGTAAGTTAAAATATACTTAGAATTGTCAAAAACTTACACTGAATAATCATTAGACATATCTTTCTTCAGGACGGGTACTAAGACGGGTAAAGCAAAACACCGCCCATACGAAAACTATCAATATAAACTTTACTAAAAATTAAACAATAATAATAAATATTTCGTTTGAATATTTAAATTTTTACTTGGCACGAGTTAACAGTAGTGTAACCTTTTAGGGAGATTGTGTTATGTCGATTGTGACAATCGATAAAATTATTTTTATTTGATAACGTATTTTTTGAAAATTGTTTACTCCTTTTTCTTAATTGGATATTTGGTAAATTTTCTTATTTACTGATAGACATTGGAATTTCTGAAAATTATAAAAAAGAATGATAATCATTCCATTCGGTAAGCAAGAGGTTTTGACAGTGAAATCACCTCCAACATCCAAGTCGCAATTGTTATTTTTAAAAGTTCAATTTTTCTTCTTTATTCTTTTATTTTCTAAAGGAAGAATGAAATGTAAGGTTTCTTTATTAATCTATCTTTTCGGCTTTTCCAGCGCTATGAAACAATCGAATCCCCACAACGCTATTTTGTCTGTACAATTTATCACCCCCACTACATGATCTACCTTGAGAGCTAAGTTGAAGTTGAACTATTGTTTCATACATACTTCCTATCTTTGCAGGGTTCTAGTACTTCCTAACCACTGCCTTCCCAGGAATACTGCGCTAGAAATCATTAGGTTTAAAATAGCATGGTTCTCTTCCTTCAAAACTTTGACTTAACAATTTCAGTTCAATGACAATTTTCCCCAGGACAATTATAAAGAGTGGCCACTTTTACACTCAAAATTGATCAACCATATCCACACCTCTCACACAGTGAAATATCTTCTTCATGCATAAAATTATTCTAGGTGTTTGCTGAATAAAGATCTTAATATCGATCAACCTAGCACAAACTAAAATTCCATCCATTCTGCTAGCTCGCTGGTTTTTCAAAGTTAGGTGCAAGTTACTTTGCCTTAATTATAATCCCACAAGATTCAACAGTTCCGATAGGTGCTCTCCCCATAATAGGCAGGCTCAAGTAAATTGTTTTCCCTTTTTAGCAGAATGCCCAGTTTTAGCGGAATTCCAAGTATGGCATATTGGGTTGCCCATGTTGACAAGAGAGCACCTAATATCTTTATTAAATGACCCTGAGTGCTTAAATTTAGTAAAATTTGCGAGTAAGCATGGAACTACAAGAAAGAATTTGTTTTTTATTTCAATTATTAAATGTTTATTGTATATATGAGACACCCTGATTATTTACAAGTGCATAAGTGTATGTAAATGTAAATAGAAATGTTATTTTATTTTACTTATATAGTTTTTTCCCTTTTGTTTATTCCTCGAGAAGAAATTTTTAGTTCTGTTTTGTTTGTTTATTAAAAATTTATAGTCTGACTCCAAAAGACGGTTGATAACCATTGCCGTTATATGATTTGTAGTAGCACTTTTTCTCCTCTTTTGTTTATCTAATATAGTGCTTTTTTCATTCATTCATCTTTTAAGTTTTATTTCGTCAAGAGTGGTATTAACGGCCAATTCTTGACCAAATATTTTCAATCAGTAAGTTACACACAGATAATTCTTCCCAGTTCAATTGATACTTAAATGGATAAAAGAGGCGGCCACAAGGCTTTCGTCAACTCAACCTGAGTAGATCTATTACGCTTCTTTATTTTTTTTAATACCTTAATGGCCAGCTTCAGCTTAACTTCTATAGCCTTGCCTGCAGCCTTAGCATAGAATCTTGCGGCTTTTCCTCTCAACTACCTAGGCCCCCACAGATGCCCCTGTGGCCACTTCTTCCTATCTGCACAATGTTTTCTCCAGTAATCCTTTTTATAGCTTTTGCAGATCGCCCTTTGTATGCCTCATGCCTGGTGTTCTACCAGGTTTTGGTCTCATTAAGGATCCATTTTTGGACGTGTCCTTTTTTTTGTGGCAAGATATTAGTAGGATTCGGGGCCTAATGGTGCAGCCTGTCTGTCAGAGAAAATGGCTATCTTCCTGGAATTTATTTCTAGCCTTTTTATTTCTCTGCCTCAGTGTTCAATTGCTGTGATTTCAAACTGGAAAACTGTAGCGTATTTACCTCCCAAGGACTAATTCTTTATCGTGACAACTTTTCAATCTTTATTGAGATCATCTTCAGGGCCTGGGATTTATAAACATTGTTTAAATTATACAAATACATGTAGGATGTGAAAAATGAATTCATACAATGCTAGAAATTTTAGACTCAAGGTATTAATAATCAAATATACTAAGAGTAAGTATTTGTACTCACTCACTACTTGAGTACTACGTTACTGTTGTACAATATTAGTGGGACTGTGCATGATCCTCATGTGTGATTCTAGGTTAATACCAACTTTTATTGTTTTTCATCATGTTATTCTTAATTATACATATACTTAGTTAATTATAAACAATTTTTTTTCGAAATGAATCCTATGACACAAATTTTTCATTTTCATATAATTAATTGACTATTTGAAAAAGTATTGCTTTCTGATATATAAATATTGTTTTTTGTTGTCTTGGCATAAATATTTGACATCCATGGACAATCGTACTTTCTTAAAGTATGCCGTTACAAAATTAAAATTTGGCAGATCACTCAGTGCCACGAGACTCTGTCCTGGAAGGTTGCATATGAGAGGGTGAAAAGCCAAGGATCGACTAGATGTCAATCAACAATCCAACACACCTTACAACTTAGAATTTTTTTAAAAATTTATTTACGATGTTTTCTTATATTTTGACCTCAACACTTAATCTTATGATTCTTCCTTCTTGAAGGTGGGATAATAGGTCATCTCAAATCATCAATCATCAATAGGTCATCTATCATTTGAGATGACCTATTATCCCACCTTCAAGAAGGAAGAATCATAAGATTAATTTCTTTACTTTATCTGTATTACTTTTGTTTGGTCTGGTTTTATGATAGATGAACGTCAGTAAGTACAAACTCACCTGCATGCAGCTGCTGTATTCGCCTTTTTATTTATTTTTATTGTATACTTTTATTTCATACACCTATAATTATATTATATATAAATTATATTTCAGGATGTACCTATGTATATATACAACACAGCCTAAGGGTAAATGGGTACAGCCACTGCAACAGTTAATTGACCAAGGATGGGATTGGACAAGGACTAACGATCGATCCAGTTGCCTTGGTGACACAATTGGTACATTATTTTTTCTCTCTTCTCTTTTTTTTAAATTTATTTTATACACGGACTCAGATTTCAAGAATCTGGAGGAAAATAGGAGCTGACATGAAAACAGGTGGTGAGTAATCACGTGTATATTTAAATTTAGTTTTTAGATAATGAATAGCATAACGGATTATAAATCATGAACGATTAGAACTTGTTTAAACGACCCAGCACTAGAATCAGTGATTGTTTCTCATCCACATCTGTTGTTGCATTCTCCCAGCAAATGTAAATTTTGTAACGTTCGATTTCCACTCCTTGAATCCACTTGGAATAACATGAAGTTTAAGCCTTAAGGTAAGGAGCAAGCAAAATGTGGCTTCATCGCCCAATAATTTTTTGTAAAGTGTAGCAAATTCCCCTTCTATCCCCTTGCTTGATGGAACCACTTCCGTTTTCTCGCTTGAGTTCCTCTTCTTCATCCAAAATCAGCGCGATAAACAAATCTGACAACATTGTCATTTTAGATGAAGTCACGATAACTCGAAGTGGTTAGAGCAGAGGTGGTGGTATTGAGCCAAAGGTCGTGGGTTCGAATCCCGCTCGTGACACTAACTTTTTTTTCACAACCAAGACTTTACATGAGTATAAATAAAAAATAAAATTAAAATAATTAAAAACAAAAAAAGTAAAATAATAAAAAAGAAATAAATTTTTAAAAAAATTAATCACTCAGTTATAATTATTTTCTTATAGGTCATCAGTCTTCTGTTACTCCTATCAAAAATTCTTGAAAAGCCATTTTTTCCCAGACTATTTGATAAATTATTGCATATCCTCCCAAACAGTTCGGCTTCTGACAACGCCACTCATGCCCACAAGTTCATCGCATCACTGATGAAATATTGACGTTATGAGAAAAAAACAATTGTGCTTGGGTGTATTCATAGGCATTGCAAAAAAGGCTAAAAATTTAAAGTGAGAGCACATCTAATAGACTCCATGTACAAATTATACTCCCCGACAAAATTATAGGCCACCTGTAAATTTATTTGAAGTCTCCTTGACAACAAATCTCTTTGTTTGAGTACTAAGCAACTACTGTATTTATCGCTAACCAGGCCTATACGGCCATACTCATGTGAATACAGTTGACACAAAATTCTGTCTCATCACATGGTATGTGCGCAATAGGCCGTACATGATCTAGACATCCCGATCCAATAATTGCTGACGGCTCAAGAGAAAGCTGCCTCAAGAATTCCTGTTTGATGATAGAGTCACATGTACATAGCATTAATTTATTAATAAATTATAAGAATATATTTTCTGTAAATTATTATGCGAGTGACAAAGTCAATAATTAAATTATGAAGGTAGTTAGTGGATGCAGTATATGTTATATGTATATGCAGTATAATGGACGCATTACATGTTAATTAGCTTGTTATGCTACTAGATAATGTGTTATTAAAACTGTAATGATTTGTACTGATCAATAAAGTTTTCTATCTAGAAAAGAAGAAAAAAAAAAATTGGAGTTCACGGTTGAAATCGCCGGCGGCCTGCGGTATAACGGCGTCGTGGCCGGGGGAGTGGGAGCCCGTCGAGGAGGGGGTGCCGAAAACAATGCTGGCGTCAGTCCTCGACGTGAGAGCGAGTTGAGGTCGTCGACGGAGTCGTCCGAATCGATAAAAAGCCCGAGCGCCCCCCCCTCCCCCCGGTAAAGGAAGAATCGGAAAGGTGTAAAGAAAGAAAAACCCAAAAAGACCGTCTTACGCGAAAACAGCGAAACGCCACGCGCCAAATGTCGTCGAAGAGGAAATCGACCGGCGACGCCGGCAAAAGGCCCGACAAGAAGGGCAAGAAGAACGGCCGGAGGAAGGACGAGCTGAGCGACTTCGAGGACGAGTTCAACTCGGACGTGGACGGCGACGTGTCCGACGTCGGCAGCCAGGACGACGATGACCGCGACAGCGAGCTCGCAGTCGACGATGGACTTGTAAGTCCCATTATTTTCAAGTCCAAAGCCCCTCCATTAATTTAAAGATCAAAAAACAGCGTTAGTTTTTTTTTATAGGTTATAACCGGCACGGCCGCGTTACCCCGCGGTCACGATCTGTCCGAAAAGCCGTCCCACACGCCAAAACCAGCCGAAAACTAAAAAAAGTAAATCGGGAAAAACCAAAAATTTGAAAAAAATTATTAACTAAAAAAAATAAAAAAAAAAGGTCGTAAGCCGGATATTTTTGCTCCCCTTCCTCCCTGGGCCTGTTTTAATGGTAAACGATATTCCGTTATGGCGGACGGAGGTTTTCAAGTCCGCCTGTCTCTCTAAAAAAAATTGAACTCTAAAACATCACAACACCAGCAGTATGTTAAGAAATTTATTATTTTCACTTAGGGGTAAATTTAAATTTTCTTATCCCACTGCTCGTTAATACGGCCGATACTCTTCAAAATATCGTGCGGGGTTGAAAAATAAATAAAAATCCTCCCATTTGATTATTATATTTATTCTACCACACATTTCCTTTTAGGAATTGACAAGAACTCGTCTATATCGAACAAATCACTTGGCATAGTCTTTACAAAGTTGCATTGTTGTTTTGCGATTTTTGTTTGTGTGTTTGGATTGTAGTCAGGGCCCCGAAGAACGGTGATGGACGGTAAACGATCCAAAACGAATCGTTAATTCTGCGATGAGTCATTTTTTCGTTGTGATTATTCCTAATTGCATGCAAATCTGAGCGCATATGCTCGATTTTGTTGATATGTTGGTTTTCAATGGAACACACACTCACATTAGTTTACTCACTCAAACGAGTAAATACATTGCTGTAGCGTGAAACGCTTGTGCATTGTTTTTTCTCGTGTGATTTCAATTTCAGCATTTCCAGAACAGCATACATACAAGAAAAAATAGTACGAATCTGTGACCTACACTTGACACAAACGAACGAGCACTTGCAAGTTGCAAACTCGCGCTAATTAAGTAACATTCATCACCCTCCCCCCCAAAGATACCCTCACAAAAACAAACACTCATGCATTCGTTAACTAATCCGTATTCACAAAAAACGACCAACTCTCACAGAAACTATCATGCTCTTACGAACTAACAAGCGTCCATTCAGACACTAACACTCATTCCACGAATGACTTACTCCCATTAACTAACTCGCATTCACACAAATGACCTACTTTCTCAGAAAAACAAACACGCTTCCAACCATTAACCAACACTCATCTTCACAAAGACTTATAATTTCACACAAATGACTTACACAGAAACTGCCATGCCCTTACGAACTAAAAAGCGTCCATTCAAAAACCAAGGCTCATTCTCATAAATTACTTGTTCCCTCACAAAAACACAGGCTTGCAAACGTTTGTTAACCGGCTTTCTCACAAATTATTTGATATTTCACACAAATTAACTGCTTTCTTATAAAAACAAACACACTTGCACCCGTTAACTAACACTAATTCACACAAATTACCTCTAATTTCATACGAATTACCTACTTTCTCACAAAAACTATCATGCCCTTACAAACTAACTAGCATCCGTTCAGAAACAAACACTCATTCTCACAAATGACTTACTTTCTCACAAAAACAATCATGCTCTTGTGAACTAACAAACGTCCATTCAGAAACTGAACACTCATGCACACAAATGACTTGCTATTTCAAATAACTGACCTACTTTCTCACAAAGCAAACACCCTTGCATCCATTAACTGACACTCATTCTAACAGTGACTTCAATTTCTCACAAATGACTTACTTCCTCACAAATAACTTCCTCCTAAAAAAAAAAAAAAAACATTTACAAACATGTATGAACGTGTTAATGTGTTCTCACAAATGACTGTTTACTTAACACAAATGACCTACTTTCTCACAAAAACTATCATGCCCATATGAACTAAGCGTCCCTTCATAAACCAACACTAAATCCCCACAAATGACCTAATTTTCCACAAAAACAAACACTGCATTTAGTTAACTGACACTCGTTCTAACAATGTCTTCTAACCTCACACAAATGACAACATGCGTAAACAATGATGCCCCTATGAACTGACAAGTGTCCATTAGATACTAACACTCATTCTCACAAATGACTTGCTCTCATTAATTAACAAGCATTCACACAAATGACCTACTTTCTCAGAAAAACAAACTCGCTTCCATCCATTAAACAACACTCATCTTCACAAAGGCTTATAATTTCACACAAATGACAAAGTCAATAATTGTATGTTGAAGGGTAGTTTGTGTTTAGTTACATGCTCATTCTCACAAATGACTATTTTCACAATAATGACCTACTTTTGCACAAAACAATCACACATTTACAAACATTCTCGCAGCTCTCTCCCTCTCTGAAAAAATGCAAGTCTGTACAAGTGACCTAAAGGAAAAAAAGCTAGCATAAATCATAAACTGTTTCATAAAACTACTGTTTTTGCCCATTGACTATATGATAGATATAATAATCAGTCGATTATTTTTGTTTTTATTTAGCGAGTCCAAGGGCCAGATCACGTTGGCCGCTTTGTCTTCTGCGGAGCTACCAATTGGGACCTTTACAACAGGAAGTCAGTGCCCAAGGGTTGCAAGAACACCGTCGCTAAGAACCTTTACTCGCCGCACAGGTGACACCGAAGCCCCCGTTGGAGTAAATTGGTGCATGTTTTCACTATGTATTTTTTAGATTCACCCCGCTGGACAACTTACGCATAAGGTGTGTCGCTTCCGGGTGCAATTCAGCGCATTCAGTTATCATCACAGAAGACTTTAAAGTTTATACTTTGGGTAAAAAAAAATCTTCTCAGGGTTTATTTTTTATTTATTTATTTTTTGTTTAAATTGAACTTATAATTTAGGGAGAAATGAAAAGGGCCAACTTGGTACTGGTGATACGGATACAAGATTCCAGCCGTATTTTCTCGAAGCGATGAAAGATATAAATGTTGTCAACGCCTCGTGCGGACGCAATCACACGCTTCTTCTCACCGACAGAGGCACGGTGTATGCTATGGGTGACAATAAAATGGGCCAATGTGGTGTCGGAAACAAAAATCCGACTATCATGATTCCCACACGGGTAAGTTTTGTTATGTTTCCTTCTTTTAACATATTTAAATTATATTTTAAAAAATTTTTTAAGGTACGTTACAAAGGGCCGCCTATTGTCAAAGTTGTGTGTGGAGCTGATTTCAGTCTCATACTAGATCTCAAGGGTAACATTCATACTTTCGGTGATCCTGAATATGGACAGCTTGGTAAGTCGTGTTTTATCGTTAGTTAAACTAGTTGACAATTTATTATTTATTTATTTTTAATTTTATTGAACAGGCCACAACAATAATGGTGAATACTTAATCGCTGCCAACAAAATGATCCGAATACCTGAGAAGGTGCCAAAACGTGTCACCCTCTTCATCGAGAAGCAGAAAGACCATGTGACACCGATCGAAGTGTCGGACATAATAGATGTCGCGTGCGGTACTAACCACACGGTCGTGCTCGACTCAAAACGTAGGCTCTTCTCCTGGGGCTTCGGCGGCTACGGCCGCCTCGGCCACGCAGAGACAAAAGACGAGTACATACCCAGGCTTGTCAAGTTCTTCGAGACTCAGGGCAAGGGGGTCAAGGCTGTCTACTGCGGATCGCAATTCTCCGTGGCCGTGAGTGAACACAGTAAGTTCAATTTAAACATTTTCTCCCTCAACCTTCAATAATCCAATTCGTCCTACTTTCAGAAATGTGCTACCTCTTCGGTAAAACAAAGAACACAGGAGATGTAAACATGTATCCAAAACCGATACAGGACCTAGCTGGATGGAATATCAGGACCCTTGGAGCCGGCTTGACCAGCGTAGTCATGGCTGCAGACAACTCTGTCATCTCTTTCGGCGCGAGCCCTTGCTATGGTGAACTGGTGAGAATAGTTGCTCTAAAACACCTTTTGATAATTTGATTATATGAACCTTGAGCCGAATATAAACTTGCATTCTAGATAAGTTCAAAATCTCATATCAAACCACGCGGACCCTGAACTAGTGAAATTTTGTATGGGTTTTGCTGTCAGCAAAATGTTGGTTATCTGCATATAAGGTTTTTTATTACTATAACGTGTTAAGGTAAAATCTTTGACATTCATTTGTACCTTCACCAAGTCCATTGAACTTTTTCCCTGGTGGATTCAATATGACGCTGTATGGTGCAGAAGTGAGTTCTTGAATGCCTGTCTTTCACCGGAACAATACATCAATGAGATTTTGAACATTACACCTTTCTCCTTTTAACACTTTTGTGCTGGTGATATGAAGGCAACACTCATCCAAACGCCGATTACCGAACAGATTACCAGAATGACACATACGATTTTTAAGAATATTTTTTAAGAATTTTTGCTGAATGGGAGAGGGAAATGGAAAAACCAGACTACATAAAACATTATTATTATTTGGACTTTCACCATGAAGGGGTACTGCAGGGGAGTTCACCTTCCCTCACTGAACATGTCGAATATGATTTTTTCTGTACCTTTAAATTTTATTATCTCTCTTTTATATTGTTTATAGTTATAATTTTGTTTTGCAGGGACATGGCGAGCTTCGTAAGTCGACATCCGTCCCAATGGAGGTGCGCGCCCTGGAAGGTATATACGTCGAACAGGTCGCCATGGGCTCGGCGCACACGCTTTTTGTCGTGCGTGACTCGTCCGAAGAGGAGAAGGAGAAGGTCGACAAGCTCCCAATCTACACACCGTAGTCGTGCTGTGCATATGGCGCCTGTTTCTCGCCGTCGTGCTCCCTTCTCCCTGTAAACCCCTATTCCTATCTGTGTTATCATTTCTCAAGAAACACTGAAAGGCCTAAACTTGAATATTTACAATTTATAGAAACAAAAAACCTACCGCGAATATTTCAATTTGTCCTTTGTTTTGTTTGTTCATTTTTTTACTTTTTTTGTACATAATTTATTAACAATAATTTATATATTATGTAATATTTCAACATGATTCCAGATTCCTTCCTTCGCGTAGGATCATTTTATTTTTTTGCTCTGCCAACAGCGTACCGAATACGGCGCTCTTATATTGCTGGTATTTTATACATTTGTAATATAATAGTTTTGTTTTTTCTTCGCTGTTGAAAACTGGAGATTTATACATCAGTCCGTCAGGTAATTTAAAACATTTCATACAGCTGTGATTCTTAACCATTTATGCGCGTATTATTTTTATTTTTAATAGTGATCCATATTGAGAATAATAAATTAATAAAATAGGAACAAAAGGGTCTGGTTTGTTTTTTATAAGTAAATTGTCACACATGAGAGGCAGATCAGTTAGTTCTTCGTCTATTGCCTGTTGTTTTCTCTCTTTTAGTCTTTTATTTTAAATTTAATCTCTGTTATAAGTATAAGGGGGAAAAACATTGAACTTAAGGGCCTAGAGGATAATTATAATGAACAAATCTTTTTTTAATTAATATAATTAATATAGGGAATATAATTTATGGTTAGGTATGTTAAGGTTTAATATTTTTTCTTTCTTTTTTTTCCGGTTATTTGTACTTTAATATAATGATGAGGAATGTGAGCATGTAAAGGAAAAACATCCCCCGTAATTAATTGCAAGGAGGTAAAAAAATAAGAGTTTGTTATTCTATATAAGACAGAATTTTTTTTATAAATATACATAATTTTTTTCATTAAAGTTTTTTCCTGTTGTGTGTGTGTGTGTGTGTCATGCTGTGTTGCTAAGGAAGGTAAGAATTTCCCTGCAAGAAAAGTGAACCTTCAAGTTGCCTGATATGCGTTTTACTAACCGTAAAAGATTTCATGCTCTGTCAAGCAAAATTAAGAAGCCGTCGGTATGTGAATTAACAAATGATTCCAACTGATATATTAAATTGATTTTACATTTATCAGACTTTCACCCGGTTGAAACTTAGTCGATCTGTTGAACATCAGAGGAGTTCACCTACTCCATTATGCGGGTCACTAGTTTCCTATATTTCACTGTAAGCCCCTCACACTAACAAATACACGCACTTACTCAAAACAAAGCAGATTTATATATAATAATTTTTAAAAAATACATCCTCTAAAAAGCAGAATAGGAAACATGGAAAATCTTGACCGAGAGACATTCTTAACCTCTTCCAGTCATGTTGAAGATTTTGTCGCATTTTATTATTTTAGTGCACATAAGTCCCCTAAGCTATGAAGATGATGGGCAAGAAATAAGGGGTCTTTTCTGCAGTAGGCATTCATTATGTTATATGTGATATGGTTATCTTAGTGACTACAAGTGGTTCAAATTCTTTACTAATTAATTATATACAGTTGGGTTTGATTTAAGCTAATAATAAAGAATATACAGTCGACTTGTTAATTCAAAACCCAAGGGACTGCAAAAATAATTTGAATTATCAAGAGGAAAGGGAAAAAAATGTTGAGTTGATATGCATTTTTTTTCCAAATTATTACTTAAATTGTACATGTATAAAACGTAGTAAAAATAAAGAAAAATCGGAAAACAGTAAAATCGAATATTGTTATTAACAATGCATTATTGAAAAAAGTCGTGATGTGATTTTAGTTTCAATGTGGCCTGGCATCCTTTGTTGAAATGATTTTCGACAGTGACCAGTGCTGAGAACATATTGACAAGACCCACAGAACATAACAAACCAGAGAAAATTCGAAGAAACCTTAGGCTGTAAGGAAGTAAACGTGGAAATTTAGAGGAATATAACAAAGAATAATTGCAGGTTATATAAGGGAAGTGGCTAAATTTCGATTAATAGCGTTATTATTATCATATTAATGGAGTTCCACAAAATAGGATGGACATCAAAAAAATTACGCTATAAAGGTATGGTTATAAACTGGTCAACAATAAACCTTTTTAAGTCACAGTGGATGAACTAATTGTCTCCTGCATCAACCTATAAAAAAACTACTTAATATTCCTCGGGGTCTCAGTCAATTCGATCCCAGCGCTAATCCTTTCAATAATCCAGAGTACTCGATAATCACTATTCCTCGGGGTCATTGGGGATAATCCTACCAATCACGCTAATAAATTACTTTACTCGGCTAATCCTTCTCAATACCCCAGAGTACTCGAAATTCTTCGTGGTCCTTGGAGGATAAACCCTACCATTCACGCTAATAAATTACTTAATTATTCCGAAATTGTAAGAAGCGGTCTGGTGGAATGTAGGTTTCAGAAAAACATTTTCTTTATCGTGCGAACGTTCGATCTTTGTTGAGATCATCTTCAGGGCTCAAAGTGTTTGTCTTCCGTGTAATTGTGCATTCTTGCGTGTCGTGTTAAGTGCCTTAACCATTTCGGCCACCGACTCACCTTTAAATAATTATATATTATCAATATTTTATTATTAATTATTTTTAATTTGAACTTTAATAAAAGAATTATAGTTTTGATCAACCCTCATTTGGAAGTGCCCGATCAAACACGCTGTGGATTGATAACCTTCCTAGAGGTTACAGCACTGGCGGAGAATGACTAAGAAACGAAACTTTATGAGTTTTTTAGTTAATTTCTAGCCTCTTTCTTTATTTCTTCGCCTTTTACTGTTTTGTTTAATAATATCAAATAAATCGTGTGTGTTAAAAACGATGAACACTTTTTCCATGCCGACCGGTTTCAAAACCCACCAGGAAGGCCGGCTCGCTGGTAAAGTCGAGTTCTACAATGTTCAGAGGTCGTACATGTCCTCAAAAGTAGCCCGGGTCCGGTGGAGCCCGGATTGCGAACACTTCCTGACAGGTGGGTACGGGGAGCCCACGAACAGGGTGGAGCTTTGGCACTTTCCGAGGGGGGCCGACTGCGCCTACGGATACCCTAAGCTCAAAGACTCAATTACTACGAACGGGGATGTCAACGAGATTAAATTCGTCGATGGAAACAGGTAATTATTATTTCTCTATAAAAAACTTGTCTCATATCATAATTACAAATAGCCTGTTTACCTTGTAATAACCTGTGAGGATCAGGTGAGCGCGTTGGGTCATCTGTGTTGGTCGCAAACGCATTCGCTATCCTTGGCTCATCCTCGTCAAACTGACAGATTCATCCATGTAGAATCGCCTATGAAACGTCAACCGTTTTGATGTTACGCCAGAAGTCTGAACCTTGACCAAGGCATTTCAGTGGCCCTGATTCACCTCCGACACTAAGCAAATCATGGCCGACAAAGCGATTGGCTGTCTTTCCTTTGTTGGGATTTGCTCAGTGTCGCAGTCCTCCATACTCTGTCAGGGGACGACCCATAAAAAAATATTTACATCAATAATCTCCCTGACTCCATTCAGCACTGCAATTACTACATCTATGCCGACAACTTCCAATTTATAAACCTTCCATCCCTTCGATCTATATTTGGCTATACCAAGAATGCAAGGTCTGACTTCCATAAACGAATGGGCACATAAAAACAACCTGGAATTAAATGCTTGAAAAAGCCATTGTTATAGGATCTTGTCACCTCAAATACCTCCCCTATCCCTTCTTTCACCATCAACAACCGGCCTATATCCTTCTGCTCCACTGTTAAAAATCTCGGTGTTACCATTGACCAAAACCTTTCCTGGTAACCAAAAGATTTATTGAAAAATAATGACATAAATTAAACAAAGAAAAACTCATTGCTGTAATGGTTTATAAGAAAAAAGAATGTTTTTCTGTTTGATCTGGTTGTGCCACAAAAGTCTGCTTCTTTCAGCATCTCGAACAGAAGAGAATACTGAGTTCTTCCGTTGTCGGGAGGGCCCTTAAGCTGATTCTAGCAGCACCCTGTCCAACTTGGCCCATTGAAGGAATGGCAAGGGGTATCAAAGTCCTGCAGGTCAACCTGATGGCCTAGATGTTGCCCTGGCTCAAGAACTTTGGCTGTACAACGGAACTGAGACGAATAAAACCCCACAGGTATTATACCAAAGGGCATCAGTAAGACTGCTTAAGAAGGCACATGCACCAGATAAGAGAACAGACAGTGCAGATATTGCCAGGAAGAAGAGGAGACCACAGGACACATTTTATATTTTTGTAAACGTCTATGTAGATTAAGATTATTATTGGACAGGAAAAGACCGAATCAAGGTCCTACACCAAGGAGCCGCAGGCAAGGCTGGAGGTTGATTACCTCCACTTTTATCCCGATCCCTAGGATGGTCCTTGAACATCGTATGAATGTACAATTGTCTACTTTCTGGACATCATATAATGCGTTGTGTGTGGTGGTAAACCTGTAATTTGATCATTACCGATTATTTTAGTTTGCCTGTCTCTCTGGGTTCACATGTTCCGGCAAACAGACCAAAATGATCTGTAACAATGAAATTACTTTTATTAAAAGGATGGAATTATCTACAATATTTGATTTTTTGTTTGTCATCACTGATCATTAGAATTTACTTTAATTTTTTTTGTTTTATTATTATTTAGGTTTTTGTTTTCAACAACGACAAGTGAACTCCACTTGGTACAAATCTCGAATGAAAAGATGGAAATTGTTGAGACGTGGGATGGTAAATACTTCGTCGGCGATTCCATTTACGGTTTTGACATAAGCGACGAGAGCACTGTTGCTGTTATAACGAGCGAGGGTATAATTGCTTGCTTCTCCCTCGCGAACCGGCAGGAGCCTTCTGCCACGGTTGGCTCACACAAGGACAACATCGAGTGTGTATCGTTCTTAACGAATCACGAATTGGCCCAGGGAAACTTGAGGGGTCAGCTCACCGTCTGGGATCTTAGATTAGACCTGTTCAAGCCGGCGATGTCTTTCGCATACAACAGGGACTCGACGGTCGGCGTCACCTGCATACAGCCTTTTCCGGTAAATACAGATATATTTATTAACTGTTGATTTATTCCTTCAATAGCTTATTGACTCCATACAATAATTTAGTTACCAAACCTTCGACTTCCGTTACTCGACAATAATTGACTTCTTACAATCTGATAGCAATCGTTCTGGGCTTTTTTATCCTCGCTGGATTTATCTGTCATAGCATTTTGCCATCTTCAGTGTGTGTCTGTATGATTTTTATTTATTTATTTATTTTTTATATATAAGGTGACAAAGCAGACTGCCCACCCTAAAGATGGCAAAATTCTGAAACATCTGACAGACCCAGCGAGGATAAATAGAAGTAAAAGATTGGAAACGATCCAATTCCAATTTCATCAATTTACAGACCACAGGAAATTCATGAATTGACATCATACTCATTGACTGTCTTATTTGATCAGCCATTGACTATCTTACTCAATAATGACCATTTCATTGACTTTTTAAATGTTCCACAAAACCATTCATTGACTGATTGCTTTATTAAGTTAATGGCTAATACATTGATTGTCTTGCTTAATTATTGACTTTTACTTGGCTGTTAGCTACAACAGACTGTTCGTTTGTTCATTCGTTGACTAAGTTAATCACTAATTGACTGACCAATTTGATATACTCAGTTGGACTCATTGACCTAGTCAGTACTCATTGACATAATTCACTTGATTCGTTTATTGACTTTGCCTTGCTCAATTATTGACCTATACATTGCTGGAACCTGTAATAGACTGACTCATTTCTTCACTCATTGTCTAAGATAATTATTAATTGTCAAGCCAAAATTGATATACTCAGTTGGACTCATTGATCTGGTTCATACATAATTCGCTGTTACTGATTTATTGACTTAGTAACACTTGCATGGCTTATAAAACTTGATAATTGACTCGTTCATTTACTTAATCACTATAAGTCAGTCGATAAGAAGAGGCTCCGTGGTGTAGTAAATTCAGAATGGGAGAGATGAATGTGACAGTTATTTGATGATTGATTCTATAAAATTTTCTTTTGAATATTTTGTTGTGATAAAATTAACGCGTGAGTTAATAATCAAGTTCCTTAAGTCATTATGGATTAAAGCAGTATTATTAAGACAAAAATTAGACTAATTATTCACTGATTTAATTTCCAATTAAGTTGGCCAATCAGTAAGATAACGAATATGGACTTAATAGAATTGGTGAATGATAGAGTGTGGTGTTCAATCCTTAAAAAAAAAAATGTCACTAACTTAATCCTTAATTGACTTAGCACATCACCATTTCAAAAAATTTCATTGACCCGTTGATCTAATTCCTACATCATTTACTGGCCTTCTCAATTAGTATTTTATTTATTGACTCCTCTACTATTTAAAAATTGAATTATTTGTTTATTCATTGTTCAATATGGTCACTTCAGGTTCGGAAGCACATGTTGGTCGCCAGCGGGATGGATGGTTCAGTAACGACGTGGGACCTAAGGAAGCCACTGATGGCCGAGACAGTGTATGAGGCACACAGTAAGCCAGTTACGTCGATGGTCTTCCACCAGGCTAGGCCGTCGAACCTTTTCACAACTTCGATGTCGGGCGAGGTATGGCACTGGACCAACTTCCTTAGCTTACTCGGCGAAGGCGGTACGACTGTGACCATGTTCAACCACACCGTCACGATCCCGCCACCGGACAACAAGCCGGATGTCGTGTGCCTGATAGGGAAGAAGAAGTTCCCGACGAATTCGTGTGACGTGATTGAAGACCGTCTTGTCTGCTCGACAGACAATGACTGCCTCGTCTTCGTACAGCCTTTACAACTAAAATGATTACAAACAAAAATATTTATTTTTTAATCCATTTTTAACTAAGACTAAGAAGAGTCTTATTATGATGTTTAGTCATTCATCGAGCTTTTCCTCCTAAGAAAGTACTGAAGTATATGTAAAGAAAAAACATTGTGTTTACTTGTCAGGTGGTACCCAATAAATCCAGGGGTTTCAAGGCATATTGACTAAATGAAAACGACCTGTTAGAATGCTACTAGCGTATTCTTTGAATTACATACAGAGTTAATGTTTTTTAAAATTATCATAAAATTATTATTTCTAATAATTAATGTGTAAAGATTAATAATAAAGAATGAATTAGTTTCAAAAATAGGAAATTTATTTAATTGATTAGTTTACATTATATTATTATTGAAAAGTGAACATCCTTTTACACATCCCGCTGTACCTTATATTCATATCCTTCAGTTTTTCCTTGATGAACTCCATCTCACAGAGCCCTTGGGGGTTTTTCGGCTCTATCTTCAAAACAGCATTCAGGTCTAAATAAGCTTTTTCGTAATCCTTGAGTGCCTTGAGAGCTGAAGCGCGTCTCAAAAGGCATTTTACGTTGTCAGGTTCATGCGCGGCCACCTTATCGCATACAGCCACTGCGTGTTCATCCCGGCCCAATTTCAAAAGGCATAGAGCGATGTTGTTGCAAACTGTGTCGTAAACAGACCTCGCCTGATCGTCTTTGCCGACGAAGACGGCGAGAAGGAGGCAACGTCGGAACCTCGATAACGCCTTGTCGACTTCTCCCGATTGGAACAGTTTGACCCCCTGTGCTTTATGCTTCATGGCAAGTTCCAACTTATCATTATCGGTCATACTATATATCCTAACACCCACTCGAAAAGACTTGAGTTTAATCTCGAAAATGCCATGTTCACAGTACATCACACACTCTTCTTGCCTGCACATCGTCATGAGACACCGTTCGACTAGCATGTCGAGCGCCGTCTCGTACTCTCCGATCACCAGCCTCTTCTCTTCTCCAGACATGGATATGTCGCACTCGTCCCTCTCCATCGGCCTCGGGCCTTTCAGACCCTGTTTGGTCACCCTCTTCCTCCACCGGCCGTCTTTCGACTCGTAATCCCAGCCTAGTTCCCCTTTCGACATACCCGCACAAATCCGACCGGCGTAAAAATTTAAAAACTATAACATAATCCTTTTTAAATAATAATCAACGATGGAGGGAAAAATTAAAAATAGAAAACCACCCCTTAAAATACTCGTGATGTTTATACAAGACACAAACTTCACTGGAATCGCAAAAGGTTATAGTATGGTTATGAAAGCGACATGATTTCCGCTTATAAAGGGAAAATTCAAAGGTTCCGCACATATATCATAAAATTATATTCGTTAAGAAGAACAAAATCACTCATTCACTTTCCATACGATCAAGCTTTGGTTATGGCGGTCGTTCAACAATTACTCAAATTTAAACAATTCTTAATCTGTCTATCAAACGTCCGGATAGTCCATCGTTCGTTCTGCTCGTCAATCGATGTTTTCACAATCATTCTTTATATCAGATTCAGCCTGTCTTTTATTAAAGTTACTTAATTTATTTATCAATAGTTGTGGACAACTAAATTATTTAACTAATCAGTGTATTCTTCATCAAGTCGTTCAGGCTGTCATCATCCAGGTGTTCGGTGATTCATCATTCAATCCGTTCATCACTACAATCTTTCAGTCTATTCATTATTCAGTAATTCAAATTCGTCATTTAGTCGTTGATTATTCATCAATCGGCTGTTTAGTCATTCATCATCAATGTATCCATAGTTCAGTCTATTCATCTTTTGACCTGTTCATCAATACAATCTTTCAGTTTATTCATTACTCAGTCGTTCAGTATTTCATTATTCAATCTGGTTATCTTCCAGCCGTTTGGTGTTTCATTATTCAGTCTGATCATCAATACAATCGTTCAGCTTGTTCATCACTCAGTCATTCAACATACAGTTGTCTATTCATCATTCAGCTGTTTAGTCATTCATCATCTCGTCTATCCGTCCTGTTATACATCAGTCTATTCATGTCTATCTATTCATCATCCAGTTGTTCGGTGTTTCATTATTCATTCTGATAATCAATACAATCTTTCAGCCTATTCATCGCTGTCATTCATCAGTCTCTTCCATCATCTGTCTAGTCATTTATCATCTAGTTTATCCATTCTGTTCTACATCCATTCAGTGTTTCATCATTTGGTCAGATCATCAATGTAATCTTTCAGCCTATTCATCACTCAGTCATTCAACAACCAACTATTCATCATTCAGCTGTTTATTTAATCATCATCCAGTCTAGTCATTCAGCTGTTGAAAATCAGACATGGCCGACCTGTCGGTGTTGTAAGAGTCAAGTCTGATTAATTCTATCGATCCATTCAACAAATCTTATTTGATTAGAATTTGTTGATATATCTTCATAAGGTCATTGCGATGAAGTACGCTTTTTTGAGTTTAATTAAACTGAACTCGGTCAATGTATGTACTTTTTAATAGACCCTGAGGACAGTGTCGTATAAGTATAAGTCGCCAAAAATGTCTACTATATCACAAAAACCTCATGAAAATACATAAAAAAATTCTAATATGATTACCGTCAGTTCGATAAAAACTTTAATATTATTTGACATCCAGCGAGTCAATACAATCCGATTGTTAATGATCATCATTTTTAACTCAATCTGTCAAAATCACTCGATCAGTTGACTACTCAGTACACCACCATATCATAATTTTATTCTTCAATCTGTCTGTAATGAACATGTCATCAGGATCTGATAAATAAGCACAATTTTTATTTTATTTTAATTTATTAAAATAATTATAATAAAGTCACAATCCTTGACAACCAAGGAGTATTTTTTATGGTCATATTTAATCAAACTTCCCCTCTTGTTTTTTTGTGTATATTTACATGTTATAGGTAAACATTCTAGATATGAAAAAAGGTAAAAAATAAGATAAATTTTAAATCTATACCTTCAAAATCTACAAATAATATTTACAAGTTTGTTATGTTTATTTATGATATTATTATTTATTTTTAAAAAATTTTTTTCTTTATAAATAAATAATTATAATGAATGACAAGATTGTATGCTGTTTGAGAAGACACATCGGTTCATCGCGATTTATTTGTTCTTTTTCCCTCCTCCGAACCCCGAGAATCCCATGATGACAGCCAGCTCTGACTGTGGGTGGACCTCGTCTGGATCTTCTTCAAACTGTCGCTTTCTTTCTCGTTTTCTCTCCCTCCTGTACTCTTTCAGCTTATCTTCCTATGGTGATTCGTTAAAAAAAAGTATGTAATTTATAGTTGCATTTTGTCATTAGTTTATTACCTCCTCTTGTATCTCTTTCATACGCTGTTCGAGATCATAGTCCCTTTTCTTCTCCTCAAGCTTCTTCTTGTTCACCTCAAACCTCTTCTTGACCTGATCCAGGCTCGAACGTTCAATTCGCATCGACATACCGAGATTCCTCTGGTGCTTCTTCCCATTGATGTGGTCGAGGAAGTTGATCGAATCTTTGACAATGCAGTCGCATACATTACAGTAGTAACTAGACGGGGAAGACACGGGTTAACGACGGTTTTGATTTCATTTAACGCTACTCACCCGCCAGACTGCGACGAAGGGGTGTTTTTCGTTATGACGACACTCTTGCCGAGTTTGGAATCGAGGTCGACTTTGTAGTCTCTCTGTTTCAGGAACTCCCTCTTGACCGGAATGCTCTTCTGGTTTGCCTTCTCCTGAGCTTCCAGCTCCTGCTGGATCCGCTCCGATGCCATCTTCTCGTACTCCTCCGCGTCCCATTTCCGACGGTGGTCGCTGATCTTCTGCACAATAAATCGAAACGTGTAAAAGAAAACAAAAAGCAAAGCAAAACTTCCACCCTTCATAAGTCATAACCCGAATAAAACCATAACAGAAAAATTCACTAATAGCTTACATTGGACGAACTCATTGTATGTCTTGACACAAGTATAATTCACGGTCTCATACGAAAAAAAACTTAATTAAACTAGAGAAAAGAAAAGCTATTAGAAGGTTCTTCACTTCTCCCTTCCTTTATTTACGTTCGGAAATAAAACTTGTAACCTGACAAGAAGGTTTTACGTTTCAGTGCTGTCACCCAAAACATCCAAGCAGGAAAAAAAAATCTCTTCTTCCAATGTAATAACAACTAATACAAAAACTAATGGTTATATATTTAAAATAACGACTTAATAACTTAAACATAAAAATCATAAAAAAATGGAAAAGTCGTTTTGGCCAACATGTTTTCCGTGTAAGTATCAATACCATCAATTTTCCCCCCTAATTCAACTTCCTTCAATAAATTTTTATTTTTCCTCTGTTTTTGTCAGCTTTGTTCAATTACACTATTAAACTACTTCCATTGTAGTGTTAAATTTATGTCGGAATTTTATAATTTTGTCAACTATTTTTCAACGTTGTAACTCTACCAGAAGGTTACGCCCCTTGTATAAAAATCATTGACTGTACAAACGTTTAAATAATTATCTTCTAATTAAATTTTTTTAATTTGGCCTTGGAAAAGCGTATAATATGACGATTGACTTGTCTTAACTTTCGAACGTATTTTTGTCAAGATCTTATAATTTTGCTTCATATTATTCAACTTTGTAAATGTAGAAGAAGGTTACGCCTGTTCTTGTATCAAATGCTGGACAATACAAATATTTAAATAATTATCTTCTAATTGAATTGTTTTTAATTTGGCCTTGGATCAATGTGTAACAGGTCGATGTACTTGTTTCAACTTTTACTCCTATTTTATAGTATCTGTACGAATCGTGTAATTTTGCCTCTTATATATTGTTTAACGGTGTGTGAACGAACCGTTCAAGAAGGTTACGCACTTTTTTTTTTAATTGTTGAATATACAAATGTTTAAATCATAATGCAACAATAAAAAATTTGTGTTTGGGGATGGTTAGGGTTCCCTAACCACCCCAAAAAATTTGAATAGAACTAATAAAAATACTTAATCGATTTTCAGTCATAATTGTTCTATATTAGTTATATAAATTGTTTAGCAGTAATGGACGATATTTTAATGACCCGACAAATGTGCTCTGTTCGGTAATTGTTTTTTTTTCTTCTTTTTCTTTTGGATAAGAAAGTCTATTTATCTTTTGATTCTAATAATTTGGTCCAAAATTATTATTTAAACGTAAGGTGAAATTAAATATAAATTTTTATTGTTATTTTAAATCGACCGTTTGTATCGATATATTGTCGATATTTTTCTTTCGATACTTCATGCTCATGGTGGTGGTTGAACGTTTTTTAATCTTACCCCCTGCAACCCGCGCCGATAATAAACTCATTTAAACAAATAAAATAAAAGGTAATTAAGTATAATTTTTATTATTGTTTTCATTTGTGCTTCCGTTCATTTCAATATAGATTTGTCTGCCAGTTTAGCGTATATTTACCACTTGAAGCACGGACGAACCGAACGGCGAGTAGAGGAACCGCAGCAACTTCGACTCAATATTTTTTCCGTTTCAGGAAGAACAATTCGAGCAAGATAATTAGACGATTTCAAGATGCCTGAGACGAAATCAGACTCGGAATATTCAGATTCTGGCTCGGAGGAGGTAAATAATATTCTATGCTAACAATTAGCCGTTTATGTACATTTTCCAGGGGCGATAGCGTGCACCGCGGACAACCGCGTCCTTTCATCATTTTTTTGTCGATTTTTAGGTTAATAAGGTAATAGATTGATAAGTTGACATTTTTCAGTTTTTCTTTGAATATTCACTGTCGTCTGTATGTCTAGTCAATACAATTTAAATAAAACTCAAGTCTAAATGATTTTCGGTACAACCGGGAGTGAATGACCGTCGGAATACTTTCGTCTCAATTTTGCCTCGATTTAAGTTAAATTTTGTATTTTTGGCATGATGTAGCACCAACGGGTGTCTACAGTTTGACTGCGACTGAAGCGAAACTGTTGTGCAACTCCGGTCAAATCTTGTTTGTGCTTATGTTGTAGTAAATTCATCCTTGAATCAATAAATGAGTGATTGTTTGACTGTACAATTGTAGAAGTGAGCGAATGATTCACAGTGATCGATTCGACTGGCTTAGTACATTGAATGGACAACATAATATACAGACAGCAATTATTTGATTGCAAGTCAGAATGAATGGTCAACTGACCAACAGGGGTTGATTGCTCATCTAAATCTCTATAGGTGACTACTTGAGGAAGTGTGTAAATAATTTAATAAGGAAATAGCGTTGACTTAGTGAATGTTTAACCGGATGATCATAGAATGACCCTTTCTGATTGATTGAACGAATAAGTCTTATTCTGTCCTGAAAAGGACGTTAAAATCTTTTAAGACTGTGCCTACGCCGAAGGTCAAAATTGGTCCCTCGTGCAAGCATGGAATCGTTTTGCAAAAAAACTCGCTTTCACCTGTGAAGTGCAATAAGGAAGGCTTCACATAGAGCCTTTAAAAAGGCTCTTCCCTCTTCCCTTCTGCAGGGTTTGGTTGGCATACCACCTGACCAACATCACAACCAAAGCTACTTACATTCGATAGAGAAGGCAGCTCTATCAACAAGCGGGTCAGCCCCAGTTTTTCATTTAAGTGAATTACTAATCACCACCGGGTAAACTCTCTTGGTCTACTCTCCAGTACTTGTACCACATACCACTTCAAATCCAAACCCAATAGCAGGCTATGAGGCTGAAGCTCAGTTATTCTCGCATTCTGTTGCCTGGGAAGTGTGATTGATTGCAAGCCCAGCAGTTAATGGTAGCGAGGATCTTGAGTCTCGCCAAACTGCCCACTGTTTTGAAGTGTTTGCCTGTCACTCGAGGCTGCAGTAAACCTAGAATTCTTTCATCAAAGAGGAGTGATGGGAGTTTAGGATAATGGGAGGAAAAGTATTGAGAATAAGGTCTGCATGATTTGATTGTTTGCAGATACAATTTGCTGGGTAATGGAACCAGAATGATGAGACAGGAGTTGATTGAAAGAGTGAGTTAGCAACCTGCTGAATGAGATTGATTGACTGATAGGTAAATGTGTGACTTAGCAACCGGTTGAATGAAACAGTGAACAACTGAGTCACTAGACAGTGATTGACCGACTGAGTGATTTAGTTATTTATAAACCTGCTGAATGAGGTGGTAATTGACTTAGTAAATTCCTAAGTGAGCTATCAACCAGCTGAATCAATCAGTGATTGATTGATTAACTGAGTTAATGAATTGGCAACTGGTCGAATAAGTCATTCACTGGTGATAGATAGGCTGGCTTAGTTGGAAAGTGTAAACTTTTTTTTATTGTTTGCATTAATATAAACAGACTGGAGTGATGAATGATTGATTGAATTAACGACAAACTTATTGAAGAGTGAATTATTGAATTGAAAATGGAATGAGAGATTGACTGATTGTGTCACCGAATGAGTTGTTCACTTATTGAACTACTTAATAACTGTTCATAATAAAAATCAGATCGATTAATTATTTATATTTGAATAAATCTTTTTTTCTCCCCAGAGGCCAGTCAAAAAACAAAAGGTCGAGAAGTCAAAGCCGAAGCCAAAGCCCAAGCCGTCGAAGCAGCGCGATGAGGACGAAGAGCCGTCCTGGTCCCTCGACAACAGGCGTTTCATCAAGGTGCGTGAGTTTAGAGGCAAAGTGATGATCGACATAAGGGAGTACTACGAAAGAGACGGCGACCTCCTCCCTGGCAAAAAGGGCATCTGCCTCTCTACAATCCAATGGAACAAGCTTAAAGACATCATGTCCGAGGTCGATGAGGCCATACAGAAAAAATAAAAAATCATCTTCCTTTAATACTTAATGTTAAACAATATTTAAAGTCTTATTATAAACAGAAAAAGAAAAAAAAAATACACCGGAATATAATCTCCGGTCCAAATTTTGTCTTATATCAATAAATCTTTGTTTTTTCTCCTTTATATGTTGTAATGTGTGTTGAAAATTTTATCCAGTCGTCCTATCTTTTCTAAACATTTTTTACCTATATCCTGCTTCGATTGAGTACTTGATTGAAAAAATGTAAGGTGTGTTTTATATAAACTACCTATATACATTTGTGTATATTTTGCAGAGTTGTGATTCGCAGTGGGCGAACATTTTATATACAAGACTTGATAATACCCGCAAAAGCGTATATGTGAATGTAAGCATATTATTGATGCTGACAAGTAAGTATATATATATATATTTATGTGTATATAATACACAGAGCTCTAAACACACGCTCTGGAGAATTTTACTTGTGACTGTGGTAATTTTCTTTGTAAAGTTTTTATTGTAAAATTCAGTGTATCTTGTAAAATTCAGTATCTGATATTCGGGTATTTTTCATTATTTTGACTACAATGATCTATCAAAAACTGCAGATTGGAAATTTATACAACGTTAAAAAGCTTATATAGTTTGATTTAAGAAAATAAATTTTTCATTATATAAATTATTTATAAATGTTTCAAAAATTCAAATAGGATGGACCGTCGTCTTTGGTATTCTGTTGGCAAGACTGTCCGCTTTGTAACCACATCGTTGAGGTTATAGTACTATAACCTACCCGTGTCTATACTGTTTAGGTTACAGATTGTATGTAAGAAAGTCGGCGTTCTGGGGGTGATTTTCCCTTTTATTTTTTTTTGGTTTTTAATTTTAATCCGTGTTTTATCAATAGAAAAGATTGATTTGCCGTCTGAGATTTGAAGGGCTAAAAGACACCTGGAGGAAAGGGGGAAAAGAGAACCGGCGATCAGGATGTCGGACGTCGAGGAGGATTTTATGTGCGAGGAGGAGGAAGACTACGGCCTCGAATATTCCGAGGACAGCAACTCTGAGCCGGACGTCGACCTGGAAAACCAGTACTATAACTCGAAAGCATTGAAGGAAGAGGATCCGAAGCTGGCCCTCGCCTCGTTCCAGAAGGTGTTGGAGCTAGAATCAGGCGAAAAGGGCGAATGGGGCTTCAAAGCGCTGAAACAGATGATCAAGATACATTTCAAGCTCAACAACTACACTGAGATGATGGAGAGGTAAGGGTCGACTTGTATACGTTGTTGACATGTTGTACCAGCTTACTTTGTCAAGGTAGAGCAGAGTAAACTCAGTCAACCTTGTTAACTTGCAATGAAGACGATGTTGATTGTCTGCGAGCTGGTTGACGGTTGTGATTCATGTTAAGAAGATTGAGGTAGGATCAAAACGGTTTGAAGTCATGTCGATGCACCTGTGAGATGGACCAACATTAGTTTTCACATGGTTTTGTAGTCGTGCCAACCTCTATTCATTTTGGTTCTTATCTGTGCATTGACGTTTTTGTGCTTTCCTGTAATAATTTTATTTTTTAATAAATTTCTGGTTGCAGTTATGACTAGTGTAGTTTGGGCACCACGGTAGCTGAGTGGCTAAGGTTTTAGACTCTCCGCTAGTAGATCCCGCGGTCATGGGTTCCCACTGGCACCTCGGTTGTTTTGTTTTTTTGTTTCCAATGCCTGACCTTTGGTTGCAATTGGAAAAATTGACACAGCACTCATCAATTGTAGTTCTGGGGCAGGATCGGATCTCTACGACACTGAATTTGGTCCTAACCCCCTTCAAAAATGAGTTTCTTTGGTGGAAGAACAGTGGCGCACTGGGGGCTCAAATTTATATGCATATTTCGAGGCCCCAAAAAAATGGACCCAGGAAGGAAGTACTATAAGCTGTAATATACAGCTACAGTTCTCAGGGAACTTCTCCAGTTCCTGGTATGCATTATTTAGAAGAGAAAAAAATTACTAGTATACCAAATACTCAAAATTGGATTGAATTTTTTGATAAATTGAAAGAATTGCCGGAATCGAGTGAGGTCAAATCTAAAGCGTTTAAAGGTGACTCCAGACTTGCGGTATTCACCAAATGCTGCTCAATATTTCCGTCTAGGCATTCACCAAAAGTGCGTATGTATACTCACAGGGTTCCTAAAAACGAGCCAGTTTTTGCGGACATGAGAATATGTATTTGCCAAGTGCCATGCGACCAATACTACCACTACCATACACCATACTACCACCAGTGATGCTGTGGGCTACAAACTCAGTCACAAATGATTTTATGATTTTGGTGAGAATGTGTTCTAAATTATAGGTTCAGCTTGATCGGGGAATTCTAAGTATGAAATGACCGACTGAATACTAGAAGAGATATTGTATGAGTTGTGTTTTTGAGTTTCACAGTGTTTATCGATATTTATTCAAGTGTGTTAGACGTTTTTAAATGGCAAAGGTAGTGTTCTAAGTTTAAAATCAGATAATTTTGATCTTTTCGACTCGTATTGACCAGGAAGACAAACAACATGTCCCAAACGGATTGTAGCTGCTTCTCTTCCGGATCGACTCCTGGAGTCGCCTGTTCACTGTTTGAAGTGAGTATTTGACTTGGCTGACTTTTCATTTTCAAATCATCCCTTTTTATCTGTTTTTCTACCGGAGTAGGGGTGGAAAGGAAAATCAAAAGTCAGGGAGTTTCCACGCCGGTGGATTTGCGAAATCTCATCGCTACATATTTTTTGGCCTTGTGACAACCCTTTAGCACTTATTTATTTTTTCCAATTCATAACCTTTTTTTTGTGTGGCCGTTTATACTAATTTTTTGTCCTTATTTTAAGAATGAAAACTTTTTCTAAAACAGGGACTGGCTTACAGAATTATTGTTAAGAAAATTAATTAACTGATCAGATGATCAACTGAATATATGCTTAAATAAATTCATTAATTTTATGACAGATTGAACAGTTATAAGACAGCCTAAGTGATAAAGATTCATTGTATGATCAAATCAATCAATCAGTTGGCAGATTTACAGGAGATGAAATTACTGATGAATCAGCTTACTTTGTTTGATAATTAATTCAGTTTAAATTTTGTAATTTCAGGTACAAGCAGTTGCTGACGTATATTAAGAGTGCAGTGACGAGGAACCACAGCGAGAAGTCGATCAATTCAATCCTGGACTACATATCGACATCTAAGAACATGGAATTGTTGCAGAACTTTTATGAGACAACTCTCGACGCGCTCAAAGACGCTAAGAACGACAGGCTCTGGTTCAAGACGAATACGAAGCTCGGGAAGCTCTACTACGATCGGGAGGACTTCAACAAGCTGGCCAAGATACTTAAACAGCTGCACCAGTCTTGCAAGACGGACGACGGTGAGGACGACTTAAAAAAAGGGACGCAGCTTCTGGAGATTTATGCTCTCGAGATACAGATGTACACAACGCAGAAGAACAACAAAAAGCTGAAAGCTCTGTACGAGCAATCGCTCCATATAAAGTCGGCCATACCGCACCCACTGATTATGGGCGTGATACGAGAATGCGGCGGGAAGATGCACCTGAGGGAGGGCGAGTTCGAAAAGGCACACACGGACTTCTTTGAAGCATTCAAAAACTACGATGAGTCCGGCAGCCCGAGGCGGACGACCTGCCTCAAGTACCTCGTCCTCGCGAACATGCTTATGAAATCTGGCATCAACCCGTTTGACTCGCAAGAGGCGAAACCGTACAAGAATGACCCCGAGATACTTGCCATGACCAACCTTGTCTCATCGTACCAGAACAACGACATCAACGAGTTTGAGAGCATACTCAGAACGCACAGGGTGAACATAATGGACGACCCGTTCATCAAGGAACACATTGAGGACCTCTTGCGCAACATAAGGACACAGGTGCTCATCAAGCTCATCAAGCCGTACACGCGCATCCACATACCATTCATATCCCAGGAGCTGAACATAGACGCAGCGGACGTTGAGAGCCTGCTCGTTTCGTGCATACTCGACAACACCGTCCGAGGGAAGATCGACCAGGTGAACGAGGTACTTGAACTGGACAAAGAGTGCAACTCGGGCTCCAGGTACACAGCCATTGACAAATGGACCAACCAGCTCACCTCCCTGCAACAGGCCATCGTAAAAAAACTCGCTTAAATTTATTCATAAATTTTTATTAACATTATTATTTTAAATTGCATATTATAATTAAAAAACAAAAAATTTGTACATTTGGACAATACAATCCCCCCCCCAAAAAAAAGAATAAATAATAAAATGAAATAAATATTATAATAGTAAAAGTAAATAAAAATAAATATAAAAGCCCTTCTCCACAAATTCAAAATTTGATAGCTGTAAGATAAATTCTCCCCTTTTTTTTTTCCTATTTGTAATTATATCTGAAATTTATGTAAAAAAAAGTTTTCAAAAGTTTATTCGCAATCCCAAACCTTATTTTAAACGTAAGCTACTAATCGTAGACTAAGCACAGCTTGGCCTAAGCTGATCCAAAGTCAGTCCCCCACACACAAATCAAAATTATTTAAGATGATTCTTGATATTTACTTTTTAACATTCATTAAATTAATAAATAATTATATTAGTGATAATTAATCATGATTAGCCCCCAAAAAAATATAAAAAAATTGGCGGTATGTCTTAAAAGGGTGAAGTTCATCCAGCCTCCCCTTCCAAGAATTTCAAAAATTTGACCAAGTTTTCTAATTGATCACAGAATTTTATAAATCAATTTATGTATCTTATATTATGAGCGTTTTTTAAAATAATTAAATATAATTGTACATAGAACTAAGGCACTTTGTTTATTTATAAACGAAAATCAAATAAGTTTGAGAACTTAAATTTTACATATTATATACAAATAATACAAATACAATTTTCTTTTAGCTCATTCTTTTTTTTAATTGTTTTAACATAAAGTGTAAAAAAATAATCGTTTATTTGTTTTTTTTAATTATTATTTTTTTTAATGTTCGTTTGGACTGTTGAAAATGTAGCATAGCTAGCAAGCGTTGTTGGCTGCCCTGTTATGTTGGCAGACCTATCCTGTCCAAATGGGACGACGTGAACCTCCCACCACTGTTTCATTACGGTCCTGTCCTCCGAGCAGAACATTGGGCTTGACGACGGTCCTTCGTCCGCGCACGCAGGTAAAAGAAAAAAAATATCGCGATTTTCCCAATTCGCCTTCTCATGAGTCGGCCTAGCTGAAGAAAAATCAGAAGAAAAAATCTGCTAAAAGAAGAAACGGAAGAAAAAGAGAAGGTTTCATCCTACAGGAGACGAAAATGGAAAACGCCTATTGGGAAGAGCCGACGAGCCTGAACAGCCAAGTCAAACTGGAAAGGTAAGCCCGTTTCCATAAAATACTCTAAACAAACACAATTTTCAATATATATGGTGATTAGATGAAAAAAAATCAGTGTCAATTTATCCATAAGAAAAAAATTTTTTTTTTGAATCCAGGAACTTTGAAAGATTTTTCAAAACTTGACCATGTCAGGTTTACCTCCTAGCAGGTTTCCTTATAGTTTTGTCAATAGTTAAAAAATTATTCAAATTATTGAACAATTAAGTATAAATAACAATAAACGCAGTTTGTCAGATAATATGTCGGTTAAGGATTTGTCAGGCATTATAGCAGGTTGTCACACTGTTCTTAATATACCTGTATACACAATGCGCATTCAAGTTTGTGACTTAGCAATGACAGTCCAATGACAAGACCATTAAACAACAATTTTTTTTCACTTTTTTAAATTATACGTTTTGTTTTTACAATTTTCAGCAGCTTGTCGTATGCAGGCACTGGAAACAGTGAGGATGAAGAGTACGGCTTCCATGGCAAAAAGAAGTTGGCGAGGGTGAGTTTTTCCATATTATTTACCGTCGTTGTGATTGTTTCAATTAATTATACTCTTTGTTACCTAAGGTCTTGGTTGAGATGAATAAGTTATTCGAAGCTGGGATTCGAATCTGACAAAGCGGTTAGAGTAACGGCTCATGACACTAATTTCCCACTTTTTTTTTTCAATCAAGACCTTAGATAAAAAGTATGATTAATACAGTCAATTATGACTGCTAAACATATATAGATTATTGTGATGTTTGAAATTTAACAATAATTCATGTTTGAACAATTTCAAACTATCTTTTTCTTGCTCAATCATTTCTTGTGTATTGTATGATTAAGTTCTTATATCTCACTCACGGTTTGTCTGATAATTTGTCCCTTTTTGTGTCTTTTTCTTTTCTCTTTACCTTCATTTTACAGTGTATTTTCTTTATATCATACTGTTACTCACTGTTTTCCCATCTCTTTCTCACTCAGTAAGTCTTTCCTCCCTTTCCCTCCCCTCTCACTCTACCTTCTATCTCACTCAGTTTAACGCTCCCTCTCTTTTCCACGCTTTTTTTTTTGTACTTTTGCTACTACTTACTTTTGTACTTGTCTGCCCCCCCCCTCTCTCTCTCTTTCTTTCTTTCTTTCTTTCTTTCTTTCTCATTCTCACTCATTCATTTACTTTTGCTAGCCCTCCCTCTTTCAATCACACTCACTTTATCTACTTATATGTTTCACTCATTCAGCTTTGGGCTTAATTCCATTTTTCCAACTTTTTCTTATTTCTTACGATTATTTTTTTTTCATCTGTCTCTCTCCTCTTACTCTCTCTCTCTCATGCTCACTCATTCATTTACTTTTGCTAGCCCTCCCTCTTTCAATCACAATCACTTTATCTATATATGTTTCACTCATTCAGCTTTGGGCTTAATTCCATTTTTTCAACTTTTTCTTATTTCTTACAATTATTTTTTTTCATCTGTCTCTCTTTCTCCTCTCACTCTTTCTCCTCTTACTCTCTCTCTCTATCTTTCTCTCTCTCTCTCTCTCTCTCTCTCTCTCTCTCTCTCTCTCTCTCTCTCTCTCTCTCTCCACACACACTCACCCACTTTTGTTGTTTCATACCTTGTTCTTTTCACACTTTTTTCTTCTCCTTCCTTTTATCTTTTGTAATTTTTCCTTCCTCCAAACAATAGTACACCCATTACTACAATCTCATATTCTCATATTAAAAGTACATATAAATATTGTTTATTGTTTTATATATTTTTTTAAAAAACCACCTATTTCTTATTTTCTAGGTAACTTTTTTTTTTTTTTTTTTTTTTTTTAATAAATTTAATGTATTGCAGGTACAGCCTAGCAGGATAGCATATTTTTAGCATGCATTAATTTATTATATAACATTTATCAAATTAATACAATCAATACAAATTTTACATTTCTTTCTTCAAAGAATAATTGAATATAAAAATTTCATCATTATATGATATTTAGGCTTTATAGTACAAATTGATAGGAAAATAAATATATTTATAAAAGTTAAAAAAAAGAAAAAAATGGGACAGCTATTTATCAATTTTAGGAAATCGATATCTTTAATAAACTACACTATACACTTTAGGCCCACTCAATGCCATTGTTAAAGCAGAGTGATAGGTCTACCAGTAAGGTATGAAGGAATATCAGCACTGACAGTCAATGACCTAGAACATCTTAGGAGAAGGACTAGGAAAGTACAAAAAACACTCCGGTATCTATTATCATCAATATATTTCCATAAATAAATAAAAATAAACAAGACTCAGTGAATCGCTCTGCCTGCGACGTTCCATATTGATTAACATGTCGAGCTATCCAAGGAAGAAAAGATCCCGACCTGTGATTCGTCCTATGCTGGGGAGCATAGAACAACAATCATATTGTGGCAGAGCAGTAGTTTAGTGGTATCCGTTGCATCAAGCATGTTTCTTTTTCATGATGTTTTCTTGACATATACATTTTCCTCCTTTATAGCTGTCACATACACAAACACCTTAACTTATCTCTCTACTTTCCATTTATTTTTTTATTTTTCTTCCTTTATTCTCTTTTTAATTTCTATTCACCTTGTTGTATCTATGCTATCACCCTATTCCTCTCTAACTTTTTTTTTTCTCTGATCCCTTTCAGTACTTTATGTAGAAAAGGTGATCAGGGATGTTTTTCTATCCCTCTAAACTACCATTGGCCATCCCTAAGGCCCAGGAAGACCTGAATACCATTGTCAACTGGGTTCCAGAAAAATTCCCCCAATCACAATCCTACGAAATATCATGGCTATCATCAACTATCAGTTATCGGTAGGATCCAATCATCTCAAATCCCTCCTCTGTATCTACTTTTTTACCGTCAATAACCATCCCGTCTCCTTCAGCCCCTCGGTGTAAAAACCTTGGAGTTATCCTCGGCCAAAACCTCTCAACGTCACATTACCAAAATTGTCATATTGCCTCCCTCACCCTGTCCTGGTCTCCTCCCCCATTCCGTTGTTTAATTACTGTTGTGCTGTTTACGGTGGGCTTTCGGGGGAGCGAAATAAGTGCTTTAAAAGATTAATGATGTGTGGTTTCTATTCGGTGTCCCCCTGGCATCACGCCTTTATTCCGACGGCTCTATCCCTCTTCCTGAAGTCCTCGGTCCCCTTCTTTACCGGCCGTAACACCCATCGTCCTCGTTACACTATCCAGTCCGATTCAAATCCTCTTTCCACTCCTGCAATACCTACTCATCTCCCTGCGACCTAATCCATCCCCGGCACCTTTCCTCGTCCGAGCACTAAAATTCAGTAATTCCCTCGTCTTAAGTGCAATGCTTCCCTTACTTTTTTAAACAATCCTTGTGTACCTTCCTCTCTCTCAAAACAGAGTCTGTATATCCGCAGTTTAAATTTATTCGTTTTACTTTTGTTTTATATAAGCCCTTTGTTATTAAGGCAAGGCAAGGTTTATTTTTGTGTCAAAATATTCACAATTTTTCTTTAGCCTTTGTGCTATTCTAAAGACTCCTGTCCCAGAATAAATTATTTTTTCTTCTTCTTAAATCATTATTGTGGAGTCTGATCACGGTACACTTTCGTTTTTCTACCCCCTCTTGAAAATAATTGCATTTTTGGTTAAGAGTGTGACATGGTAAGGTCAAAAGCGCAACGATTCTACTTTTATCATATCGTGATTTTTTGTGTCAACTGTTGTATTTTGTGTATGTTAAAAAATAATAAAAACTTATCAAATAAACTGAAAATGGATGAAGGGTTGCGCAACCGGGCGGTTCGGTTTTTTATTTATTTACTTTTTTTTTCTTTTTTTTTTTGCCGCCTCGGCCACCTTGGCAGGGAGTGGAAGAATGGAAAAAGGGCAGAAAAGAAGCGAAAACACGTGAGCCCGGGCCGCCGGCGGCCGTGGTCACATGGACGGCGAGCCTCGGGCCACCTGTCGTCCCGTTGGATCCACGTGACCCGCCCCCCACCGCAATCCCCCGCACGTGTCCTGCCTCGTTTTTATCATTACATTTTTTTCCAAGTTAAAAACAAGTTAATTTTAATTAATTTTAATGTAGGAGAGAGGGTAAAAATACGGATAGTTACTTTCTGTCACGATGTTTTTTTCGAATAGCTTTCTTATGTTCTTATAAATTCTCAGATTTTATGGCCCCTTAAATCCTCATTCTTTTTACTCTTAGGATGTTACATTCCTACTCCCATTCTCACCCACTCACTTTCACTTTCCCTCCTGTCACATTCTCCCTCACTCACACACTCACTAACTTTCCTCTTTACACACTCTCTCTCTCTCTCTCTCTTTCTGACTCATTCAATCTTTTTCACTTATCTCTCGTTCACCTTTCTCCTTCTCACTCAGTCTCTCAATATCTCACACTCACTCTCATTCACTTCACTCTCTCTTTCCCGCCTACCTATTCTGTATGTGTCTCTATCTCACTTTCCCACTCACTCACTAAGTCTCCCTCTCTCTCTTACTTACTTATCACTTTCTCACTCACTAGCTTTCTCTCTTTCCATACTCTTTCTTTGACTCATTAAATCTTTCTCACTTTCACACACTCTCTCTCTTTCTTTCCCGTTCACCTACTCCGTGTGTGTCTCTACCTTTCTTTCCTACTTAGTCTCTCATTATCTCACACTCACTCACTAAGCCTCTCTCTCTCTCTCTCTCTTTACCCTCTTTCTCACTCACCTCTCACTTTCACATTCTCTCTCTCACACTCACTTTCCCGCCCACCTACTGTGTGTGTCTCACTACCTCTCTTTTCCACTCATTCTATCTTTTTACCCTCTTACTTGATCACTTTCTCTCACTCAGTCACTAAGACTCATTCTTCTTCAACCACTCTCTTTCATTCATTCACTACATCTCTCAAACTCTCCTCTCTCTCTCTCTCTTATTCACTTTCACTTACTCTCTCTCCCCTCTCATTCACTTGTTCATTAAGTCTCTCTTTCTCTCTCATCCTATCTATCTTTCTCACTCACTCATTAAGTTTCCCTTTCGTCCAATCATTCTCTTCCCCCTCTCACTTGCTCACTCATTTACTCGTTCACTAAGCTCCTCCCTCTCACTCATTGCGTCTCTCTCCCACTCACACTCTCATTAATGAAATTTTTTATTGTTGTGTAAACCAGATTGTTTAATGTTTTATATTATTATGTTCATGTGTAAATTATAACCCGTGTTGGATGTAAGAGAGATCCAATCGACCTTATTTTGCATGTCTAAATAAAAGTTCAATCAATGTCTCTTTCTCACTCACTTTCAGTTTCTCTCTTTTCCACCTTCCATTTCTTTTTCAAATTTTACCTTTTTCTTTCTGTCAGTATCGCTTTTTGTATGCGGATCCCTCAGCAGTCATTGACAGACACAGTGTTGACTACGGGAGAATCTGTGAGCCCAAATTGAATTATAACCGGAGGCCGGTTTTATATGCACTAGAAAAAACCTCAATATGCCATATAATTTGCTCTTAAAATATTAAATTACATAGGATGAATATTGGATACATCATTTTACTAAAAAATTAACTTTTTTTAATTTTATTATTTGGACCTGTTACATACTCATTTTGAAAGGAAATAGAACAGAAATATTTCACTCACTCAAATAAATCATATACCTTAAAATATTATACAGCTTACTTACCTTTTTATTATTTTAAGGCAGTTATCTAAATTGAAAGAATTTGCTTTGTCACGTTTAATCTATATTGTGATTTTATTTTTTTGTTGTAAGGATCCGCTGTCACACAGGATTATAGAGAAACGTAGGAGGGACAGGATGAATTCGTGCCTAGCCGACCTGTCGAGGCTCATACCGCACGAGTACATGAAGAAAGGTCGAGGGAGGATCGAGAAGACGGAAGTGATCGAGATGGCGATCAGGCGGATCAAGCACCTTATGAGCCGCACTGGTGGATGCAAGGGTAAGAGAACGTACATAATTATACGCATCTTGGTTGGTTTATGTTTTATATTTTTACGTTTTAAGAATCGGACTGCGGCCAAGACGAACAGAAAGAGGCTGAAGACCAATCTCAGCAGGCGCAGCGAGACCACTTAGAAGAGCTTGCGACGTCGTACAGACTCGGGTTTGTCGAGTGCCTCAGTGAGACTATACACTTTCTCGTCCAGGTCGAGGGGCTCATGGCAACAGACCCATTCTGCACGCAGCTCAAGACCCACCTTTCCAACCACTGTGACAACATACTGCAAAGTAAGTTTTTATTATTCTAGGTTTATATTTATTTTATATTTATTTCTATTTTTTTTCTTAAGGCGAAGGTTTGAGATCGAGGCTGTGCTTCTCTGGTGAGGACAAGAACGACCAGCCGGCATTAGCTACTTGCGAGTCGTCCAACACAGACCAGGACGGCCGGACTACCCAGTTCTGCGCCCTCCAAGATACCGGTTCGGACACTAGCACCGGCCATACTTACAACGTAAGCGACTCTCCATTGCAGCTCGTACCTAGCCAACAACAAATTGACAATCGGTTACAGCTGTCGCCGACATCGTCCAACTCCGAGAAGGGTACCGGCGCCGCTCCTGCCGAGCCCGCTCCGAGCTACAAGTTCAAGAACAGGATACAGAAAAGGTTCTTCGAGAGGAACCGTTCGAGCCGGGTGCCCGTTTTCGTCCTGGCGCCTGGGGGCGCACACTACCTGGCCACGTGGCTCGACGCAACGTCTATACCAGGCTACGTCGAACTGGGCCCTGCTAGGGAGCCCCCCGCCAGCCACCACCCGGTCACAATCAGCGTCGACTTCAGAACCAGAGTCGGGACGACGTGAATAGGTCAAAAATGAAGAAATCAAATAATTGAAACAAGGTGAAAACACAATCCCGGTACTGTCCGGACAGCCCTCAGGATATACAAACGGATTTTTCCTTCAGCCTGTTTTCTTTATATCTTGAGGCGCAGTCATTTGGGCGTTTTTTATATATAATTATTTTCTTTTATTAATTTAATTAATAATAAACCTGTGCCTTACTGTGTTACCTAGTTCGTGCTTCGTGATCTGGAAAATTTTCCCTTCGTCTGTTTTTGACAGTTTTGATCAGGCATTGGTTTTGTACTATTCGTTGAAAAAAAAGACTGAATACTGCTGTGCGTTTTAGTGATTTTAAAAGCCCATACTTTCACTGTACGGGGAAAGAGGGGGGTCTCGGTTGTTGTTTTATCTGGCAATTTTTTTTTTTTTTTTAATATTCTATTGAGGAGTGTAGATTTTATTGTATGCAGACTATTAAGCCATGTTGTATTTAAAAAAATGTATATGTATATGTTATTGATCAAGTTAATTAAAAAAAAAGACTTACCTACATCCCATTGTGCAAGTCCTGTTGCTGTCATTGCGACTATTACCTTAGTCGTTAGTGATATGATTTTCCTCCTTTTCTACGTGTACTTCAACGTACGGGTGAACCCGTGAATGGCGATACTGGTAATTCTGCATGTCGACTTTAGGACAAAGTTCCTATTGTCCATTAATAATAATAATAATTGCATTTTATTAATATTCATAATACAAAATATATTTTTATTTATTTGTTACAGTCTACATGGACTATGTCTGTAAGGAAAAATCCTAACCTAGTTTGATCGGTCTATGGTTCGCTCTATATTCCACCCCCACACATACTCAACACTCATGCTAATAAATACATTCATTCAAGAACACAAAATGCCCACAAAATATGATTTATACAAACTATCATCTATTCCTAGAGAACTGATTAAAGGCACTTGCAGCATATTGTACATTATATTTGACGACTTCAGACCTCCCCCCACAGAATATGGTCTTATACAAAACCCAAGTTAATTTTGGCTAGGAATCGCACAGTGGTAACAGATTTAAACATAACTTTCTCATCTAGCCGAGAAATTACACAAAATTTGTTATTTTAATTGTACAATTTGATTGTAGAGCTTATTCTATGACACTTTTACTGAAAGAAATTTTAATAGGATCAATCTGACGGAAGATGTTTGAGGGGGAATGCTTTTTGTAACGAGACAAGCCTCTTCCCCCCTCCTAACTAATAAAATGTAAAAATTTTCTTGTCGGTAAAAGTGGCATAAAATAAGCTCTACAATCAACTTGTACAATTAAAATAACAAATTTAGTGTCATTTCCCAGCTAGATGAGAAAGTTATGTTAAATCTGTTACCACCACACGATTTCTAGCCAAAATTAACTTGGGGTTTGTATAAGACCATTTTAAGTTAACCGTTTTCTAAATAAAGGGGGTGGGCCACCTTGTTTTACTAAAATTAACTTGGCGATTGTATAAGACCATTTTTCGCTAAAATTAATCTTTTCCTAATTAAATGGGTGGAGTGTATAAGTTGATAGAGACCTGTATATTTATTTACTAGTCATAATTCACTATCAATTATTCTTTTTAAGGTTTTGGGTGAGATGAAAAAAAAATAGTGTCATAAGCGGGATTTCCTTTGTCATGATTGCTCAAGCTGTTAGAGCAGCTGAAGTGGATTTACATCCTGCTTGTGACACTTGCATTTTCATCTCAACCAAGACCTTAGATTAGAGATCGAACACACACAGACATAATTTTCTATGAAAAAATACCTGTGGGGTTCGCCTTGTCCTCCTAGAAAATAAAGATTTGCCCTGTGAATAGGTCGCAGAATCCATCTTCGTAGATAGGTAGATGACAGTTTGCTGCATTAGTGACATCACATAGACGAGTTAAAGAAAAAGCTTTTGGACTTTTTGTCGCACTCTATAGCAAATAAGCGTAGTCGTAGATTGTCGGTTTATCAAATCATACAAAAACAGGCTGGAAATTTTGTGAAAGAAGGCAGAGCGTGATAGCGTAGCTCTTTTTAATAATTTTGGTTAAAAGGCCACCTCTGAAGATGGCAAAATGACCCGACCTCACACAGGCAAAGATCGGTAACAAAAAATTACAAAAAGCATTCATTAAGTGATACAATTCAGAAAGGGAGGGGATGTGTGCTGGGTGTTATAAATAATTAAATATAAACAAACAATAATAATAAATATATTTTGAAAAAACAGGAGGCGAAAAAAATAATAAAATAAAACGAATAAATTGTAGGGGAGGGCAAAAAATAAAAATTCAAGAATGACAATGAATTATTTCACCAAAAACGAATAAATAAAAATAATAAAATTTTTAACATTTAACGATTCTCTAACAAGCGTAAAAACAAAAAATTTTTTTGGAATATATTCCAAACTTTCCTCTGTCTATCTGACTTAAAGCTCGATCACATTTTCTTTAGGAAAAATATTTAATAATAATTAATTAACATTTAAATAATTTATTTAGTTATTCCTTTGGGTTTTTAAAAATAATTATTAAAATCAAATAATTAAAAAAAACCAAGCACACATTAATTAAAAATAAAAATTTTTGGAAGCCCGAGGATGACTAGCTTTTCACCGGGTGTTAATTGTTTTATTTTATTTTTTAAATAAAAAAGCTTGACTAGTAGGCCGCTGTTGGGCAGGGGAAGGACGGCGTTGCGGCGCAGTAAAATGATGATCCTGCAAAAAGCCTTAAAATTGTGTTTCACTTCTTGGAAGGGGGGGAGGACTTGACACATTTAATAAAAAGAGAGAAGAAAAAAATGCATTTTTTTCCTACTTACTAAATAAAAATTTCTTATTTTATTTCAGAAGTATCTTTTCCTTTCCATGTTGCTCGCCGAACGGTGATATGCGTTCCTCTTCGGCATGTTGAACCTGTGGTAGAAGCTTTTACGGCGAATTCTTTCGCTGACGCACTCCTCGGGCGAGGCGCTAGTTATGTCGAAGTACCTTTCGGTCAGGTCTGACCCCGACCACGTGTCTGAATTGTCTGTCTGCGAGACGAAGCTCATCGACTCGTCATAATCGCCGGTCGGAGTGCTGTCGGCCGTTGTGGACGCAGGCGTTTCGAGATCGAGCCTCTTGAGCGATGAAATCCTGGAAGACCTGTCGTCCAGATCAGTCTTGTCTTCTTGTTTCTTTTTCTTCTTCCCCTCTTTCTTTATTGTATCGAATACACCGCCTTTTTTCATCTTGATCGAATCTTTTTTCTTAAACGCGTTGTCCGTCTCATCCGGCTTGAGCGAAGACGCCCGCCTGCTCCTGTTTTTTGGCGCTTTATTTATCTCTTCCAATGACACGGCCCTTTTGAGAAGTTTTGACTCGCTAAACTCGTTTTCGACACCGATGCTGTTCCTCCTCAACGATTCGATCGCCCTGTCAACCCTTGAATCACCATCCCTGTTCAACAACTTTTGCTTTTTTTTCAAATTGAGGTAACGGTCGAGGACGGAACCATTCCTCTCCTCGGGAGGCTTTGGCGCGTCGTCGCATTGAGATACACTTCGCCTGAACTCTTTGAGCTCTTTGACCCTGTCGTAGGACGTTGATCCCGTTCGTCTAGGCACCCGCCTCTCCCTCTCGAGGTCTTCCTTGAAGCTCATGTACCTGTCGAACTCTGATGCCTGGGACCGTAGCCGGCGCAGGCTCCTCGCCCTAGCGTCCTCCTCATGGTGAAGATCCTCAAGGTACTTCTTCACCCTTTCGAGGCTCGAAAGTCGGCCCCTTTCGAGCTGTTCTATAAGCCCTCGCGATTCGTCCTCTTTGGTGCGTTGTTCGGCGAGGCCATTCTGCACCGTGTCGCTCACCGTCCTCGTCGCCCTCCTCCTCCCCATCGGGGGCAGTTCAGTCTTCTCCGGTTTAACCTCGGCTTTGTCCTCCTCGCGAGACAACAGCCTCCTCAGTGACTTGGTCGTAAACCCTGTACAAATCATACAAAAAACTTCAAAAAACCAACATAAAAAAAATACAAAAGAAAAACCATAATAAAAAAAAGGGAAAAGCCTGGGATTATTTAAAAAAAAGTGTTACCTAAGTGTGGATTAGTCGTTTTGAGTTTTCTCAACAACCATGGGCACATGCACTGTCACACGGGCTGCAACAAACACACAAACGTAAACAACGCAGACTCAGCAACAACAACAAAAAGAAAAAAGATAGAGAAAAAAAACAGCAACAAGAAAACTACGAAAATACACTGGAAAATCTTTAGACTTACAATCCTCTTGTCACTAAACAAAAATGCGTTTTTATTGTGTCATAATTTTATTCTTATTTATTTATTTATATATTATATATTAAACAGTAATTTAAAATAAAAACGCATGAAAAAACTATTAAATTGTCAGACTTACAATATTTTAAAAATAAATTATAGCATGTATATTATTATTTACGTATTTTTTATAACAGTGCCTAATGATATTAATACTTTTAAATTATTAAATAATATACATTAGACATTGTTAATAAAATTACAAAAAAATTAAGACTAAATATATAGATATAAATATAGGTGCAAATCGAAGCGCTGTTATTTATGCTGATAAGGTGGTTATTACATATAGGTTTCTGGAGTTGGTAAAGGATGGCAGGAAGTCGCTGGGAATAAATGGGACGTTATCACACAGGTTTGATCATATCACGACATACAACCAGCTTTTCACCCAAACTAATAATCAATCATTAAAACCATTTAATCAGCCCAATCAATCAACTCGTTCATTACATCACTCATTAGCCCAATCAATCACGCTTTCACTACACCACTCCTTTTTATCAGGCCAGTCAATCAACTAGATCACTCACTCTCCCCCAGCCAATCAATCAACTAATTCCCTACACCACTCATTAGACCCCAACCAATAACTCATTCACTCACTTTAATCAGCCCAATCAATCAACTCGTTCACAACACCATTCATTAGACCAACCAATCACTCATTCACTCACTTTTACCAGGCCAATCAATCAACTCGTTCACTAGACCACTCATTAGCCTAAACAATCATTCTTTCACTACACCTCTCACTTTCACCAGGCCAATCAATCACTCGTTCACTACACCACTCATTAGCCCAAACAATCACTTTCACTACACCATTCACCTTCATCAGGCCAATCAATCACTCATACACTCACTTTCATCAGCTCAATCAATCACTCGTTCACTCACTTTCATCTGGCCAATCATTCAACTTGTTCACTACACCACTCATTAGCCCAAACAATCACTCTTTCACTACACCACTCACTTTCATCAGGTCAATCAATCGCTCGTTCATTCACTTTCATCAGGCCAATCAATCAGCTCGTTCACTACACCACTCACTTTCCCCAGGCCAATCAATCAATCACTCGTTTACTACACTGCTCACATTAATCCATTATTCATGTCATTGCTGTTACTCATTGGTTCAAGTGGTCAAATAAATAAAAGAGGGCAAAAGCGGTTAAAAAGCAAATGGAGGAGGGGTTGTTACACCCACGTATGGGAGGAAGGGAAACAGTTAAAGGACGTGGTTTTATTAATTCAGATGTCCGTGTATGTATATTTTTACTATTTAAAAAAAAATTGATTAAGTATTAAAATAAATGGACGGAAAACCATGCTGTAGCTTCATGCTTTTATTTTTATTTTTGAATTTTTTTTTTTTAAACGGAAATGGTGATCTTAAGGATTAATATTTCTATCGCTCACCCCTTGGCAGTGTTGATGACGATCCTGACGAGAGGGTCCTCCTCCAAGGTGTCGGGTCGTTCTGTGTGAACGACTTGGTTTCGACCAGCCTCCTGCTGCGGGATCATATATAATTTGTTATATTATTAAATATTAAACTGAGAGACTTTGATCAATTCGGCGTACCTTGGCGAGTCGAATAAGGAGGTGTTGAACAGCTTCGGGAAAGTTGGCCGGCCTTCATCTAACCGGTGTGTCAAATGACGCATCTAAACAAAAAAATTTAAAAAATAGAACAAAAATAGTACAAAATTTTAATTTAATCTTACCCTCGAAAGTAAGGTTGAAAAGAGGTTTTCAGTTGTGAGCATCTCAAAATTGTCGTCGTCCTCATCCGACGAAAGGCTGTCCGCTGTCTGTAGATGGTGTTTCCTCGTGTTATGCAGGCTGAAACCTCTGATCGGCATGTCCTCGTCGTTTTCCGTCACAGAACTGTACCGAAAATAAGTAAATAAATAAAAACAGTAACGAGCAATGAATGTGTCGTTACCTCATTTTTGATAGCGTGGACACGCTTGGTGTGACGTAGCCACCGCCTTCGACGGCGATCGGTATTATGACTTCCCTCGGGCTCTTTCTGATAGGTTCGCACGTCGTCGTGCTAGAGTCTGAGTCCTGACGTCCAATTGATGACATGCTAGCCCTCGAGTCTGAGTCCTGACGTCCAATTGTCGCCGTGCTCGCCCTCGAGTTCGAGTCTTGCCGTCCGATCGTTCCCGTACTCGCCCTCACAAGCGATGGCCTTTCCGGTTCATCCCTACTCTCAATTTGTATCGGTATTATGTGCTCCCTCGGTGCCGAGTCTTGTTTCACAAGGGACGGCCTGGAACAAAAAAAAATTATATATTCAATGAAATGCGAAACATGAAGTATAATTTACTAACCTTGGCGGTGGTATCGGCGGTGTTGGATAAACTACATGCGACGAAGAGGTATTTGCTATCATATGTTCTGGCTCCATTTTCGGTGGTCTGCAAATAATTAAAATAATATCCTCCATTTGTGATATAGACAAATTGTAAATAATGCTTACGTTGGTCTTGACAGCTTCCTCCTCGGCAGCGTAGATGCCTTCTTTTCATTAAGTTCACTTTCGGAAATCGCATGACTGATGACCTGATATAAAAGACAATGATAACAAAAAACATTATATAATTTTAAAAAAATTATTATTAAAAAAAATATATATAATAAACAATATTTTCAAAATGTACCTTTACGGCGTTCTCCTTTTTGAGTTTCTCTTCTAAGTTTTTATCGTCCTTGCTCAGCTCGTTCATCACGAGTTTGTTTACATTGATGGTTGAGGCTAGGTTTAATTCCTTCGTCTCAACTTCCTGAACTGACGGCTGCCTTGTCACTGTCTTCACTTCTGCATCCTGAACGGATGGTTTCTTCACTACAGGCTTTACCTCCACCTTGAACGAGACAATTTATTTTAAAAATTTTCAAATGGGTATTTGTCGATTCTTACCTTGACGACGGGTACGAACGGTTTTTTCTGCGCTTGCTTGTCCTGCTTGTTGAAAAGCTCGGCCGCTTCGAGCACCTTCGACTTTCTGCGTACGTCTTGCCTTTCTGCCTTGGCGGGTTCGGAGTCGGGTTTCTTCTGCACCGTGTTCTGGGTGGTGTCGGATACGGGCTTCGGCGCCTCGGGTTCTAATTTCGGCTCTTCTTTAGCCTTGGGCGCCTTGTCCGATTTATCTTCCTTCTCCTTTGGTTTTTTCACTTTCTTGACCTCTTTTTCCTTCGGCTCCTGTTTCTCTACTGGCTCGACTTTCACCTCCTCCTTTGGCAATTCGTACGACACGTCTTCTGCCGGCGCTTTTGCGTCAACTACGGCGTCCGAGATCTGTGTCATGTTTTTCAGAAGAGCCTCGACTTCTTCCTGTGGTGGCAGATCGGTGTCCGACTTCTTTTTGCTCTTCGCCGATTTCTTTTTAGGCTTTTCTGCATCGCTCTCTTTCTTCCTAGACCTTGAAGATGACCTTTCCCTCTTTCTCTCCTTTTCCTTTGGTTTCTCCTCTCCTTTGGCCTTATCTGTCTCTTCTAAAAAATAAAATTAAAAAATAAAATAAAGAATAATAATAAAAAGAATATATTAAAAAAAAACCTTTGACAGTGACTGGTGCCGGTATGAAACTCGGTTGTACAGATGACAAACTGCTCAACGATTGCGACCTCACTGGCCTCTCTGGTAACGCGGTGACTTCTTCAGGTACCTGCAAGCAGTTTTAACCTGTTAGCAGAAATCCAATCACTCCGAGAATGAAACTTACGCTTGGTGGTTGGGTATCCTGCGGCGCGAGGGCGAGAAGAAGGTCGAGACGGTTTGGTGTCTCTTCAGCGAGCTCCTCAGCCAGTCGGTAGCACGACACCTTACCCTCCTCGGCCATCCAGGCGTGCTTGCAGACTCCAGTTATGTCCAGCCTTTCGGTGCCACTCACAGTCAACAGCCCACCTATCAGCTCCGAAGCGGCTGCAAAGTGTATATCGATGTGAATCCGACCTCTCTTTGAAGGTGCGGCGACAAACGCGACAATACGGCTGATTGTCCCAAAGGAGGAAGAATGGACAAGGGAAGGGTTTTCAATGGGAATTACAATAGGTATTTTGGGTATTACAATGTCTAATTTGAATTTCAATTGGTCACATGTCTCCATTTCGTATGGTAAAACCAAAATTGACTTTCCCTCACCACGCATAATTCCTTTAAAAAAAGAAAAAACTTACATGCACGAATTTTCGGTTCGTAGTATTCACCGGCTGATATCTGCCAGACTAGCCTCTTGAAATTCGATCCGTCAAACGGCATGGCGCCGTAGACGAGCGTGTACAGCAGTACTCCAAGGGACCTGGAACATGCAAAAAAATAATTGAAAAAATCCGTAACGATGAATACAAAATTTACACCCACCAGCAGTCGACTTCTGGCCCGTGGTACGGTATCCCCTTCACAATCTCGGGCGAGGCGTACAAAGGGCTCCCGCAGAACGTGTTGAGGAGGCGGCTGCTGTCGAACACATTTGACAGGCCAAAATCCGCAATCTGGACAGAACAAAACACCAATTAATAATATAAATTAAAAAAACAACAACTTGTAAATTACAAATAATTACCTTCGCATTCCCGTCGTTGTCGAGCAGGATGTTCTCCAGTTTTAAATCCCTGTGGCATATCTGATGCTGAAAACATAAAACATTTTTAAAAAATATCAATTAAAAGCGACGAACTTTAATTTACTTTATGACAGTAGTAAACTGCCATGGCAATCTGCCTGAATATTCTCCTCGCCTCAGCCTCGTCGAGGACTTTCTTCTTGCTCAGATAGTCGTACAGCTCACCGCCCGCAGCATATTCCATTACTAAGACGATTTTATCTCTGTTCTCAAAAACTAAAATTAAAAAATTTTCCATTTGGCAACTTGNAAAAATTAAAATAAAAAAAGGGAAAAAAACCATATATAAGTAAGTCACCTTCGTAAATGTGTATTATATATGGATGCCTCAACGAGGACATAATCTGTATCTCCCTCCTTATCCTTATTAGATCAGCGTCTGTTTCTATTTTACACTTTTTTATCGTTTTAATTGCGACCTGAAATTTTTTTTTAAATAATTAGTTAAATTATGAATATTGAAGAGAGTAAATTGTCACTTACCTCTTGTCCTGTCTCTTTGTTGACACCCAGTTGCACTTTGCCGTACGTCCCCTGACCCAACTTGGCAATTGTTTCAAACCTAAGGGAAAAAAAATTCACCCATCAATTTTGTATTGATTACAAACAAAAATCAACAGCCTTGAATGCACTGGGAGGAGGATTTTTTTAATTGTAATGGAGGTATTTCAACTACGAGGTTTCATGAACCCTCAGGGTGCCAGCGTTTGGAAAAAAGAGCCCGTTTGTAAGTATGTTGAATTAGAATGCAGGACTGCTGGTTTTGAACCCAGGACCTTTACCTTACAATAATAATTCCTTGTCAAGCCGTTGTGGCCACCGACACTCTGGGAGGGGGGCATAAAAATTTTAAAACAGTGGTAATAGGTGAAAAAGCTGTTTACAAATAAACTGAGAATGGTCATCACTCAAAACAAAAACCGTTTGCACTGTTGAATTCAGTGTCAAAAAAACCTAAAAAATGTACATCGATGTGTACATTTTAAGAAGAACAAAACTTTTTACTTCATGGAAAACTTGACAAAAAAAATCAAAATTTACATGTCATCGAGGTTTCACCCCATTAAAAAATAATAAATTTTTTGATTGCTGATTCGATTGATGATTAATAATAATCAGATATTATTATTTCTTTTAGCCGGGACGTCCTAACCTCTGGACTGCACGATCCAGCCCTCTGACGCTAAAAAATACTTAAAAAAAAAAAAAAAAAAAAAAAAAAATGGGCCAGCATAGCTCTCATCAAGGTGGCCTTCAGAGAATCTGACTCGAAGAAAACTGTCGTCTTCACCCGATTAAGGATAGGTCATGCGAGGTTGACCACTTGACTCCATATAGGGAGTGAAATACCTGTTCCGATTTTTGTAGAAAACAAGGTTGTTTTATTGTATAAAAAAAATTATATAATTTTGTGTACCTAGTGATGTGAGAGTATATAGCAGCATATTGTATACCACATCGACCCTCTATTAGGTTAATTGTAGACAACAAGCAGCTGGAATTTTTTGTTTTCTGTAAGAGTCAAAAATAGTATCTGACTCAACATTAGATTTCATGGTGGAGTCTGAAGAAATGTCTATCAAACATTCGTATTCACTTGAAGATAGACTGGTCTATCCTTATCTAATTTCTACCTATCTAAAACTGAAAATGGTTTGACATTGCTGTAGAATGCTGTTGTCCTTTGAGCAATACTTCCCAACAGCGCAAGATACATTGTTGCAAGGCTATGAATGGGTGGTCAAACCATTTTCCATTTTGACCAGTCTACCTTCAAGTGAATACAAATGTTTGATAGTCACTACTTCAGACTTTACCTTTAAATCTACTTTCAAGTCCGATACCCTCATTTTTGACTTCAAATGGAAGTCAAAAAATTTCTACTGCTGGTTGAAAAAGCAAAACTTTTTCTTATTCCATTTGCCACAACTTACATATGCAAATCCGAACTTTCTATCTATACAGTCTTCAAAATTAAATACCGATTTTACATGCTGAACCAGACATCTGTCACCAGCTTTCAAAAATTAAACCCAATATATCCAAATTGTCCAGGATAAAACAACCTCACACTTCATTTTAATTCATTAATTATTCTTTTTTATCTAAAATCTCCAATTTGATTTTCATCTTCTGGATGTTTTAAATAAAGTTAAGTATGTCAATCTGTTTGTTTTCATAGTGATATATTTTTTCCATCACCTAACTAAGAATAGACAGGTTAATACTAATTTATAAAACTTCAATTTACTACTTGAATGCGAGGGGTCTGCCAGCTAAAAAATCTGGGAAGCCCTGATCTAAAGTTGAGATGAAAAAGACATCATGAGCAAGATTCGAACCCATGACTTTCAACTCAACACACTGCCATTATCCACGAAGGTCGCAGGATCGAATCATAAATCGTGACACTGGCTTTTTCATCTCGACCAAGACCTTCGATAAAAAAGTAAATTTAATTGAAATAATTGCTACGGCCAATTACGGCTTCCATTTTGGCCTATGCAGGCTGAGATTCCAAATCCTGGGAGAGAAAAAGTCAGAGCCAGAAGGATACACAATAGATCCCTTGAAAAAGCTTTGGGGTTTGGTAAAAAGCCTTAAGCTCTAGATAAAAAAGAATGGAGATGCACAATAAACCAATACTGGTCATGGTGTGCAGGTCGTAAAGAGGACACTGGCTCCTACATAATCTAAATCTAATTTAGTCAATTATGACTATTAAACACATATGGATTAATAAATAATAACGTGTAGGGTATTTTATCTTTCTCCTCTCTTAATAAAACGGTAAGTATTCGTATACATTTTAAATTATTATTTCTGAAAATTGTATAACAGTTCGTTGAGGTTAAGGGCAGTACGAATATGCACTATAAAAAAAATTCACATTTGATGACTGTAAATAATTAATCATTAGTACAAATCATTGAGCAGGGGGATATTATGCTGGTGTTAAAAATGTGTTATCATCGATTAATAACAAATGAAATGTAGGGGAAAATTTGCTGCTAATGAATCATTTTTTTGGCAGTATACTAATTTTTTTTAACAGAAAAAAAATTCTCACCTTTGCTTTAGCTTGCGTTGGTGGTTGTGGAGAGTGACGCCACCGGTGCTCTCCAGCCCGCTCATTATGTTGTTGATTGACGCCTCTGGGACAACCATCTTTGCGTTTTGCTCTTTCTCTCCTGGAAAACGTTAAAAACAATTCAGAATATACTATAAATAAAAAAGTGAAATAATTTTTTTTACTAAAAATAAAAATGTGTTAAATTATTCAATTCAAAAATAAATCTCCTTGAACACACTTCAGGGCTCGCTTCTCCCCTATAGTAAATTTAACACAAGACCTTCCCCCAAATCGAAAATACCCGGAAAATACAGTTTTTCCAAGACTTTTTATATTTGAGTTTTTCTTTTCTTTTTTTCTTCCCCCCCCCCAACAACAAGCAAAGGGGGATTAATGGGCGAACCGGGCTGCCCACACGATTTATATTCTATTTATAGACAGCACTCCCGAAAGTCCGCTTCCTCCATAATAAGGTGGATATTAATAAGATCGGTCCTGGGTTTTTGGAATGAAATAATTACGCATCGTTCCAACAAGGAAGCCTGGTGAAAATTGAACCGAGATTTTTTTTTTAACTAGATAAAAACCCGATTTAAACTAAATCACGAATTTGTCATTTTTTTTTTAACGCATGGTGGTCCAATGGTAAATAAAGGACGGGCCGTCCCTTACGCAAAACCCTTCCACCGGGGCCGGAAAGCCAAACAAAATAATTAAAACTGTCCAATTAGTCTTCATTTTTTCGGCAGAATAATTAAACTTACGTTAGGGAAAAGACAATTATTCAAAATCCAAGTTGTTTGAGAAGAATCGGAGGCGTAGATCGTCACTGGTACTCCTCGCCGTCCGATCCACGGCGGTTCATCGCTGCGGCCGACTCCCCGATCTTTGAATAATTATTTTTAAAAAAACCTTGTGATAATTAATTATTTATTAATTAATAAAAACGGCCCGGCGGTGATCTGGTGAAATGCCCACAAAAACCGTGACGATACGCCCGGGCCGGGGTCCGAATCGGAACTGGCCGTGGGAGGCGGATTTGCGCGGGGGCGGCGAGGGTGGGAGGTGAAAAATCATGACGTCACGCTCGCCGCCAATTTTCAAAAAAATTATAAATTAATGATGTTATAATTTTTTTAAATTAAAAAATAAATATATATAAATGCACAAACAGAATTAATTTAAATTTGCAGGAATCTCTTTACCTATGTGAGCTGGACCGTCTTGATTCTTACACCACCTCTCTCATTTCAATAATTATTTTGATTCAATATTCATCAAATTATATGCAATTCTTTTCCTTTTTTAGCTTTATCTATAGAATTATTTTAACTGGCTCAAAATTTTAACATTGGACCCTTTTACTTTTGTGATCTCAACCGTCTTGTACTTCCTTGACTCCTTCTATCTCCTCATTTGCCATTTAATTCTAAATAAAACACCTTTTGTTGATTTATTTATAGAGAAATTTTTCCTTTCATTTCGCCGCGAAAACCTTCGATGGAAAAATTTCCTGTCCAGTTAACACTATTGGTTTCAAAAAAACAGTGGGTTAGTTTGTTCATTTAGGTCATTTGATATTCATACAAAAAAATCTGTTCATTGAATAAGTCATCAATTATGTTATTCTCATGTCACTTATCTAAGACATATATCACATTTAATTAAATGAATTTTTTTAAATTCACTTGCTAAATCAATAATTTATCTAGTTGTTAAGTCATTCAACCATTTGTTCATTCAGTTAGATAACAAATTGACATTATAAGTCAATCACTTATAGTCACTAAGTTGATTATCCATTTTGGTAAGTCCTGTTTTTTGACCGAGTTATTCAGTAGCTCAATTAATTCTTTAGGATTTTTTTCTCTAAATCAAATGCAAAACCGATCTATCTGGCCGCCTGGTTAATTATCTTATTCACATGATAAGTTAATCTATCCTGTCTAAGTCTGCGAAGTTAATTAATTTTTCAGTACCATTAGTTGGTTGGTTCTTCAAACGACAGCTAGTTCAGCGAGTCAATTATTCGATCGTTTGTTGAGTCAGGTAGTCAATTTTCATATTAAAATAAGTCAACAGTCACCATGACATTTATTCTTTTTGTCAGTCAACAGATAGATTAATTATTTTTTTAATCAATTACTTTTTGTCGTGGATCTTCACCCAACAGTTACTTCAGGGAGTCAATTATTCGATCATTTGTTGAGTCAGGCAGTCAATTACCATATTGAAATGATATGTCAACCAGTCACCATAACATTTTTAAAGTCAATTACTTTTTTAGTCACTGTCAATTATTTTTCAGTACGTTAGTTGGTTGGATCTTTGAGCAACAATTGGTTGAGCGAGTCAATTATTCGATCATTTGTTGAGTCAGGCAGTCAATTACCATATTGAAATAAGTCAACCAGTCACTATGATATTTATTCTTTCTGCCAGTCAATAGATCAATTAATTATTTTATTAGTCAATTACTTTTTTTAGTCACTGTCAATTATTTTTTAGTACGTTAGTTGGTTGGATCTTTGAACCACAATTGGTTCAGCAAGTCAATTACTTGACCGCTTGTTGAGTCAGGCAGTCAATTATATTATTAAAATGGTAAGTCAACCAATCACTATGACATTTATTCTTTCTGCCAGTCAATAGATCAATTATTTTTTAATCGATTACTTCTTCAGTCATTGTCAATTATTTTTTCAAGTACGTTAGTCCGTTGGTTCTTCGAACAACAATTAGTTCAGCGAGTCACTATTATGTTGACCATCAGTGAGTCAATTATTCAATAATTTGTTCGTTCAGTCAACCATCTTATTAGAAATAATTGTTTTATTTGTTTAGCTAGTAAGTCAATTATTTTTTTCACATGATAAGTCAATCACTTACCTGACCATCATGTCATTTATTCTTTCCAGCAGTCAATAATTTACTAGGTTAATTAAATCTTCAATTATTCTGATTTACTCACTATGTCAATTATTCATTAATTTGTTTCAGGCAATCAAGTTATTTTATTTACATGGTCAATTACTTATCCAGTCGCCAGGCAATTTATTGTTTCCTGTCGTCGTGCTCAATAAATTATTTTTTAGTCAATTACGTATTTATTGCTAAGTGTTTTCATTTGTTCGGTCATTCGTAGAATCAGCCAACGACTGAACACAGTTCGTACCAAGGTAATAATTTGTAGTCAGCGAGCGATTTTCTTTTTCACTGATACGTACATTTCTAAACAAGTTTCTTTTTTTCTTTCCTATTCGGTTGTAAATTCAGTGTGTCGTTCGCCATCACTCGGTCATTTATTTAAGAGCCGACTCTTCGCCATGGCAGGTCATTCTTGCCGATAACACAACAGGCAAACTTTAAAAAAAAAGAAAAATTATAATTGATTTTTATTAACAATAAAACATGTATTTACAATATAAACAATTAGAATATAGATAATAGTGTGTTTTTCCAAGAGAGAGAAAGAGAAGGGGGGAGAGTTTATAAAGTTAAATTTTTGTTTCTTCATTACATACGCATCGCGTGTACATGTATATATAAAATTATCAAGCGATTAAATAGAAATTTAAACTAAATTTTGGTCTTTTCTTCCTTTCTTTACTTTTAAATTTTTTAAATTTAAATACATTGCACTTAATTAATAAAAAGGAGAAGAAAAAATATGCTTACAAAAAATAAACATAAAGTGAAAAAATTCTTGTTCGTGAGATGGAAAATTAATATATTCCAAGGCTGCATGCATGAACGTTTTAGTCAAACAGCCTGAAAATTAAGCCGAATTTATGTTTTATTTTATGATTTTGCTTCATTCTTTATATATTAAATAAATAAGTGGTTTTTTTTTGCTTTATGCCAGCATCCTAGGTGTACACAGTTCGCCTTGGCTCATTTTTATCGTTCTGTTTGTTCTTTTTTTCTTCCGTCTCTCGCTGTAGCTCGAGCCAGTTGTCGCCGAGGGCTTTGGCAAAATGGTCGTCGACTGGAGGAATAAAAAGAGACGCTTTGTTAAAAAAAAGGCATGGTTCATGGGATATGGTTACGCACCTGAGAGTGATGAGGAGTCCGTCTTGTCCACTGACGCATCACTCGCCTCGCCCTCTTCAGCCGAGCTGAGGTAGTCCTTGCCTAACGACCTCCTGAAGTGCTCATCTATCATCGGGTCGCACACGCCGCCGGCTTCGGACCGGTTCGGTATGCATATCACCGAGCCCCTTGACTGCTTCTGGAAGGCAATCGTCTGTGAGTACGACGGTGGTGATCCTCTGATACGCCTTGTAGAAAGGTCGATTGGTTCCCTGTATTTAATTAAAAAACAATAACAATTAACACTTTGGAAAGAAAAAAATTTGCTGCGTAAAATTGCTTGCTTACCCTATTTGAGGGAAGTGAGCAGAATATTCGGGAGGGTCTTTCCGATGCCTCGACCTCCTCCATTTTCCTCCAGCTTCTTCTCGGCATTTAGAAAGTCTTGCTTCATCTACAAAAACAAAATAAAAAAATATGTAAGTTGAGACGTTCTATAGATAGTATTAAGATTATTCACACATTCTACCAATGATTCAATTGTTTATTTATGTATACAATGTATCATCTATTAGATGACTGTTCTATCATCCCTATAGTTTTTACGTTCGTTCATTTAATAATATTAACCCGCTCGTTCGTTCTGTGAATCACAATTTCGTTCGTTCACTGTTTCACAGAGTCGTTCAGTGATTCACACGATATCTCTGTAGTTCGTCCTTTCATTCAATGAATCACAAGGACTATCGTTCACGGATTCAAAATATAGCTCTTTAGTTCGTTCGTTAATTCACAAGGTCGTTCTATCGTTCACGGATTCAAAAGATAGCTCTACAGTTCGTCCGTTCGTTTCCTTACTAATTTATAAGGTCGTTCTATCATTCACTAATTCAAAAGATAGCTCTATAGTTCGTCTGTTCGTTTCCTTACTAATTTATAAGGTCGTTCTATCATTTAAAAGATCGCTCTGTAGTTCATTCACTGAATCACAAATAGATTCACAAATACACAAGAGATCACACTGTAGTTCGTTCACTTACTCGCAATTTTGTTCAGGGATTCACAAGATCACCCTGAAATTCATTTTTTGTACACAGAAACCATAAATACATTCTTCGTTGATTCGCAAGGTAGTCATATCGTTCGTTCAGTGATTCACACAATCGCTCTGTAGTTCGTTCACTAAATCACAAGGTCGCTCAATAGTTCATTCTATCGTTCACTGAGTCACACGGAATGTTTTTCATTCATTCACAAGGTCGTTCTTTTTTTCACTCATTCAATTATTCACCAGGTCGTTCGTTCATTGAATCACACGGTCGTACAATAATTTACACGGTCATACGTTCGCATCATATTTTACTCTTCACTTGTCTGTTGTCACTCGTACATAGGTTGTGATTACAGTATTCCATATATGTAATCACTCGCTACATCAATTATTGTCAGTTAGTTGGCCGCTCTTTCGGTCTATAACTTGAATGTTCATTACAAAATCTCTCTACCTGATTCAAACAAGCGTTCATTCATTCTAACCAACCGGTAGCTAAAAAACCAATAAAAATTCGTAATTTATTCGCACTGGTCCGTCAATTTCTTAATCTACTATCACTCATTCATTTCTATCAATCTTTGTTCGGTATTTAGTACTTGCAAATAATCCATTCCGCAAAATCCCGCTCGCTCATTCATACGTCAATTGAGTTACTCGCACGTCAGTCGGCCACCCAGTCACTCTGTCAATACGTTGTCATTTTCACTTGTGCGTTAACCATTCGGGTTACTTACATTAAAAGCTTTAAGTCAAAGTGAACTACCGACAAGCTTTTAATAAAGGGGTTTATATTGGATACTGGGTTTGCCTGCCAAGTTTCAAACCTTAACTATTTAGAATTTAAAGCGGATTTCGTACCTGCCATGACGACTTGGCAATTGAAGCGTTGTAGGAGGATGAAGACTTGGCAGGCATTTCCGCTCGGTTCGAACCGAGTCATACACTAACAATGTACAGATTATACATTATTTTTGTTTTATTAAGTCTGTTGTACCTGTGTCGACCCAAGGCTGCCACAGCTTCTGCACGCTGTCCGTGATTTGAACCATTTGTAAGGAGAGACACTCAAAAACCAGAAGAAAAAAAATCAATCTAGGGTTTTTTTAGCGTTTCCCAGCCTGGCGATCCAAGCATAAACAGCATAAAGCATGAATGAAAAAGGGCCGAAGGGGGAAAAAGGAGGCGGACGAGCCCGGCCCCCTCCTTCTTCCGGCGCCCCTCACGCCCAAAACTGGTTTAACTGATCGTTCTTCTTCTTTTTCTTCTTCTTCTTTTTTTTGAGTGCGTCGTGCTTTTCGACCCGGGGAAGAACGGGTTTCACGTTTCTTTCATAAAGCCCCGGCCGGCCCGCCCAGTCTCGCGACTCGCATTCCCAGCGTTCCGACGGCCGCCCACTACAGGAAATGACTCCTGTCGTTTTTATTATTATTTTTTTTAAATATTTTAAATTACAGTATAAAAAAAAATTCCCAACGATTGTCGTAATTTGTAATTCGCAATTAATGTATTCACAAAAATAATACATATACGTCACATAAAAAAATAGCACATATGTCAATATGTGACAGGTTATCAATATATTAATTTTACTTGGAGGTTTTTTTACGTCATAAACTGTATTCCGCCGGCAATAGGGCCCAAACAGCATATGAACGGCCAAAAATACTTCATATTCACAATCATAAATTCTACATTAATACGTTTAATGCCTATTGTGGAAAAGACAATTTAATCCCTAACATCTTATTATGAAGTTCCGTAAAGGACGGACGCCATTAAAAAAAGTTAGTAATATTTAGTAAAAATTAATCTATGACGTCACATACATGTTGTATACAATTCGTGGCATATTAACAATACGATTAACGACATAATATATTACCTCATTAATCAATATGCCACTTATTGTATCCAACGTGATATATGACGTCATAGATTAAATGTTACTGGCTATGTGACGGCATAAATTGAATGTTACTGTTTCTAAATCCATTACAGTTCGTGGTCCGATTGGCCAATTAACTTTTTTCAGTTACTGTTTCTATTACATCATTTATTTAGTAGTCATAATTGACCTATTAATTATTTAAATTAATTACTCTTTTTTAAATTATGATTTGTCTTAATTATTAAGAAAAAAAAACACATGGAGATGTCTGACATTAAAGCAACCAGATGACATATTTATGGTTTAAAAACTCAGATGTCAAAATCGAGATGCCATGTATCGGACACCACGATTTTTCATTGGACAACAAATTATTACAATCTAAAAGTTATCTAAATATATGTTTAAAACATGCATTTTTTTAAAAAGGTTTAATAGGTAATAATTACCTCATTATACGTGTTATCAAATGCCCCGAATTGTATCTAACGTAATATGAAACGTCATAGATTAAGTGCTGTCATATGACGCCTGAATTGAATTTTTTATACTACGTCATATATGTAGTAATCATAATTGACTGACTGTATTAATTATTTAAATTAACGATTATTCGGATATCATGAGATGCGGACTGGTGTGATGTAGGCTTTAGAAACACTTTTTTTTATCGTGACACGTTTCGATCTTTATTGAGATCATCTTCAGGGACTGCGATTTATAAACATTGTTTAAATTGTACAAATACATGTAGGAATGTAAAAAACACCACATATTTAAATTAACTATACTTTTTAAATATTGTTTTGACTTTATTTGTGGTTATAAAACTCTGACGTCAAAATCGAGATCTTATATCGGACACCACGATTTTTCCTTGTACCACAAATTATTAAACTCTAAAAGTTATCTAAATATGTTTTAAAAAAATACACAATTTGTCATAATTTTTTGTGTGTGTTTGTGCGGTGCTAAGATATGTATTTTTTAAATGGATAAATTCTGCATAAGTTATTCAGTGGGGATTTTTTTCGGGACCGGCGAGACGGGACGGACCCCCCTTCGACTCTTGATCCGTCCATAGATTCCTTGAATTCCCCCGTCGGCCGGGAGGAGGAGGAGCGAAAGAACGCGGGGAATCCGCCCGTGGGTAAAAAAAATAAATGGGGAAAGAAAGACATAAATAGCGACGCCCGGCGAGCCATCTGGCGGACCATGGCAGATGAGCAACCGGACAAACGGACCCATTGGGAATTAAAATCCCAACGACTTTACAAAAAATTTCCTTTTTCTATGAGAAACCGTTCAGACTAAACTACAAGTCCATTTTAACATTATGTACAGGGTGTACTAAATAAGTAATAAGTCATATAATGCCTAGATGAGTTAAGCGAGATATCCTCTTGGGCCTGTAGGTTCATCACCCATCTTTGCTGTTCAGACCAAAATGATCTGATCGAGCGGCAGGTTTAAAGGATAACTTATAAACCACTTGACTTAAATGGTCAACCTGATATTCCTCTTCCATTAACTCTAATTATTAATCCTTTCTCACACATAGCATCCAAAGACGATTCTCATATCTGCCGACTTTGCCATTTACTTTTGAGCAACCAGCAGAAAAATTTGCACCATCCTCAGTATGTTTTTTTTATGATTCATACTCCAAATTAAATTAATAATAATACAAAAAAGTCTTCTGAAATATACCCTGGGTTGATGTTAAATTATAAAACACAGCTATTATGTAAGATAATCATAAATGTAAAAAGTTTGGCCTGTCCTATCCTTGCTGCATATTGCCATCTTCAGTATCTGGTGTCATTACCCTATAGACAATTATTATAAGGTTTACTCTTGAAATTTTTCTAACAGAAGTATATGGCCGGTGATTCTGTAGTTTCAGACTGTCAGGTCTGACAGTGGGAAATAATACTGCTGGTCGTTTGTTCCCCGGATTTGAAAATGGTTCAGATATTCGGGGGGGGGGGGTCTGACTGTAAGAAGAAATGGCTTGGATTTCCATTGTTGGATCTGACAGTTGTTTAAAGTCAGTATAAAATATGCGGCCAGGATTTCTAGTGTCAGATCTGATAATCGTTTCATACAGACAGGTCTGATAGTAACAAATATGCAGCTATCTCCTGGATCCGACGGTCGTTTGTGACATTATGACATGTATGGCCTGGATTTCTATCGTCAGATCTGACAATAATTTCAGACAGTCAGGTCCGATAGTAAGAAATGTGCAAGGGTCAAGATCCAATACTGTGCAGCGATAGTTCAGATATTATGCCTACAGATATAAAAAGTAACCTGATTAAACCAGTAATAGGTCCAAATAAAGTCTTCCACTGTAGGATTACTGTGGTGAACGGGGGGGGGGGAGAGCAAGATTGGATGGTAGGGAATTATTCAAGGCATGCATTTCTTTGTTCAGGTCTGTCATTTGCTGGACTGAAAGTCATTCCAGAGTCAGATCTGTCAGTTTAAATTGTATGCATTTCCATTGTCGGATATGACAGTATGAAACAATTGGCCTGAAAATAGCTTCAGACAGTCGGAAGAGATAATATGAAATCCACAGCTGGCCACTTATTTGCTGGATTTGCATCAGATCTGATGGTAGGAAATGTTTGGTCTTCATAATAATTTCTGTAATTTTATAGTCCGATCTGGTGGAGAGAGTCAGATAGTGAATTTTCAGCTGGCTTTACTGGTTATGACAGTCCTTTCAAGCCGTACAAATGTGTGGCTGGCGATGTGTTTGCTTGATTAGACATACAGATCTGACAGTAGGAAATGTGTCCTTGATTTCTTTCTTTTGGAAAGTTTCATTCCGATGCTCACCCCACCTTCATCATTTGTATTGTCAAATCTGGTCACTGTTTCAGTCAGGTCTGACAGGGTGAACTGCATTTCCAGTATCAGATCTTATGGTAGGAAATATTTCATCTTCATTTCAATTGTCAGGCGTTCTTTGCCAGCCTTTTAAGTCACTCAGACCTTACACTAAGAAGAAATAGGTCACAGGTCATTCACATGCTGTGTCTGAACAATTGTTACAAAAACGAAATTGAGACATTGTTTATCCAATGTTAATCCAATTTCTAATATTACCTTAATTTGATTTTTCTATCAAAAGGATATTAGTTTAAATTCACAATAAACAATAAGGTAAGGACGCATTTTATGTTATATGCAGGGTGTTACTAATAATCCTTGTAACAGTGTGATAGATCCTCAGTACAATGAATTATGACTCAAATTACTACTGTTAGTGGATAAATATAGATCGTTCTGTGGTTTTACTATTTATTTTCAACTAGACTAATTGAAATTAAAAATTCTAAATTATTGTACAATCTCTAAACTATAATAAAAAATGTTGTACTTTGGTCGTTACAGATTATTTCGCTTTGTCTATCTTGGCTGGGTAGAGCAGTAACACCAAATCGCAAGCTTCATCACTGTGCAGTATAGTCTCTGGAGAGAAATCTCCCATAAAATTGTGTTTAAATATCAAATTTATTTGTTCATTTTGAATAAATGGAATTGAATGTATTGACGATTTGAACTACCTTCCGACATGGAAGTATAATTGTATGAGATAAGTCGAAATGTGCATTTACATATTTAAGTACATTATGCAACATGCTGAAAATAGGCCATTTTGAAACAAGGCTAATTTTTTCTCCCCAAAATCCAATCTAACTGTACGATTATCGGTTGCATATATTCTGAGTGTCTGAAGTGATTTTCAGACCAGACAAGTTCTATATTAAGGGGAAACGTTTCCTTCTGTCATAAATGACAGTCAATTCTAGCATATAAAAAATATATGACCAGCTGAACATTTACCACTATATTTTCTGATTGTCTGAAACATCTGTTATATCCAGCAAACATCTTGTCAGCTGAAAATTCCACCAGATTTGACCATGAAATTACAGCATACAAACGACCGGCTGACAATTAGTTTGAAGACCAAACATTTCCTACCGTCAGATCCGACTGTCAAATCCAGCGAACAAATGGCCGCTGCAGATTTCAAACTATCTGTTCTGTCTGTCTGAAGCAATTGTCAGGCCTGACAATTGGAATTTAGGTCGACATTTTGATTTCGTACCATAAGATCTGATAAAGGAAATGTACGATACTCAACTCGCACTGTCAGATCTGTTACTCGGAATAAGTGTTGGCCTAGCAAATGACTGGCCAACTGTATTTTATTTAACTAACTAATCCGACTGTCTGAAATTATCATCAGATCTGACCAAGATAATTCAGGCAGCTGATTTGCTACCATCGGATCTGAATCTTTAGACTGCCAGATCTAAACAAAGAAAAGCAAGCCACGGATTTCCTACAAGCCAATCTGACTCTCTGATATTAGTCAGATCTGACAGTTTGAAATGGCCATCAGATCTGAAAAATGGCCAAATTTCTACGTCCAAAAGAAATGCCATTTAAAGCTTGCATACAACTCGACACCAGATCCAATGTATAGATTAGCCACAAAGCATTTCAAAACTTGGGACCAGGTTGGATAGTGAATCGGATTAAAAAAAAGGCCAACATTTCCTACTCTCAGATCTGTTTTGCATTAAGACAATTGTATTATATCCAACATAGGAAATCCAGGCCAGATAATTAATTCTTCCTACTATCAGATCTTACTGTCTAAAGCTAGTGAATATAAGAATCCAAACATGCCCTACCAAGATTGGTCAGGTCGTTCAAATAAACAGCTGCACATTTCCTACTATTGGACCTAACCGTCTGAAATTATTGTCAGATCTGCCGAGAGAAATGCATGCCATTCATACCATACTGCCTCAAATGACCATTGATTCAAGAGGCCAGTTGCAACCCCAAAAATGGATCCAATGTATGCATTATCCGCAAAGCATTTGAAATTTCAGAACTAGATTCGACGATGGATGTGAAAAATTGGTGATTGTCGAATTCAGGAATAAAATGACCGACATTTCTGATACACCTTCGCTCACAGTGGGCCGTCTTAAACTTGTGAGATTTGGTACAGCCACTTATCCATGGTCTAAGTTGAGTTATCCTGCTTGCACCTTCCGAGGAGGTGGGTGGAACCGGTCTATTAACCCGACTGAGTTCTGCTTAGCTTTTGGCAAGCCGCTAACTTGGTACTGAAATTCATTACTTGACTAACCTGCTATACTACCTAGATAACTCCCAAGTGGGATAAGTCCCACTAGTGTCAGAACTACTGAATCCGCTCTAGTCGAAGTTTTGTTTATATGTGGTGATTAGTGACCGTTAGTTGATGATTATTCAGAAATCGCGAGATGCAGTCTGGTGTGATGTAGGTTTCAGAAAACGTTTTGTTTATAGTGGAACATTGCCTTTGGTAAAGGAAGCCTATAAAGGCACCACTAAACAACAGGATCTTCTCTAAGTATCTGCCAGGGGTTCACCTTTGGCCACTAGTTTCCAATCCCACGTAGCACACTACTGGGCTGGGAACTTGGAACACTCTTGCGCTACACCGTAGTTCTGTTGGTTATGCACCCTCTCTCGTCTTTGCAGACAGATCTGGTACTCTAACCCATCTGTGCTACTCGAGCACCCGCTGGCATATTGCCAACAAATGAATTCAGCTTGTCCTTAAGAGAGTTCACCACACTCTCAAGGCCACACCATCATGCTTTGCTGAAAACCCCCCTTGCATCCAAGGGTTAGGAAAGTTCTTAAGGAAATATGCTGTGGGTCCTGGATTGAGAAAAGGAAACGCGGTTGCACCTCTTGCCCCGGGCATGATGTACCCTGTGGCACCGTGATCCCTAAAGTATTGAGGTACGGTCCCTATGCGTGGATATCGTCAAGGACAATGGGAATACAGGCTCAACCGGTCCTACTGTCATATCTGTTTAAAATGGCCGGGTGCTGTGGGTTTGTGCTATTGGATCCGATAGCAGAGGGTTCGAAAGCTTGCATCCGAACATAAAACCAATTCATAAGCCCCAAAGCATTTCAAAACATCAGATTGTGTCAGACAATGAACATGTAATATATAGTAATTGTAATACAGTAAATTCCGACAGTTGTCAGGACGAATCCACTTTCCGATTCGAGACCTTAAGGCACATCTAGCTGATCCATTTTTACAAATTTGCAAAAAAAAAAACAAAAAAAAAATCTTACAAATTGAAGCACCATTGAACCAATTTGCATTACGTATTGAAAATTTTTGTTTCAAATATTCAAGTTAGTTAGTAGGGGTTTTTGTTTTTTGGTTTCAAAACAAACGAAAATTATATAACGTCCTGACATTGAAAGATGGCGCAGGGACGGGATAACTGGGGAAAACAGCGAATACAGACGGACCGAGACGTGCACGATCGATTTGTAATTAAGTGTTCAATTGAAAATATAAAAAAAATTAAAAAAAAGATAAATATGATTCGACATACCATATGATGGAGGAAGAATGTTGTCCTGCACCATTGTGGCCGCTCGGGACAAAACATCCAAAGGCGATTCCCCCGTGTCCATTACTACAAAAATTTGTTATTGTTTCAGGAATACTTTTTTAAATTTTTTTTTTGGTTTCAATCGACTCGACCCTTACCTATGTCGGAGATGCGAGTATCCGGATAGGGCGAGGAGTTCCCAATTCCTACAGGGTAAAAGGGAAAATACGGTGTATCCCGTTCGGGGAGGGGGGGTTTGATAATAACGACTTCGTCCGGATGCAGACCGTTTTCCTTTAGTTTTTTATAAAAGAGAAAACTATCAACTAATATCGAGTTAGAGGAAATAAATCCGAGAAACTATTGTTTAGCTTTCTTCGGCCTGTGTGACACGTTCCCCCGGACGGGTCGGGACGAGGAATGCCTGGAATGACGGCTATGCCACGGACCTTGATCCGTAGTGGAGGGGGCGGAAGGTAACGCGGATCGATAGGCGGTCGCCAGGGAGGAACTCGACACGGCTGCCAATAAACAAAAAAAAAAGAAAATATTAAAAAATTAACGATAATAATTAAATAATTATTAATTATAAAATAAATGACTATAAGATTTCGTATAAAACTGACCTTGATGAACGGCAGCTAACGAAACTGAATGAACTTATAAAATATCTTGCATAATTAGTAATTAAAGAAAACAATATAAAAATAATTAATTTTTAAGAAATAATTGCATATTTTCAAAAAATATATTAGCAAAATATTGTAAAATATGTATAAATTGGCCGTTAAACTTTAGTTTTTAACTGAACGCGTACACGGCCGCCAACTGTACTGAACATATGAAAGGCAATATATCTCCCAAAATATTTATTTAAAAAAAATATAAATGTTTAATTATAAATAATAAATAAATACGCGGAATTGTGTAAAAGGTGTTTTAAACTGAATATTCAAATTTAGTCTCTGAAGGCGAATAGGTACTGCTTTCTACTGAACAAACAGAAAGAAATACAAGATATCATCCACAATCTACATAGAAAAATACAACAAATAAATAATGAAATTTCAATATTAAATAAATATGGCATAATCGTGGAAAAAGTGTTTAAACTGACCGTTAAAATTTAATAACTCAATGAGGCGATCGGGTCTGCCAAACGAAGCACATATTCAAAACTTTGAGTTTAACATCCAAAATACAATATCAACAAATAAACAATTAATTATCAATAATAAATAAATACGGCAGAATCGATGAAAAAGTGTTTAAACTGACCGTGAACATTAACAGACCTAAGGTCCAGCCTTGTCAAGACCGACCATGTTGAACTGAAACAACCAAACGAAGCACAAGTCGCACTGTCGACGATCATACCTACGATTTTGAGCTTAAATAAAAAATTAATTATCAATAATAAATAATTAGGGTTTAATCGTGGAAAACGTGTTTAAACTGACCATTCACATTGTACCTGTCCTATCATGACCGGATGTTAAGCAACGTGAAGCAACCAAACGAAAAAATAAACAAAATATTTTCTCAATTTAAACCCAAAAATATAAATTTAACATTTTTACGTTTAGGTGTGCAATAAAAAAACAATTACGGCTTAAATACAGTTTAAACTGGACTGTCCAAATTTCGTAACGGACAGAAGAGAAACATGTATGCCAATGGAACCGACCAAACGAAAAACATTGTTTACAAACATACAAAATCAAAATATTAGCTTTTAACTATAAACGTTCAAAAATGGAAAAAAGTAAAAAAAAAAAGCGATAAAATAAAGAAAAAATTAAATAAAATTTTTAATTAATTAATAATATTAATAAAAAGTCAAAAAATCGTGTAGTATTGTGTCGGCACCACTGTGCACAGCATATCACTATAATCAGTATAACCTCCTCCTATCATAGTTTGATACAGAATCTGATTTTTTTGTTTAACAGTTATTGTTATAATTTAATATACATTTTTTTGAAAATATAGTTTGCATTTCTTTATGGATATGATAGAGGACGATGTTTCGGATCTGTCGGACGAAGAGGTGCCTTCGCTAGTTGAGGCGAGGTTCGACCCGGTCCCTGTGACCCTGATCACCGGTTACCTGGGCGCAGGTAAGACGACCCTCCTCAACTACATACTCACGGAACAGCATAACAAGAAAATCGCCGTCATACTCAACGAGTTCGGCGAGGGTGAGTTTATTCATTTGTTTAAATATTCAAATTTATATAAATTTTGTATTTTTATTTTTTTTATTGAAAAGGGAGCGCGATGGAGAAGAGTTTGTCTGTTGGAGAGAAGGGCCAATTGTACGAGGAGTGGCTCGAGCTACGTAATGGTTGCCTATGCTGTTCGGTGAAGTATGTGTACGTTTTGTCTTTCCTCTGACCGGTTATTTTTACTTTGCAAATCCCACAGGGACAATGGGATCAAGGCGATAGAGAACCTCATGAAAAAGAGAGGAAAATTCGACTACCTCCTGCTCGAGACGACAGGCCTCGCCGATCCAGGTCTGTTTTATCACCTTGTACATCGATAAGTAGCCTATTTAAAAAAAAAAGTTAGATAAATGTGGATCTTGTAAGGTATCATTCACAAGAGTCGTTCAGTGGAAGGAGAGCAGAAAATCTGCGTTTAATAAAGAAGTGTTACTTTGTTTATTCAATCTGTAAACTTTTGCAGGGCCGATCGCAACAATGTTCTGGCTAGACAAAGAACTCTGCAGCGATCTTGTCTTAGACGGTAAATTCTACATTTTCCTAATTATTGAATATTTTATTATTGATTAATTAATTAATTTATTTGATCAGGTGTGATCTCAGTTGTCGACGCGAAAAACGGTTTGAATGTAAAAGAAAACAAATAAGGCTGAAATTTTTTTTTTTTACTGTATGCTGATTCAGGTATTGACGAAGGGCCGGATGGCGACGGAAAGGCTGGAGAACGAACATGAATCTGCAGATTCGCCTGTCAGGTAAGACTACGATCTACGTTACGTATAAACGGCCAAATAATTTTTACATTTTGTTCGTGTGAACAGGCAAGTGGCGCTAGGTGATGTGATACTGCTTAATAAAACCGACCTGGCACTTCCTGAAGAGGTGGATGCTGTAAAAGCTGCCATAAAGTTTGTAAACTATGATAAAATGTTTCATTTTTAAAAATAATTTTTTATTTTTATCTTGTATACGCAGGTCAATCAATGACTCGGCGCCCATCGTAGAAACGTCTTACTCAAAGTATAACGCCAAACCATTCCTTCAGTGTAGTTTTCTAACCTTATTTTCTTTTCAGGGTGTGCCTTGATAAGATTTTAGACCTGAACGCATACTCTGGCAACAATGTAAACAGGTATGACGTCAAATCAATATTGTAATTGTTATTGCAATAATTGCTCTAAACATATATTTTTTAAAGGATTCAGTATCTTGTTAAAGAAATAATAACTGCGGCTGGCGACAATCATGTTGATAAAGTAAGACCCTAAATCATAATCTTACAGTGATATTTTTACACAGAGACACAAAAGAAAGGTCAATTGGTTGATTTTCATCACAGACGATTGGCACCGTCACGCTCCGCGTTGGGAAAATGGACAAGAAGTCGATTGATGACTTCGTGCAAAAGCTTCTCTGGGCGAAGGCGTTGAAGAACAAGGACGGGGAGACGGCAGAGGTCTTCCGGGCAAAGGGGGTCGTAAACACGGGCGAGGGGCATGTCATGCTTCAGACTGTGTACTCGACATATGACATCGAACCGATACAGATGGACCAGACTCAGGATACCGTTCTCGTCTTCATCGGTAAATGAGACAATTCTATACTTTGAATTTTGAAGTGTAACTGTTTTATTTTCTTTCCAGGTAAATTTCTCGACAAAGACTGCTTAATGGACATGCTCAAAGAATTTATAAAAACTGAGTAATATATGTGTTTTCTTTTCTCCCTAACTTGCCTCAGTCTGTTTTATTAAAATAATAGCATACCGAAATTTGGCATGTTTATTACAACGTACAAACATGGCAGAGAGTGTTCAAAAAATAATATATAGTGAAGAAATTGGTTGACAAAAAAAAAATTGTACTTACACTTTTTACACAAATTTCCTGTCTTATGACTCGATGATTGAATTTGAGTAAATATTGACAAACCTGTGATATAAAGGTTCTTCTTCCTTATCATTTATATACATAAATGCAAGCACATTTAACATGAACAATGTATTAAAAACCCATTTGTTTATGTGTACATACCTATTTACACTTTTATCCATTGAAATGTTACGGATTCTATATGTATATACAGACATATATTGATGATTTTCATCTAGCGGCTCATTTGCTTAGAATCTATGAATCTTTTACACTTGTATGCCATGTATCCATTGAAATGATACGGATTCTATATGTATGTACAGACATATATTGATGATTATCATCTAGCAGCTCATTTGCTTAGAATCTATACGTCCTGAATGACCGGGTACTCATGCCAGGGTCAGGTCATTCTCACTAAAAACATAATTCACCTAAGCCCTGAATATATGCAAAGTACAAAACATAACTAACTTTTCACTGGCTCAGCTTCTTAAACTTGAGAACTTTGTGTTTGCAAGTCGTGTAATGATTTAAAAAAAAATTCTGTAGGTATCAACATGCAGGCTTTGAACCAACTGGATAGGTTGAGCCCAATAAAACCACTGCCCTCGATTTAGCTGTGGGCAAACATACTGTTCTAGACTGGAAACAGAATAGAAAGAAAGAAAGATTTTTGTTCAAAGAGGGTTCCCAAGGTATGCAAGCATAAACTGTTACTTTAAATGAAAAACTAGGACGTGACCGTTTATCTTCGTTCAGTTCAGAATGCCTGGGGAAATGGAAAGGACATCATGGTATAAACCAAGGTCGGATATTCTCTCTATGTTCACGAGGCAAGCGAAAATTTAAAATCCTTAAATTTATCTGAGAATATGCAGTTCCTCCATGTAACGCTGATGAAACAGGACTGAATTTTAAGAAATTGCTCAAGAAAACACTTACCTATAAGCTTGACTCAGATGTAAAGGTGATAAAGTAACACATCAGGAAAATTTACACCTGGTTGTGATAAGAAAATCAACTAGGCCTCGGGGTCTAAAACATGTCTGTGTTCATGCCCTTCCAGCAGTCTACAAAGCATATTGAATGAGCGTCATGATTTTCACATTTGTACAAGGCAGTAAAAATACGATTGAAGGTAAGAAGGATTACCCAAAAAGGCTTTTTTTTTTTTTTTTTGATAATGCCCTTCTCATCCAAATGAAGAACTGACGACTGGAAATATCAGCATTAAGTCTAGAATTTAAAGAAACCGTAAAAAATTTGCTCATGCTTTCTGAAGAAAACGGTGAAATCACGAATCCAACAACGCTGCTCAAAAATGTTATTTACTCAGCTTAACTCTAATCCCCCATTGCTGCGATGCTTGATGAGAAGACGAGTGAACCGGGACGCAGATAAAAACACCATTTTAAACAACACACTGCTTCTCTGAACTTTGGTGTAAAAGTTCTCTAGTAGAGACTAGAGTGCAATATTCTCACCATCCTGTATGGGTCGACAGCTGTGTCAGAGCGCAAAATTTAAACTGTTCTGATTATCTCTCAGTAAAGGATTACATGTGATACCTAGTGTACCTTCCTGAAAAGTTTTTATTTAAAAAAATAAAAATAAATTTAAAAAAAATTATCATAACAATAAATATTTTTTCACACGTAAAATTTAATATATTTTTATGGTTTACGTCCATTCTATAGGAGTAAATTATTCTAATGGAGACTGACAGTAATGTGATCAGTATGGAGGGGTTCCATTACAGGGAGGTTTAAAATGTACAGAAATTGTATGTTTTTTTCTTTTGCCAGGGAATGCAAAAATTGTATGGTAAGAGGGGTTTCACGTATTAAGTCAAATCCTTAAAAAGAAAAACCATAATTTAAAAAAAAAAATTCATCTTGTAATAAAAACAACAACAATGATGGTAGAAATAAACAAATTGACTAAGCTAGGAAAAGATTTTCAGATTGCTGATTAAATAATTTATATACGAGTTGATAAAATTTAAATACTAATTATTTGTTTCCGTTTAAGAAGGGGCGTCGATATACGAGGGCAGGCTGGCGGGGATGAGTGTCTACGCTGTATGTACAAGGTGGACTAAGACTGCCCTTCAGTGTATTTTACAATATTATTTACAACGTACGAGGAAGTGATGGGAAATGGCGATGGGAAGTGCTCTAGTCGTTTGAGGACGGTGTGCTGGCCTGGTATTGCACTACACCACGGCAGATGAACATAAACGCCTTTATATGTTCAAGAAGTTTCGACGAGGTTCGTTCCCTTTAAATACAATTTTTATTTTTAAATTTTTGAATTATTCTTAAAAAATTATTTTCTTTACTCACTTGAGCAAGAGTAAGATAAAATTTTTTTTTGAAGCATTGTCCGCCTTCTCAGTCGGGAAGTTCTGCCTGCTCAGGTTTAAGTCGAGCCAATGCGCCAAGTTCGGCGTCATCTTGTTCAGAGCGATGAAAATATCGGCAAAAACGTTCAGTACGCTGCGTGGCGATGTGTCATGCCCGATGCACATCAGCATGGTGTGTACGAGGTGTTCGCCGTGGGTGTTTACAATCTGTGCCGCCCATTGGTAGTGCTGGCTGTTTGAGATTATCATGCAGAGGAGCTGCCCGGCGGTGCTCACCGTATGGCCCTCCGGCATCGTTAGTGCAGATGTAGCTGTACAAAACCGTCTTTTATTACGACCGAGTTTTAAATCAAACATATAAAAAAGCTTACCAAAACTGAAAAGTCCGCTCAGGTTGATTGTCGCCTCGAGAAACGCCATGTTTCGCTTACATATAGCTGTTATAAGGGTGAAATAAACTTGTACAACATCTGCTGAACTCGAACCTTCATTGTTCATGACCAGTGACATCGTCGTATCCGACACAGAACGTATCAAATTCATGAGCAATTGGTTGTGTGATGGCGATTTACCAAACATTATATACAACTATTTAAAAAACCCTCAGATTGAATAATTTACTTTAAAAAAAAAAGATAAATAAATAAAACATTAAAAATACCTGTTTTGTGAGCTCGAGCATGACGGTATTAGGCTGGACAATATAACCGGAGAGGGCCAATCGGACGAACTCCTCGACCAACGGTATTGACCGGTCATCGATAAGGGTTATTATCGAACTTTTGATACACTTACAAACTTGCTGGAATGCCAAAAAAAGTTTATTTACGAGTAACGAAACCATCAATATGACAAGCTTACCTCGGTTACGACCGGACTGGACGACCAATGTTCTGTTATCGCTCTCAGCAGTGGCAGTAACCTCCTGAGTATGATCATGACCGGCGAATCGCCATTTACCTTTTCATTCAGGTAAATCGATGAACACAGATTCGCCAACATTTTCAGCCTCATCACTATAATATCCCTGGCTGAGTCGTTATTCTGTTCAACAAAAATATAACTATATTCAATTTATAATTATTTATTTATAATAAATAGTAGGTTATAACTGGCTATATACTACAAACCAAATCAACATACCAACCATGGAGGTTTGGGATTCACTTGTGACATTAATTTTTCATCTTAACCATACTTTACATAAAAACTATAAATCAATTGAAATAATTAATTGGAATAAACCAAAACATATCGAATAATTACTAAAGAACCTGCACTTAAATAAAAGGTACCTGTGGCCACTTCATGTGTAGCTGAGAATTCAACTCAATTACACACAATTTGAATATTGGGGGGGGGGGCAGTTGGACTGATGACTTGGTGTCTCGAATACTGAAGTGCCAGGGTACTGAGAGTCCCAGCTCAACCATACTTTACATAAAAAATATAAATCAATATAAATGGTCTAGTTATAAATGCAAGGTGTGAATATCTACTACCGAAAATAATTAATGCCATACTATGACAAACAGACTCAGCAGAAAAAGGCAGTTTTTTGCCGGAGTCATTGACATTGTGGCATCGGCTGAAGATGAGAAAACTCCTATTTACCTAACAGTCGAAGCAAGAATGGTGGTACACCCGGGAAACTGCGGGTTTTCTATGTAAATTCACAGTTACAGAAATAGGATCAAACCATGATTCTCTGGAATTAATGGCACAAAAGAATTTTTTGCTATGATTTATGCATTCGCCGCATGCTGCATTTGCGGTGCATACATGCATAAAATTAGCGTTCGAGCAGCTCCAAAATGAACCGGAAAACATAAAGCGTATAATTTTAACATGCCCAGAATACGAAGGGGCAAGACAGAAATTTTGTTGTCTGGGTGTATACTCAGGGAAATTTTGGGCGACAATTTTGAAAAAAATACAATGAAACCCATCTACAACCGACAGCTAAGGGAACCGAAAAATTGCCTGTTGTGGAGGGGTGGGTACCATTATCAATATTGCCAAAATATTTATATTTATTATGTATTTAAAAATAAATTTATTATGTGAACATATTTGAAACATTAAAAAAATCAATATAAAATAATAAATTTTAAACAAGTATGTAAAAATTTTGAAATATGTTTGTAAAAATTCATGTTCTAAAAAAATATTGTGTAATTTTCTTTTGATTTGCTTCGAACTTTTTTCCTTTACGATAATTTCTTCTTGTTTACATATTTGTTGTACTTATGATTTTCCTTCTTGAAGGTGGGATAATAGGTCATCTAGATCTAGATGACCTATTATCCCACCTTCAAGAAGGAAAAATCATAAGTTAAACTGTTGAGGTCAAAATATAAGGAAACATCATATTTGTTGTGTTATTGTGTCATAACTATTTGAATCTCAGATAAGGTATGGTTAGGAACCTGGGCGTATTTTGCCCCAGGCAGAGAAGGGAATTGATATCCTCCTAAAACGCTCTATTAAAACATTTGGGATAAAATCATCATAATATGACCATACTGTTTGTTGGAAAAAAAAGAAAAAAAAAAAAGGAAAAAGGTATGATTTACATAAGAGGCATGTAAGTTGACTAGCAGACTCTAGCAACTTATTTATATGATATAAGGAAAAAATGTTAGACTACAATTATTCCATAATTATATGATTATGGTCAGGTTATATGAAGATATGAGACTATATGTTGGTTGTACATGAATGCATTGATCGTAAAAAGAGGTTGTACTATGGATATGTAGAGAAATATGGCTAAGCTTTGGACATATAGTTTAATTGACCAAGCTGTAAATATCTATAATATAAATTACTATATATATCATGAGTAAAAAATAAGTACCTCTTGGCTGAGTGCATTGGCAATGTCAGTGGTGTAGTCGTTAACGATGATTTCAAGTTTTGAGACCATATCTTCGTAAGGAATTAGTGATAGGAGTTTCCCGATCGAGTACATGATCCTTATGCACTCGTCCTCACGGAGCCTCTTGTGATCGAGAGCCTCTTGACAAGCATTGAGCAACGCTGGAACGTACGGCTTGATTGAAGTCGTGCACTCTCTTGTCACATCTTTGAGCGCCATGGTCGCCGAAGTCGACGTTGAAGGGTTTTGCAGCGACGTTACGAGGGTCGTTATAAGGCAGGAGAGCATGTCGCTGTGGTACTCCCACCATTCGGCATACGCGCCGATGGCCATGTTGAGTGAGTTTACGACCTGAGCGTTGACCAAGTTGGGCGGGACATTGACAAGAAGTGATATCACAGCTTTACGCTCCTCCTGGTCTACCATGCCAGACAGGATGACATTGTTTTCATCGCCTTCTATACCGTCGCAGTCTTCCTCCTCGCAGTTCCATGGCGTCTCGGCCAACGAGTGTACGAGGTGCAACACTGATTCGACCTCCTGCCACGTCTTCGCATTCCGCAATGTGTTCTCAAGCAAAGATATTAAAAATTTCCTAATAAATAAATAACAATTTACCTAGAAAAAAAAAGTTCTAATTAACAAAAAAAAAGAGGCAAAAATCATAAAAATTGTTTATGAGGGCTTACAATCGTATCGGCAATGTCCTGCCTGTATATCCTGAGAAGTTCCGCTTCGGATGCAGTGAGGGTGACCCCGTCCGGCGGGTACTGTGACTTGTACAGTAGAATGCGGCAAACCTCCTTGTATAGGGGCTCAAGTATGTCGGAGACAATTTTCTTTGATTCCTCATCCAGCATATTCCTGTCGTCCTAGAAATGAGACGCGAAAATAGCATTGTACAGGTTGATAATTATGAATATTAAGAGAGAGAAAAAAACCCTACATGAAGTGTCGACCAGAATGAGACCATTAGATGGCTGTAAGTCTCATCGTTTGGAAAAGAGCCAGGCGTTGAAAGACAAGTGAGCAAGGACTGCAGCCACGTTTTAATAATTTCTACACTGTGGCTGTCGTTGGATGCCAGGTGTTCCAGTAAAATATAACCGTGAGCCTCGCCGAACAATATGTACAAATTGTATAAATTTGTAATAAAATCCTTCCAGGTGAGCAGGAAAATTAAATATGAATAAAAATAAATTTTATTTAGAATAAATACAAAATCTTGCACATACTTGGTTTTTGGATTTCTGCAAGAGAGGAAGTGTACGGAGTATGATCTCGAGGCCAGGCAGTATCGATCGTTTGTACTCATGCGTCGAAGGGTTGGTCATGATTTGGCAAAGCGCCTCGATTTCATGATCGCAGTCCCTGAAAAGAGCAAATGTTGTATTAACAGTAATACTGTACACAACGTCACCGTATACTTACTCGAAAGGATCACTGGCCTGCGCCTCCTGGATCACGTTGACAAGTTTTGCAGCTATGCCCAGGCAATCGGGCAGGACTGTGTTGTCAAGTGAGACCCAAGTGTAGACACCCTTTGCCGCAAGTGACCTGATCTCGCTATTGTTGTAATCCAAAAGGCTTTCAAGCGTCACCATGACTTTTAAAAATTAAAAAAAATAAATAAGTAAATAAAAAATAAAATGATAAATTCTGTAAGACTATCAAATTTGTACCTTGAGGCCAGGCTAGCTTTAATGCCTCCTTCACTGCGATTCTCTGTGAATGTACCAATGTCACCGAGCTCAGCTGTAAAAGTGATGAGCCCGAATTTTAAATTCGCTTTATGTGAAATAAATAAAATAAAGTAAATAATTCAATGAGTGACTGATATAAAATGAGAGATGATTTACCTCATTGGGAATGACTGAGAGGACTTCAAGCAATATCCAGACAGATCTTTCCTGCGAGATGTTAGGCAGGTTTTCTGGCCTGAATATGTTGTAGATATCTTCGATTGAGTTCTTCCAGTATTGTGGCGTCACTTTCAGCAAGAAGACGGCGAGCTGCAATTCAAAGAAAACAATTTAGAAAATTATTCTACACCGAGTTATAAAGATTGTTTTACTCACGGCGGAGCAAAGCCTGTTGAGTACTATCTTCGGCCCGGACGAGTAGGCGATTATCGCCTGGAGAATATTACCCTTCATTGTTTCGTACTCGTCCTCCGTAACCTCAGCCCAGTTGTTGACTATTTTCAAATAGAGAGTGTTCGAGCCGAAAAACTGAGCCTCGCAGGTCTGAAACAACATATAATTTTTTTTTAAACATTTAGTACACTTTTAAATTTATTTCATTCCATAAGTAATGATTGTTCTGAAGAAGCTAATTGGTCATAAGTTCAACAAATCTGGCTCTGACAGTGTATCAAACATTACAATGAATTCGTTTTGGATTTAAAAATGTTTAATGTTTTAATCATACATGACCCAGTGGCATCTATGTTTACGCTATTACAGCCTGACGGTAGAAAAAAAAAAAAATCTCCAATCGAAAGTGTATTAAATGCCATGCTGCAGTACAATTAATCTTTCGAGGAAGATAAAATAATCTTGATAAAATTTAGTAAATATTTGAATTCAAGTCGACTAGACTTAATGTATGCCATTTTTTTCTGACACAGACTGACATGAAGTCGACAGTGACATGTAACATGGAATATTTCATTGAAAGCGAATTAAACCTTATGATGTTGTACAAATAAACCATTCAGCGAAGATAAAATCAGATTGTTCATAAAATATATTAATTAATACTGAGTGGTGAGATATGATGTCGACCATTTTTCTCCTCATACAACCTAATAAGAAGTCGACAGACACATCACATGGAATAAATCATTAAAAGCGTATTAGACATTAAGCTGCAGTACAGTTAATCAGTCTTGAAGAAGAGAAAATAATCTTTACAAAAACTTGTTTTGTACTCAAGTATAACTTAAGTAACTTTTGTATTCAAGTAGACCAGACTCGATGTCGGCCATGTTTATACTGTACAAGCAGTGAAATGGAATCGACAGTGACACAAAATATGAAATCTGCTATTGACATGGTTGTAAACTTCTGCTGTACAAATACTCCGTTAAGAGTAAGAGAAAGATTGTTCATAAAATACATTAATTACTTAAGTGGTAAGACATATCGGCTATGTTTACGAAGTCAGATCTGTATAGGAGTCACCGGTGACAGGTACGCAGTGTGACTATGACATGATAAAACGCCAAAATTGATGTTATAAGTTAACGAAATCATATAAACCGTGATGGCCCAGGCTAGGTGAATCGTAATTCAACTGATTGTAAAGTAAAATGTAAATAAACTTTCTCACCCTATTCGGCTGGAGGAGTTCCCAGACGAGGCTCCAGGCGTGAGACGAGTTCTGAAGCATCATGAGCCAATGATGAGCCTCGGCCTGGAGCGTGGAGTTGATCCTGTAAAACTGGGCCAAAGCGCTTTCCACATTCTCGACGAGCACCTCCATATCAGGACGGTCGGATCGACGGATTCGACCGCAATCCAGATGAGGACGAGGACAGCCTTGGACCGCTGACTTGATCGTTGTTAGCGTTTGAAAACTACGAAGTGGGACGGAACAGCTGACTAACGGTGCCCTGATAAACAACTAAAAACGAATTTCCAAATTAAAAAAAAATCCCTTTCTTTGAAATTTTACGCATTAAACAAAAATCTAATAAATGATTAGATTTTTGTTCGATTTTAAAATATTTAATCAGCCATTTTATCCGGGGGGAAATTTTGGTTTTTGTACTCAAAGCCGACGCCCCTCCGGAATTTTATCTAAACATCAAACCAAACTAATTATTAATAGACTTATTTCTAAAATTAATTATAATCGTTCAATTATTAAACATTGGTTGAAGCTTGAATCATCTTCGGCAGTAACCAGGGGACATTTCAAAATTATGTTTTGGGTCAGATCGGGTGCCCGTCAAGGTTGTATACTAAGTCCCTTGTTATTCTCCTACAAAACATTAAATAAGTCGATTTGTTTCTCAATAATAATTACTACAATTACGAACTATTTTTTTAAGTAATGAATCGTATAAAATCAATCATAATTGAATTTTGGCGGTTATCAATCCCAGGCGTAATCAATAATTAATCAACCGGTTTAAATCAATATCCAATTTGAACAGGCATAAATTATATTGCCTCGCAAACGCTAGATTTTTTTTGTTGACAATTTTCGTAGTTTTTAAAAATTATTATTACTTCAATTATTAATATAAAAAGGCTGGATGTTAAATAAAATAAAAATAAATATATAAAATACATCAGGCATCTGCTTTTGAAAATGCTGGGGGACGGAACAGCTGAGCAGAATGTCCACTGCCTTGATGAACCAAAGCGCTGACTAAAATGTAATTTCCAATAATAATGAAAAAAATAAATAAATCAAAATTTCTCGCATTAAACCAAAATCAATAATTTTTTAGGTTTAAAAAATATAATTAGGCGTTTTTTTTCACAAAAATTGGCTTTCTCAAACGGGGTGCCCCCTCTTTGATTTCGACAAAACAACAAACAAGTCGACCTGTTTCTCACTAATAATGACAAAAATTAATTACAATTGATCAATTATGAACCTTTTTTTAACTAATGAATCGTATAAAATCAATCATAAATGTCAATCTCAATCTTAATTGTATTTTGGCGGTAATCATTCCAACGCTTAATCAATAATCAACCGGTTTAAATCAATATCCAATGTGAAAAGACTTAAATTATATTACCTCATAAAGGCTAAACAACGGGTTTTTTGGCATTTTTTTCCCCCAGTAAAGGGTGGGTTTTTCTTCCGCATTTTCCGGGATTTTCCGCCCGGAGATTATTTCTCCCCTCACTGAGTTTTTCCCCTGTCATCAGCACTGTCGGTATCAGAGAATCTCGCTCTTGACGGATTTTTTTCGGGCTGGAAGAACTACGAAGTTGGTATGTTTTTTTCTCCCCCAATACTTTCTTTTTTTTAAATTTGTACTGAAGTATCTTTCAATTGTGTTATCATTCCGATTTTAAAAGGTCCCTTCTGGGAAAATCAAGCGTGAGGCCAGTGAAAATCTATTAAATACCAGCTTTGAAAAGGAGGTAAATGATTTTTTCTTGTCATCTTTATAAAAATAAAATCGGAAAAAACACGTAGTTTTGATACACTGACAGTCAATACGAGAAAATAAAAGATGGAACGACATAGAGCTTGTGAGTCAGTGATTGATCATCAATCAAATTATCACACTGTGGCTCTGCTATGGCTCCTTTGTTCCTTCGCTCAATTTGGGCTCTACTGAGATCTTTATTCATTTATTATCTCTCATTAGCCAGGCCTTCCCATTCCACGTCTCGGTTGGGAATCAGATATAGATGCATATTAGTTGGAGTGTGTAATACACTGCGCCCTTTAAGGTTTTATCCTCTGTTCTGTGCCTGTAGCACACCACTGAGTCCTATTTCAAGGCATTTGATTAGTACGCCCAGTTTCAGTGGTTTGAATTCCTCCTACACATTGAAGCATTTCCTACTGCGAGTAAGTGTAGCGCCTCAGTTTGTTAATAGATGTGTTTGTGACTCTTACGCTTCTTTGTAGAAATTGCACATATGTCAATCTTATTTAAATGTCTGTTTAGTTTGCAGTGTCCTGTTAAGAATCCTGCTAGTATTCGTGGTTTTTTCCTATTTCCTTTGATAAATTCTATCGATGATGATGGTGATAAGGAGACTAAGAAGTGAGGTTTGTGTTCCCCAGGCCTTCTGGCTTATTGCACCTTCCTTGTTCCCTGGTTTAGTGCAATCGACTCTATCCTTCTTCTTAGAAGTATTAGGTTATTGTCTGTCGCTGCTACAATTTCATTTCCTAGGTTTTTTTCTATATGTTAAGTTATGTGTATAGAAGAAATATACATGATAACGAATCCAATTAAATAACAAACATTCCCAGCATATAAAATTGAAAGCCCACTAACAGTTGGAACATGGCCAACTGTACTCAGAGGGCCAACAATTTTACTTGTTTACAGATAGCAGTAAAATTGGTGAAGAAAATGTGGGTTGTGCATTTGTCGTATTGAACAGAGGTTCAGAAATATACGGTGAAATGCACAAACTCCCGGTTTAGCAAAAATCAGGCTGAATTATTTACAATCCTGAAGGCATTACAATGGATCAAAATGTAATTTAAAAAAACGAGAGACTCGGAAGACAACAGAAAGATCCAACTCAGAACAGACAGTGACGTTATCCTCAAGGTAACAGCGAATCACAAAATTTACAACAGGGAGGCAGAAATGATTAGAAAAATATGGAATTTGGAGATGAATTTAAATACAAAGATCAAGATGGGTTGGATACAAGCACGTAATAGTATCCGCGCTAACAAGCTAATCGATACATATCAATGCAAAAAAAAAAAAAAAAAAAAAAGATAAGGAAGTGAACAACGGCCCGGCCCAATGGAAACATGAATGGACAAATACAGAAAAAGGCTGAACAACAAAAAGGATTTTTCCAACAATTTCCTCCTAACAAATAAGAAATAGGCATAGTGGTAGATTACCAATGGCTCTAATTGAATACGGAGAACAAGCATACCTCAATAGATTCAGAATAATAATCAACCTTCTCTGCAACCGAGCAAACATGAAATACCTAATTTATAGATGTGAAATGTTCGAAACCAATTGTGCAACTCTGATCCAAAAAATTGTATATAATGGATAATTACGGTAAACAAGCAAGGAAATGCTGATCCACAAGTTCTAGGAAGATTTCTGACAATTGTCGAATCGATGTATCTGAATGAAGATTGATAAGAGTGATGATGAAATTAGGAAGCAAGGTTTGCGCTCCTCAGGCACTGCAGCCTTCTAGGTATTGTAGTTCCCTAGTTCAGTGCAATCGACTCAACCCTTCTCAAAAGTATTAGGTCATTAGGTTATTGCTCAGTTTTATTCCCTAGGTTTGTCGTTTATGCTAGGTTAAATTCCATTGAGCTGTTTCCTCATCATTGCATAATCTGCAGATGAGATCATCGTTATATATGCTTGTTTTTTTAAATTTAATTTATTAAAACTGGTTTTATTAGAATAATATATAGAATAAATAAATATTTACATTCTTATAAAACCATTGTTACAATAATGTTTACATTTCACTAATTTTTAACTACACTAGTTCATATGGCTTTGTTCTTTTTAACCTTCTTTTCTCAATTGCCAATTTTTTGTTTCTGAGGAAAATAATTGCATTTTTAGATCTGATGTTTAATTTAAAAATAAACAATGATAACAATTTCTATAGTATGTAGTGTGCGACTTTTTTTCTCTATTAATTTATTTTTTATTATCGCAGGAGGAAAAAGTAAAATGTACAAAGTCATCACAATGGTGGCCGGCATTGCGTTGGCAGTCGCATTTGCGTTCTACACACACTATTATAATAGTGAAGAGGCAGAGCAGGAAAGAGAGTAAATTGATCGATTTTTTTTTTTTTTTTTTTTTTTTTTTAATAAAAAACTGAATATTTTTCTCTCTCTTTTCAGTCATATTAACCTGGAGAGGGAGAGAAGACGGAGGAACAGTACAAGACGCAGCGATGAGAACATAAGTAATGCCAGATGACGCTTATAGGATTTAAATATTTACCCCCCCCCCTGTTTAATTTTCCAGTTCGCCAGAGAAGAAGCGACATAATGGGCAAATTATCCAATGACTGTCTAGTCTGCCCGATATGCCAGGAAAGATGCTACCACAGGGAGCAGGTCTGGTTCTGCCGCGAATGCTGCTCGGCTTACCACTACATCTGCATCCGGCGATGGTTCTCGGAGAACAACACCTGCCCGTCATGTCGTTGCACAGTCAGACTTCCCGCCCTCTACACGTGCCTATGCGGACGCGTCGAAAATCCCAGACATGTAAGTGATTTCCCGTTTTTAAATATTTTGTTATACAATTTATTTTAACTCGCCCGCAGAACATAAACATTTTGCCGCACACCTGCAACCTCGGGTGTATGAATTGTGGAGAATCTTGCCACCCCGGACCCTGCCTGTGATGTAAACTGTAAATTTCTTTTTACTGTTAATATGTAATTAAAAAAATAAGTTTTACAAAGTATGAACATGTTTTCAAAAGCAATAACAATTAAGTGCCTCAAATATTAATTATATTAAGTTTTTTTACGTTTTTAAGACAACTTCAGACTTCATACATGAGTTTTTCATTTAAATAACCATGTAGAAACCATTTGTACATTGAGGACAGCAGACTGGAAGCGACCCCTCTCAACGTCATCATCTCTAACAAGTTAACATAAAAATCAGTTTACCATTTTTTTGTTTTTTAATTGTATGTATATATTATTTGAATAAAAAAACTTTTTTTTTTATTTATGTACCTTATTTGGATCTCATATACCATTTCAAAATCCTACATTTAACTTGCACACTTGATTAAAATGTCAGTGGGATGGTTACAACGTGGTTATAGATAACCGTATTACAACCTCACATTGTTTCGCTGCCTTGAGTTATAGGTTGGTATCCTGTATTTGTAATCCTTTTTAAAAAAGATGGTTCTTACTTACATTAAATTGTTTTGCAACAATTTAATGTGAGTAGGAACCATCTTTTTTAAAAAGGATTGAACTCCACACTCGCCACATCATTTATAATTTCTATCCTGTATTTGTTTCCCCACCCCTCCAAATCTTTCACACTCACTTCTCAATCGCTTTACAATCAATCTGTCTTTCTCAGTCACTACTAAATGATACATTTATTTAAAAAATTTAATAAAATAATGAGCATTGAATAGGGTGAGGGTTATGAGAAATAAAGAAAAAATAGTGTTATGTTTTTTTTTTTCCATTTTAATCCCATAATAAACATTAGAAAATTCATTATTATTTTTTGTTTTGTAAAAAAAAATTAATAATAAAATATTATATAAGTCTTTTGTTTTCTTCGATAATTGATCTGTAGAAAACTTTAAAGTTTCAAAATACTTTTTCAAAGTACAATTACATGAGATTTATATATCTTAAAAATCCATAAAAACGTCTAACAAAAAACCGATATAAATAAATATTTCAATAATAATAATAATAATAGTAAAATTCACCGATTGGTGGAAAGACTAAAATGAGGAGTACTGGGCTGGTATGACCATTCGTCGTAGTCCAGGCCCTTTGTCATGGCTCAATTTTGGCGCTGTTTACGGCGCAGAAGGTACAATTGATGAGTGTAAAGACACGAAAAAATATCACAAATATTTTCCTGGGCAAGATTACAGTAGAAATACAAAAGAAAAAACTTATTATAAATAATAATAAATCATGATCATTATGATTATGACTAATTACCCATGATTTTATCTTTGATTTTAATTTTTTTTTCAATAAAATTTAAAGCTTTTTATTTCCAATAGAAATTTTTATATACAACCAGTTTCCGTTCTTATTTGTATAAATGCAATGAGGCTACTTTATGGTGTACGCAGAACTTGTAGTCTCAAAATCTGAAGAAAAAAATTAAAAGCCATCTATAATTTTTTTTTAGCGTATAACAAATGTGTATATACTAAGGCTCGTTGGCGCAAGATTGCACCTTCGCATCGTACGACACGTTCCCTTTCATTGGCTCTGAATCTTCGGCCTCATCCTCGCTCGCCATCTGGTCCAGCATGTCGAACTCGTTGGCTATCCTCTCCTCAAACACTTCGGTCTCGCACCTGCACCAAAATTTGTATTTAAAGACTTCAAATTTTTGTGGTGAATTTTGTAGTAATGTGACGGTCAGAATTTTGGCAAGTGTTACTGTGCTGAGTTTATCAAACGAAAGAAAACCAGTGCAAATTTTGTACCGAATTTGGATTTCACGTCTGGTTTGTTGAGCCAAAATTATTTCCTGTTTAAACCTCTCCACCTAATAATTAGTGACAATCCGACACAAAAATGAGTTTTCAGGCTTATTGCGCGAAAATTATTTTAATTTTTATTCGCCATTTCCATAAAGTATGGTAATAAGACAAAATCAATTTATATGCTTGTTGTACTGCACCAAAATTATACTGCCAATTACATAAAATGGAGTAATAACACTTCCGATCCTGCTACAAAATCAATTTCTATGCTTGATTTATTGCACCTAAATTATTTCAAGTCACAAACCCGAGCGCTAAAAATATTTTAGGTCAAAATTATATTTCCAATTTCATAGAATGTGGTAATAACACATCTGAACCTGCTATAAAAACAATTTCAAGGCAAAACCACTATGTCACAAGTGTGAAAGAAAAAAAAAAGGTTAACTAAATAAATTGCCCACCTCTGATGGTCGTCTTTAACAGCTTTCTCATCCTTCTTTTCCTCTGGAGGATCGTCTTCTAGACCAAGGTATGTTGGCTCTTAAAAAAAATAAATAAAATATTTTATAAATAAAATAAAAATACGACTATTTATAAATAATTTATTATTTTACCTTGTGCCTGTGCCGATATTGCTTGTGCAATCGCTGTCGGGATGATGAGCGGATATTTCCTTTCATGGCGCGGCTTGCCAACGAGTAGGGACCTCGATCTGTCCCTCGGTGGTAATGGAATCGCATTTAAACCTTTAAAGAAAAAAAAAAATCAGTTTGATTACTTCATTCAAAATAAAAATTAAACATTTTTACAAAGACAAAGGATCACCTGAGCCGGACTCATCATCGTGTTCATTTTCACTCAGGTTTGGCACATCTGTCATTGAGTGTTTTCTATCAAGAGACAAACTGCCAACAGATCTGTAAGCGGATGGGGATTAAAGTGTAAATATGGTTTTTGAACTTGTGATCGTTTCCTTACCCGATGTTACGCGGAAGGTGTTTGTTGCCCCGTATCTTCGGCCGTACAAGTGGCACCGAGCGCAGCATCCTCAATGGGTTTGCCTCGATAGGCTGCTCGACCAGCTGTGAATACACGGCCTTCGCTTCCGTAGTCAAGCATCCCTGCGTTTTGGGTTTTTTGTTTTGTTTTTTGTAACAGTGTCAAAAATTAGAAAAAAAAATGTATGTATAAAAAGGAGAAATATTGCTCCCTTGTCCCCTTTTTCTTCTTACGATTAGCCCAAATTAAAACAAAATGTACATAACTAAAAATAAAAAATCACAGTGTATTTAGTAAGAAAACAAACGTGGAAAAATCCAAGCATAAAAGCATACAAGGTGAGTTACGACTTCTTTATAAAAACAAAAACAAAAACATACACAAACATAACACACACACAAATACAATAAAAAACAAGCAATTACTTAAAAAAAAAGGATGAAAAATAAAATACAACCATTTAAACTACAGTGCTCCTTTGAGAAAGGTCAAAACTGGCAGTACACAGCTCTGGAGGCCGGACGAGGTCAAGTGATGGTTAAATTATTTTAAAATCAATACAACTTATGTAGAATGATAAAATTTTATTTTTAATTATTTTCATTACAAGACTAGAATAATAAAAGCTGAAAACATGTGATCAGTCAAAATTAAATTTTTTAACGAGATCCTCTAAAAGGAATTAGGACTAGTGTAGAATAGAATTTGTTTTGAATTTTAATTTTTTGACAATTTGGTTGGATAGGGATTCTAAAGAACTGATAAATACTGACTTGTTAAGGCTCGGCCAGAAAGTGGTTTTAACTTTTTTTTTACAATGTAGTACAAAAAAGAAATAACGGTCAGTACAGATCTTTTCCAAGAAAAATTAGTTTATTATTAATATTGAATTAATTCGTTCATGAACTACACAAACCAGTTATTTTGACATAACTAGTTTATTTTAGATAGTCAGTGATTCATGATCTACATGAACTAGTTCAGTCATGAACTACACCAAATAGATCATTTTAGCTAGTTAGTTCATGAACTAAATGGACCAGTTCATAATTCGTTCATGAATATACTAACTAAATATTTTGAGCTAGTTCATTCAAGAACAACACGACCTAGTTCATTTGAGATAGTTCGTTCATGAACTATGTGAAGAGATGGGCAAGCCGTAACATTTGAGGACCTGTTTAATTGAAGGGACATGTTTAGTTGAAATAGTTCCTGAATTAAGATCCACTCAGCTTATTTGTTCATAACTACACGAATAGTTCGTTCATGATCGGTAAAAATGGTCAAATTCGATTATTTACCGATCATTTCAAAGAGCAAAAAGTTTAAAAAATAGACATATTATTCCAATAAATATGACTAATAAGTTATTAAGGCATAATAACGTTTAAAAAAATATAAATAGTAAAAAAAACGTCATAAACGTACACACATGTTGAGAAACCTTACTAGCTAAGCTTATTACTTACTAAAGCACTTTTTCTCTTCTTTTTTTTTTTCTAATTACAATAGAAGAAAATAATTTGCTAAGCCGGTGGATTATGATTAAAAACGAATATATATGTATTATTTTTTTAATTTGTTGGGTAAAAAAATACTGTAAACCAGCAGACCAGTATGTGCTTGATCTGACGAGCATTATTTTCAAAAAATATGAAAAAATACTTTTATTTTATTTATAAAATGATTTAAGGCTTTTTGAAGTTTATAGTTTAGTTGATAGCCTGGCTTTGAGAAAGTCTTCAGTGAAACCCGGAAGGGAGGCGACATCATCAGACGATGAGGACGTGGAGGACTTGACGAGGGAGCATCGTACGACCCAGGTGGCGACACGGCACGGCACATCATCGCCAGACGAGGAAGAAGAAGCACCGTAATCATCCCAAGACCGTTGTCGCCTCCTCTCACACCAAGACCTGCTCCTTGGCTTGGCGGATGGCGGGGAAGGTGCGAAAGCTGGTGCCTTTCTCCCAAGGATGGGCGCATGGGTGGGAAGATCGCGTGCATCGGACACGGACCGTTTGTGAGCTGGGGGGCCTGGTAGGGCATAGCAGCCGGCGAAATCGCCTTTCAGGGTGGAACGGCTCGAAGCGGAGGAGCCGCCGGCAATAGTCGTTGAGGATGAGGTGAGGATCGAATTGTAGCTCGAATCTATTGCGGTCCCCTTTGAACCAGGGCTTTCGAGCATTTCTGTGCTGGAGTCTATCGTCGGGGGACGACGCGTCAGGAGGTCGCGCGAACGGGCGAAACAGAACTCGGCAGAGGCCCTGTCCCATAGTGGGAGCCTGAAAGGGGTTGAACTGCCCACGCTGTCAAAGCTCGTACACGATGACAGTGACCTCAAACTTGAGCACAACGACTAAATAATATCCATTGCATCAATACAGCCCAAAAAGGGGAGACAAAAAACATGCAAAAAAAGTTTGCGTTTTAATAAAAAATAAAAAACATACCCATTTTTGTTTGGAATTTATTTTTTTGATTAGTTTTAGTTTTTAGGCCGGTGTCGAGGTAATTTGTAACGAACAAAAGGAAGGAGGAAAACAAAAAGACAAAAAAGCATAACGTTAGTTATACAACAAAAAAACACAAAGGTAAAATAAAAAACAATGTTTCGAAGCAAAATTAAATTTTATGTATTAAAACAAAAATAAAATTGTTGGCTGGCGGTTTCGCGTTTGCATGATGCGCCATTTGATTGGAACCGTATTACAATCACACGAGGTTCACCCACTAGATATTTCCCCTCCAACCATACTAACCACCCCCGGAAAACAACAACTACTTATCCCCTCTGATACCCCCCAATAACAGTTTCCCCTTAATGTAGATACTATTAATTTTCCCCTTAAATACCTCCATTACTTGTTCCCTTTCATTGTACTAATACTCCTCCAATAATTGTTCACCTTCAATATACACACTACTAATTTCCCCTCCAATACCCCCACTACTTGTTCTTTTTCGTTGTACTAATTTCCCCTCCAATACTCCCACTATACGTTCTCCTTCAATGTATACTACTAACTTCCCCTCCAATACCGCCACTACGTGTTTCTTCTTCAATGTACATACTATTAATTTCCCCTCCAATACCCCCACGACTTGTTCTCTTTCATTTTACTAATTTCCCGACTAATACCCCCACTATACGTTCTCCTTCAATGTACATACTACTAACTTCCCCTCCAATACGGCCACTACGTGTTTCTTCTTCAATGTACATACTATTAATTTTCCCCTCAAATACACCCACTACTTGTTCACTTTCATTGTACTAATTTCCCCTCCAATACCCCCCACTATATGTTCCCCTTTTGTCGTTCTAATTTCCCATCCAATACCCCCACGACTTGTTCTCTTTCATTTTACTAATTTCCCGACTAATACCCCCACTATACGTTCTCCTTCAATGTACATACTACTAACTGTTCCCCTTTTGTCGGTCTAATTTCCCCTCCAATACCCCCACTATATGTTCCCCTTTTGTCGTTCTAATTTCCCCTCCAATACCACCACTATATGTTCCCTTTTTGTCATTCTAATTTCCCCTCCAATACACCCACTATATGTTCCCCTTTTGTCGGTCTAAGTTCCCCTCCAATACCCCCACTATATGTTCCCCTTTTGTCGTTCTAATTTCCCATCCAATACCCCCACTATATGTTCCCCTTTTGTCATTCTAATTTCCCCTCCAATACCCCCACTATATGTTCCCCTTCAATGTACATACTACTAACTGTTCCCCTTTTGTCGGTCTAATTTCCCCTCCAATACCCCCACTATATGTTCCCCTTTTGTCGTTCTAATTTCCCCTCCAATACCCCCACTATATGTTCCCCTTTTGTCGTTCTAATTACGCCTCTAATACCCCCACTATATGTTCCCCTTTTGTCGTTCTAATTTCCCCTCCAGTACCCCCACTATATGATCCCCTTTTGTCGTTCTAATTTCCCCTCCAATACCCCCACTAATTGTTTCCCTTTTAATATCCCCACTACACATTCTCCTCCAACCACACTAGACCCCCCCCCCTTAGGACATAAACCACCACAACTAATTCTCCAATCACATTTGATCACTCCACTCTCTTCACTTAGAACTTCAACTAAATTTTCAGAACTGGGATCTCATACACTCTCTCTCTAGCGACTAGCTATGGATTTGATAATATGTATGTGGAACAAGTCCAACAACGCACTTTAAATCGAGAAACGCCCGGTATAACTGATGTAATGTAATTGAATATTGTAAGGAATTTTGCATATAAACCAAAGATGGCCATTTTTGCAATAATAAATTACTCAGTTTTTGAATTTTTTTATAAAAAATAATAATAATAATAATAAAATAAAAATAAGTATTTTGTGTTTTTTCATTCAAAATTTGAGTAAATTATCATTAATAAATGGAATACTATTATTATATTTTTTTTTTTGTGGAAAATTATGTACCTGAACATCTGGAATGGATTGCGCCTCATCGGTGAAAGACCGGCCACTGCGTTGTCCCTTGTTTGAGCCATTGTGCCCTAGGGTGCTGCTCCTGTCGGATCCATGGTTACCCGAGCCTCCGATTGTCGGGAACTTGAATGAAGAGCTCCTCGAGCCGAGGCTAGGCCCATGCCGACCCGGCGATGTCTCGCCAGCCGACTGCACCATCACCTTGTTGGCAAGCTCGTATGTGAGGGCAATGGCTGTGTCAAGGGTCTTCTCGTCTGATGGAGATATTGGCTTGACGGTCGCCAGTTTCTTCTTTGACTTAGCTGCCTGAGCTTCTTGCAGCTCGTTCTTCCTGTTTACAACATCATCCATCTGAGGTGGGGGTGGTGGAGAGCTGTAATTTCTAAACGCAGCATCCATCTCATCCAACAGACTCGGCCCAAAATCAAATTGTTTCTACACAGGAAAAACAAAATAAATAAAAGTTTAAAAAAAAATTATTCGTTTTTATACACTTACTTCAAAACGAGGGCTGTCGACTGCTTCGTCATCAGTGATCTCATGGTATTCATGATCCATCAGCTTGCTACTAGATGTCGCGTCTGTCCATCCAGCTGGTGAAATATACAAATTTTTCATTATTAATATTTCATATGAAATTGAATCAAAAAAATAAAAATAAAAAATAACCAGAAGCACAGTTCCCGTTGTGTGTTATATTGCTGAGCAGTGGCACTCTGTCTGCAGAAATGCTCCCAGCATCCTCGTTGTCAGTGTGCGGCTTGTACGGTGCTACAACCTGATGTGGCACGTGCTCATACTGGAAAGAAAACTTACTTGGTTTAGTATTAAGAAAGGTGTTGTTATTTGTTATTGATTTGTGACCAATCACCTTGGAACCGCCGAGCGATGATATGTCGCCGAAGTACGAGCCGTCCAGACCGACGTGGCCGGTGTGCTTCACGTCACCTTGAGGGCATGAGATCATGTCTGGCTTGAGGCGGTTTCTCTTCGATGAGTAAGCGTTCTTCCCATCTGAAAGATTACATTAAAAAAATAGTATGTACTGTTTTGATTTTTTGATGATTATGACTAACCTCCACGGACGAACTCAGTAGGCTTATTCGATGGCAGGTTTGAACCGAGGTATGCAACCGTCAACGCTGGGTTGAATACGCCCGTTTTACCATTATTAAGAATACCTTTCCACAGATTTGTCCCTTGCACTGGGCTAAATAAATAAATAATAATTATATATAAAAATACATAAATAAATAAAAAATACCTTTTATCCAAAACTGTGATGACATCTCCGACTCTGAATATAAGCTGGTCCCTTTTCATTTTTTCCTCACCCGAATCCTGTATTGCCTGCACCTGCTCCGGTTTACACTTGAAAATTAAAAATAAATTAAATTAATAACAATCGATGAAAGTATATACAATGATAAAATTGTATATTACATCCGACAGTTGTCGTATCAGATCGCTGAATTTAGGCCTTTTGTTCGGATCATGATGCCAGCATTTGCGCATAACGCTGTAGTAGTCTTTAGGGCAGCATTCCGGACGTTCTAACCTCTACAGTAATAAAAAAAAAATTATATATACTTTTTTCTTTTTTTAAATTTGTATAACATGTACCTGAGGGTTGGGCTCGTCGATTGCCTCGAGTATCTGCTGGCCTGTGAGTGCGGCCCAAGGCTGGAACCCGTATGAGAACATCTCCCAAAGGGTTACGGCGTATGCCCAGACGTCTGACGCCGATGTGAACTTGAGGTACGTTATACACTCTGGGGCGCACCACGCGATTGGCAGCTTCAGGTTCACATTGAAGTTTGTCTGGTAATAGTCCTTCCCGACTCCGAGAGCCCTGCTCAGCCCAAAATCTGATATTTTGACTTTGTTCTTTGAAAAGACGAGTATGTTACGAGCCGCTAAATCCCTAAAAAAAGAAGTATATAAATAAAGTAAAAATATATTTAAAAAAAATATGCCAACAACAAAACTTCTAAACAATCGTTTATAATTAATAATAATAATAACAAACCTGTGAATAAGACGTTTTTGTTCTAAATATTCCATTCCATCACAAATCTGAATAGCGAAATTACACAAAGACAGTACAGGGAAGCTGGAACGTAAAGACGGTTCCTTGAGACACTCAAGAAGTGATCTCAGAGCTGCCAGCTCCGACACCTAATATAAAAATATTCATAAATTTAATAATAATAATACTATTTGTGTTTGTAGTTATAATAAACAACATAAGCCGAGACCAGTTATATGCATGCAAGACAAAATTTTAACACGGTTATCCATAAAAAAAACCTACACTTATACAGGTATAAATAAATTGTAACCTTCACACTGTTATATATTAAATCCACCTATCAAGAATTTCGGTTTAATTTGAAAATCTAACCAGCATAAGAGCATTTGTGTCCAGTACGACGCCATAGAGCCTTACGATGTGTTCATGATCGATTGCGTGCATGATTGCTGCCTCTTTTAGAAACTCAATCGGGTTGTTTTGCATCCTTTCACGGCTGAGGCACTTGATTGCAACTTGTATCTTAAAAAAAAAAAATAATAATAATAATAATTAACAAATCATAAGATGATTAAGTAATCGTTTTAATTACCCTTTCACCATCGTTGGTCCATACGCCTTGTTGTACGACACCAAATTCGCCTGTACCCAGCTCCTTGTTTACTATGATGGCGTCGGCGGGGATGATGTGCTTGTTGGGCACCCGTATCGGTGGCTTCTCAGGTGGCTCATCAGGCAACGTGCATTCCCACTGTTCCTCCTTCCTCGACATTATCATCTGGCAGACCGACTAGATTGAGTATGAAGATGGGTTTCTTTGTACAAACCAAGTTTCAAATACCTTTTTGAACTTGGACAGGTAGTTCTGGGGGAAGTGCTTCTGGAAGTATTTCTTGAGGCGGCGCATCTCCGGCTTCGACATGCCGAGCTGGGCGAGATCCTCTTCCGACACGTATTTGAGCTGAGCCACATTTTGCACCTGGTTGACAAAAAAAAAATATCATAATAATAAAATAAAATAAATTTTTTAATAATATTAATATAAAAGGATGAGGATAGACAAATTATAACCATCAAGTTACCTTTCAACAAGTACAAAACCCTTTACAGTTACACCAAAAAATAATACACAGAAAAAAATATTCTTACTGATCATCTTTGTCTGCCTATCCTAAATTGCATGTCAGATGCTTTTCAATGTGATGTTAACTCAAGTCCCTTTTATAAAGTCATGTGTGGGGTGACATAAACAAACTATAGGTGGTGAAATGCCGAAACACGATAAGAATCAAATTACATGTCCAATCCTTAGACCACAATAAGAAATCAATAACGTTATAAAAAAAGTATGCTGCTTATGCTGTCAAATTTCAGTAAAATGCCTCAAATCAGAGCATATTCCATGCATCAATAAATAGAAATCTAAGTAAAGTCATAATTTATTACCGTTACCTAATCTGTCACATTAAAGGTAAAAAAAGAATACACACACGCACACATTTTTTTATAATAATTATTACGGAATACAGAAGGTAATTATGAAAGCGTACTGGCAAGTATGATCTTTATCCTTTTGAAATAGAGCGAAGAGTGTAAAATGACAGTACATCACAAGCCTCACTGTTTGTAAAAATTACAGTGAGGTTATAATTTGTAACCTCCTAAACTTTAATATTAAAATTACAATAAATATTTTACAGAACTAAGTTCTCAGCATTACTCAAGAGAATTGAGTATACTGTTTTCTACATAAAATCACATCTAAAATTTCAATTAATAGCATATCCCAAGTCAACACAATTCAGAAGGACAATAAAAGGTTTCCGTTTTGTACAAGTTATGCATAACTGTCATGCCACCAATTAAGCTTTATATTTATTGAACACAACTTACATAAAGCAATAATGACAGAGTAAATTCAAGTATGGCATTTACGCTATAAGAAACAGAACAATTTATACCAGAAAATCTTAAATTAAACGATTTAGAAGACCAGGGAAGGTTCCATGTATAACAGTCATGCTACTAATTAAGCATTTTATCTGTTTAATACATAGTTCAACTATAACATTATACAGGCAGGTATGGTATTTACACCTTAAAATCAGGTACAATTTATACAAGAAATCCTTTTAAAAATCTCTTTTTTAAACAGTCCGGAAAAATAGTGCAAAAAGGTTTCCTTGTGTTGTACAGGTTATGTATTAGTTATTATGCATTATATGTATTGAACACCCATACTCATTTTGACATAAAGGAATACAGAGAAGTAAGGTGTTTACTCAATAAAATAAAAGCCAATTTGTACAAGAAAATCCCAAATTAAACAATATGAAAGACCAGTACAAGGTTTCCATTTTGTACGATTATGTATAACAGTGATGCTACCATCCAATATAAACTTTATTAAATCTCCCTTTTGTAAATTGGGGAAGAAAAAAAATCAAGGTTGATGTACCCTTTGGTATAAGTAAAACAATATAAAAAGTACGTTTTAGCATCGTACAAAAGTAAAAGTTATTACATCTTCACTAGTTTTCATGGTCCGCTTGATCAATCATTATAACTGTTTTACAAACTCTTGTCGCATGTAGGAAGTGACAAAGTAGATCATAAGAAAAAAGAAACATGAGAATACAGTGAATCACCGTACTGGCTCGTCTTATCATGTTTTTTTATCGTACACTATCACACATATTGCATTGCCATCTTTGTTTTTAAATGTTTTTTATGTAAACTGTAAAGTTTTCAGTCCTTCCACCTGGGCAAGTTGTCATTATGCTGTCATATCTGTCTATCCACCCCTAAACATGGGAGAGGTTATAACAGTGTAATTTTAAAATGGGTCACCATACGATAACAACGTGTGGGCTTATTAATTAAACAATTATCTATTATTATTAATTTTTTGATAATTACTTTGAGATCGTTCTTGAACGCCGTGAAGTACTGCTGGAGCTCGGCTTCGATGAGGAACTCGTACAGGCCCGGCCCTCTGGACGTCATTTTCTTCTTGTCCCCTTCGATCCTCGCGTTTCACCAGAGTAGGTGGGGGACGATAAAAAAAAACAAAAAAAAAAAACAAGTTTTATCCGTTGTTTATAAATTATTATTTCTAACGTAAAGGGGCGAAGACAGTAAAATAAATAAAACTGGAATCGGTCAGGAAATGAGTTGTTTTTATCTTTCCGCGTCCGGCCATCCGGGTTGGAGGTGGAAAACGTCAGACGGAATTATGCGAACTCGAGCATTTATAACAACGGCAGAACGAACGTTACGAACCCGAGGTAAGAACAAAATTTTCTCTTGGGGAAAAATTTGAGAAAATTTTCTTTAAAAAAAATAAATAAATAAATAAAACGGGTTTTATATTCTCTCTCTGGGCCTAACCGAACGCCATGTCCGTCTGTGAAGGGACAGCCAGGTCGGACAACGTGACGGCCATGGGGAAAAACATTTCCCCACCGACGAGGCGCCGATCACGCACAAGAATAAACAAAAACATTTAAGAAAACAAATATAAATAAACATGACACCATATAGTGTTTGTTGATATTAAAACGACCCCGTGCTCATTTCCTTTTGACTAATCTCCTTCCTCATTCCAAATAAGGCGTTTCAGATAATGCAGACGGGGCCACGGTCAATTCTTGAATTATCTCATTCACCCACTCCAATACTACAATATAAACAACGCTAAAATTTATTGAATTAATAAAAAACATTGAAAAAATATAAATGACAATATACTTAACTTCCGTTAAATCCTAGTTACCATGCTAGGTGATAAGGTATGTCAGACTCTGCATGGAGATCACGCTGTCGTGCATTCTTTTTTGACACATGACACATAGCACTCATCAGTGTAAGGTCCGAGGCAGGACCAGGTCTCGGAGAACCTTGATTCAGCCCCTAACCCTTTTTAAAAATGAGTTTCTTTGGTGGAAGAACAACAGTACACTGGGATCTTAATACAGCTACAAGCTCTAAAAAATTGAGCCAGGAAGAAAAGCTGTATAGCCTCAGGGATCAGGATCATTCAGCTTGTTTAAGCAAATTATCAATAACGGCCTGCAGGGCCAGCCGAAAAAGACTGTTACTTCTATAGTTCAATTTTTAACTAATCAAATCAGTGACCTGAATTTCTTTATACACAACTCCAGAGAGGAAATGTTTCCTCTTCCAGCAATATGCAGCGATTTCACCCCTGGATTCATTTTATCCATTGCTTGTCACAAGCTTGGAAGAAGGAAGAAAGCTGGCTACAACCTGAGGTTTGTAACATCTCAGATATTAGAGGAGAGTTAACATCCATATCCTGGGGGTGCATATCTAGATATTTATTTAATATTACAGTTCCATAGATACAGTCAAAACTAAAACAAATACATACAAAAATAGATAACTACATATAAGGATAAGGTATTTGGATTTTTTCAATGTTGGTGAGACAGGGTTGTATCTTAAGTCCCATACTTTTTTTCTTTATTTGTTGACTATGTTATTTCACTTCTAAAGGATGGGGTTCTTGTTTATGGAACCAGAATAAAAATATTAGTCTACACCGGTGACATTATTATTGCATACCACCCGCTTGTGCTGCAGAAGAATATGAACGACAAAAATGAAGTTTATTGGGAATTGTGTGGTGTTTAGTGACAGTGTGGTGAGATCGTGAGATGCAGTCTGGTGTGGTGTAGGTTTAGAAAAACATTTTCTTTATCGTTTCAACGTTTCGATCTTTATTGATCATCATCAGGGCGCCTGGGATTTATAAACATTGTTAAATTATACAAATACATTAAGAAGTGAAAAAATGAATTTATACAATGATAGAAATTTTAGATTGAATCAAAGTATTTGTACTTGCTCAAAGTGTTTGTTTTCTGTGTAGATGTGTCATTACTGTGTGTCGTGTTGAGAGTGCCAGTGAGATATAAATGTTTGATTTTGAAGGAGTGGGGAAGGAAATAGGGATAGCAATCCATATTTCTATTCTGTGGACAACAGAATTTATTTACTAAAAAAATAAATTGAAAATAATGATTTTTATAAAAGGACACAGGCTGGAATCATCAGAGATGTGGTTGTTAAGAGATGAAAAAATAGTTACATAGATATAATTATCTAGTTATTGACTAAGACTAGGAAAACTTAAAAAAAGCCATATTGTTCAGCATAAAATTTTCAAAAAAATATGTGCAGGTCTGTGACTTAAAATATGCATTTCCAAAATTGGCCATTTTTCATGCAAAAACCAAGTAGTTTTTTATTTATTTTTATGGGCAGTATTTGACATACAAATTTAATTTTAAAAATTATTTTCCTTACAGTATGTATTAGGAAAATATTTAGTTGTGTTATAATTTACTTTTTTCTCACGTTAAAAATTCAGCGGCATTAAAAAAGCAGCAGGAAATTTCGGTGGATCGGCGAGTTAACTCTTACAATTCATGTCGATATGTTTTAAATCCTTCAACCTGATGAGCTTTAAGCTTTGAAATCGGGATAATTGTAAACTACAAATTCTGTGAGTAGAATGATCATTTACCAAAAATTAAACATACTCATTGAAGAATATTTAAACATAATAAGAAAGTTACGCAGAGATTGTTACCTGAATTAAGAGTACGTCTTATAGAAACATGTTAAATCTAAATTTACATTTTCTATTGCAAGTAAATAAAATTGTTAAAAAAATTTGATTAAGTGTTCAGACTGTGTGGCAGGTATAAGGGTTATCAATCGAAAATAAAGGTTACATAAAGGTTTTCAACCATTCTTCAGGTTTTAATGTATGTTGGTTATACAACATAGTTCGATCTGAAAAATAAATTCCTGAATAAAATCAATGGCATTGTTTTTTATCCATTATTTATTTTCTTGGAAATAACAAAAATTAATATTGATAATTATAAAATCTAAGAGGATTTACTCTTTCAGCTTTTAAAATGGAAGCGTGACTCCTGATTGAGTTAAAAACTGACTGGGATAAAAAAAAATCCCCACCCCAAAAACAAACAAATTTTTTTCAGAAATGGTTTCAGTACAGTTTAACTATTTCTTTTTAATTTATATAAAAAAAGGAAAAATTTCCCCAAGGGGAAAACAATTTTGCGATGTCTAAGTTGGACATTTTTGACTAGTAAACCATCAAGAAACCTCTCAAAGCAAATAACTACCATATATTGTATTAAAAAANTATATATATATTTGTTTAAAAGATAAAAGACCCTTTTTGGCATCTTTTTGTTTATAGATTTGGGAGGACTGGCCTTGCGACGATCGGATATGAGACGAGAGGGCCGGTCGTGCTGAGTATGGTCTGCGCCGTCTCCGTGCTTTCGCTGCCGTCCTGGTGTTGGGCGACGGTGACGGAAGGCGCTGGTATGACCGGTGCCATCGAGACCGTTGCGATCGAAACAGGGGTACCTAGGAAAAATGAAGCAAATTTAATTAAAAACCAGTTCAAATTTTTTTCTTTTTCAATTACAAGTTTTCCAAAACCAAAATACCTGCTGCAACTGCAGCGATGCTGACAGGCACGGTCGCTACGCTGGCCGTGACGGTGCGTATCGCCGCGCTCACTTGTGGCTGGATCTGGCCATTTGTGATCGTCACAGCTGCCGGTACGGTAACCGCAGTAAGACCTTGTGTCTTATCTGTAAGTCGCATTTGCGCATTTTGCTCGAGAAGAAATTCATTCGTTGCCTAAAGAACAAAAACAAAAGATTAATGTTAATACATGTACAAAAGCACTTATTTGCCATTGGACAAATGTTAGGGACTATATTTACTTGAAGGTCGTCGACCCGTTTTCTGAGCTCAGCGACCGTCTTCCTAAGGAAGGCATTTTCATCCTCGACAGTCCAATACTGCTGTCCAACGTACTCCAATTCCACTCGCCTCCTCTTTGAAAGACAGTCATTGAAAGACATGAGGCACCCAGTGTGCACATGCCTGTACTTGCAGTTGTCCCTGTCGCACTCGCCCTTCAGGAAATCCTTGCACATTGGTGTCGAATCGGAAGCCAGCTCTTTCACCTAATGAAAAAAAAAAAAAAAAAAAAAACTGATAAAATATATTCCAAATGTAACTTGTTTTTTATTATTAAAAACAAACAAAACATAACCTGCTTTCAATATCCTTCACATTTGCTATCTTTATTTAATAAAATAATTAAGGTCGAACTTCCCATATACAAGTCATCCCTCGGGAATGGGATTTTTAGCAGGGTCAAAATATAAAAAAAATATTCAAATGTGAGACAGGCACCCAATGATGGCAAAATCCTGAAACCCTTTTGAAAATAAATAAATAAATTTATTTCGTATGAAATTACATTTCTTACATACAGATCCGTTCGACCCTTTCTCTGACAGATTCTTTCATCTTTTGTGAACTCATTTCCAAAATCAAAATATTAGAACTGACTAACTGACCTTGAGGTATGAAACTTCCCTAAAACGTTGTCTAATCTACCGTCCATAGATTGCTGAATTTTTTCCCTATCTGTTTATAAGACATTTTTCCATTAAAAAATCTAGCTTCAGTGTCTGGTTAGGGATGGTCTGTGTCTGTTTAAACAAAGTAAATGGTATATCACTTTAAAATAAAACTGTCTGATTATTAAGGATGTCCAGTGAGAAGTGTCCATTTGGGGAAGTTCGACTATAAATTAAACGATTTTTCATCACGAGTACCTTCATCCCATCTCACTGTATGCAATATATAAATAAATATCTCAACCAAGACCTTACATAAATAGAATAATTAATTGAAAGAAGCAACTTGGTCAATTGACCACTAAAATATAAAATGGATTAATATTTAATAAGAAAAAGAAGTATCACTTCATTAAACAGCTCCCCGTGGCCACTTCATAAGTCGCAGAGAATCCAATCCTGATTACACGACATTTGAAAAGAGGGAAACATGGCAAAAAGAGGGAAATTCGAACGGTCGTAGGTTGAGATGGAGAGTTGGTGTCCAAGAGGATCGATGTCACGATAGCTCAAGTGGTAGAGCAGCAGCGTATTTTAGCCGAAGGTTGTGGATTCGAATCCCGCTCGTGACACTTACTTTTTTATCTCAACCAAGGCCTTACATAAAAAGAATAATTAATTGAAAGAAACAACTTGGTCAATTGACCACTAAAACGTAAAATATATAAATATGACAAGAAATAATAGTAATTGTATGTATAAACAATTACATTAACTTGACACCTATTGTAACCTTCCTGTCAAAATTCTTTCTTCAGTAGGGTATATAAAAAAAACATCTAAAAACAAGCTGGGTTGAAACCTATTACAACCTTCCTGTAAAAATTCTGGATAGAGGAAAAAAAGGAATATTCACTCCATTTTCCCATTTTAGCATACACACATCTCATACTGGCTCTTTAAATGTGAATAAAAATCTTTTGAAATATCATTAACTACAAGAATGTCTAGACAAATACATTGACTTGACACCTATTGTAACCTTCCTGTCAAAATTCTTTCTTCAGAAAGGAAACAAAAACGAGCATATTCACTCAATTTTCCTGTTTTAGTACACACACATTTCACACTGATTCTTAAAATGTGAATAAATATCTTTTGAAATATTATTAACTACAAGAATGTCTAGACAAATACATTGACCTGACACCTATTGTAACCTTCCTGTCAAAATCCTTTCTTCAGAAAGGAAACAAAAACAAGCATATTCACTCAATTTTCCCATTTTCTGACCCACACCCTCTCATACTGTTTTAAAATTTAAATAAATATTCAATTAAATAATAATTACATGTGAGTATAAACAAATAATGGAATATTCATTAAATTTTCCTATTTTTGGCACACAGACATCCTCTCAAACTATTTTTTTAAATTTTTTTTTTAGTACAAATAAATATTACAACGAATAATAATGGGAACAAATTACACAAATAAACTTTCTTAATTATAACCTAATATAGCCTTCTTGTACTGACAATTGTGTTTTCATATATATTATGTGTTAAAATAAGGGTTAGAGTGTCCTGTTTTTATGAGACCAACCAATAGTATACGAAAAGGGTTAAAGTGAGGCATTTGGAATGAGGTAAACAATGAAGAAGGAAGTATGACAAGATTGCGTTTTTGAATGATGATTATTGATTGATAAAAACAATTGGTATTTACATTTAGACGAGGTTTGTCGACCAATTGTTGAATATGAGGCGGCAGGTCGCCCGTCTGCGTGTAGTGTTCCTCGTCTTCCCTGGAACAGTGGACGAAAGCGCACATCTCCCTGAAACACTTTCCGTTCTGGTAGTCGTGGCAGAAGACGTATTTCTCCTTGGGATGAAGGTACTTGCAGACGTCGCCGCGTCCGCAGGCGTTTTTGAGGAAGTCTCGGCAGACGACCCTCTTCTCTTTCTCGTCCGGCTTCATGTCGGCTTTTCGACCCGGAATTATTGAAAATCCCTTTCTAAGGGACTTTTTCCCCTTTTCCGAGACTAAAGGGAGGTTTTTCGAAGTTTTAACCCTCCTCGGATACTTCAAACCATTAAAGACGGGACCGAGCGCATCATCACACCATCTTGTTTTCATTTGGGATCGAAGTATCGAACCGACTAACTCGATTCGAGCCAATGCTAACGTCATATTTTCAACTAAGCCTTTTAATACAAACAAAAAACTTTAAAAAACAATAAATTCTCCAACAAGAATTAAAACAGTTTAATTAATAAAAATTAAAAAAATAAAAATTTAATCTAACTAAGCACCTCCATTGGTCAATTGTTTTCCGCCTTAATTTGAATATCATCCCAGTGTAGCCAACTTTCACTCTGATGACTAAAATAAAAAACAAAAATAAGTAATAAAATTAAAAGATCAAACTTTAAGAATATATTATCAAATCACTAATTCTATCAACTTCAATCAGTAATATTTTATCAATAACAAATCTTCGTTATCTCAATCTCATTCGCTATCTCTTTTTGTTTTCTAATCGATTCTAGTCATTTAAAGCTCTTACACTTTTTTTATTTATTTCTTCACGATATTTTTACAATCAATCTTCCCTATTATATCCCCTATATTGACCCTATTGTCAAAATTTCAATTCTTGTAAATTCACAGCTATAATCAGCTTATCATCCAATGAAAACCCTCAATGACTCTCTAATCAATCATCTTTATTATTCTATCAATCTCTCAATCGCGTTATCTGGCTCTTTTTCTTTATCTTTTTTGCGATCGAATTTAATCAATTTAATCGTTCAGTAACCATGTGTGATTGATTTTGTCAGTTTGGTTAGATGGAGGGGAGCGATGCGACTGGGGACGGTTGTGCGGAGCCGGGAGTGTTTGCGAGGGAGAGACGGTTCTACCTTAACGAAAGTACGATGTTTAAAAACTCATTATATTGTTTAATTAATTAATTATTGAAATTGTGTTGCTGTCAGAGTTGGTGGGAGGCGTCCAACAGGGGGAAGGTTGCAGTCAGGCCGTTCACCCTTTCCGGACGGCGTCCGAGAAGTCGACCGAGATCCGGGTGGCGTCCTGGGCCCAGAGCGAAACGTTGCGGACCCACGGGGGCTGAACTCGAATCGTTCTATCGTATAATTTCTTCTATGTCAGTAAAATGAAGAAGAAGATGTCCGAAGAGTGTTTCGACTCGATAATGGCAAAGGCGCAGGAGAGCGGGCAGATATCGAAGGAGGTGGACAACTCGGACGTCAAACACGAGGTTAGTAGACAGAGTGGGAAAGTGGAAAAAACCACAATTTCAAATTGGAAAAATTACTTTTTTTCCAAATTTTTCATGTACTGATTCTTATGATTAAAAACGTTCGGTTTTGTTGATGATCGCCCTTCAACATAAAGCCGCCATGCTGGCAACGGGAAAACGTAACATGTATCTTCCAGCATTTCCATTTCCAAGCTTTGCCTTAATGTGAACATTTATCTTCATTTATTTTTAATTTTTTGAATTAGAATTGAAAAAAAAAACGAAAAGTTTCATAGCAGAAATGTTTGGTTGAACTTGTCAGTTGGAAGCTGCCGGAGCATAAGGCTTCCGAGGTTTCGGTTATGCTATGCAGGTTTCATACACACATGATTTTCATCTTCGACAGTAACCATTTTTTTTTTAAATTGTAATATAATTTTTGTTCAGAGTTCAGTCTGTGTTGTTTCAATAAAAAAATATTAAGAACCAGAATTTGGTATTTGACTGAGTGTAAGTTTATGTTGATGATGTTCACCTTAGATCGATACATAAAGAGCAAGCGCTTTCCAACTCCTCATCTCAACTTAAAACCTTTAGAATTTTCCTCTCTTTTTGCCTTATTTTTGAATGTCTTGTAATCAGGTTTCGATTCTCAGTGACTTATGAAGTGGCCACGAAAAGCTGTTAGCAAATTAATTATTCTTTAATTATTATATTAATCAATTAATTGACTCTAACCCTAACCATTTAATTTAAGCCGAGTTGGTAAAACAATGTTTATTAATGAGGGTAAGATGATTCGACTGTCTAGATATCACCAATTTGTTGAGAATCACGGATGCGGCCACAAATAACTATTCATATTTTATTTATGATAATGTAATGCAGCCCTGAAGAAGACTGATAAAGGTCAAAAGGTTGATGTAGAAGGTACATTACTCACTTCTTTGTGACCACATCCCTGATCCTCAACAAATTTGTCCACTAAATAAATGTTCACTTGAAGCAATTTTCTCAGTTGCTTCATGCTGCGGCAGTTCGTTCTACCTATGCCACTGTTGCTTATGATAAAGATACAACGGTGAAGTCTGTATCTTCCTCTCTTTGCATCAGCAAAACCAATTCTGTAGTTTTTGTAGTTATTAGCGATTATAGTTGTATTGGACTGTTGGCACCTCCAAATTTGGATTTGAAAAACTCAGGAAACGTATGATTGATTATAGAGAAATGGTATGACTTTGTGTAAATCCTGAGTATTTGTAATAGTTTACAGTCTCTAAACACTCTCGGCACTAATATATATAAACAAAAAAATATTAATTGAAATCAGTTAAGTAGTTTTCGTTTTTATTGTTACCACACATTCAAATATTCACTTTTTTATAAGTATATAGATTAAGTGTGTTCAGTTTTAGCACTGAAATCATGAGAAAAAGATCAAGTTTAAAAGCAAGTTGAAGCACGCGTTGTTCAGTTGATTGTATTATCTTTTGAGCTCAGTATGACTTGGTACACTTAAAGTTTAAGTATAATTAATTTTTTTTTTAAATACTTGATCTCTGTGCTATAAATAATGTTTTATTGATTATTTTTGTTTCAGTCTGATAAAGACAGTGATTATGGTGGATCTGATTACGACACAGGAGAGGCTACGACTTTCAGGATGCTCGTCGAGAAGACCCAGGTCTCAGATGCTGAATTCGTTGAATGCTGCCAGCAAGTTGGCCTCATATCGACGACGCAGATATGCTCATGTGGGTCTACGATGTGCCTCTACCATTCTGACATAATAGATGGCGTCGAGTGGAAGTGCGCCCCATGTGGCAAGCAGAGGGCGTTGAAAGACGGCACGTGGCTCGAGGAGATACGTCAGATCAGGCTGAAAGACATCATACTCGTGCTTTACTGCTGGGCGAGGAATTACCCCGAGCCTTTGTGCCAGCATGAGATGGACCTGACCGACGTGTCAGTCTCAATAGTCCCGATGATCTACAAAAAGTGTAAAAAGCTCTGTTCGGAATATTTTGAAGATGAGGTGTCTAACATCGGCACACCGGGGGAAGTAGTGGAGATTGAAGAGTTCCAGACGCCAACCGGCCTCCATATAGTTGGCGGCGTCGAGAGGAACAACATGAAAAATGTTTTTTTCAGGGTCCTACCCGAGAATTGGAACAGGGACGACCTGTGCACTGCGATCGCGGACAATATCGTATCCGGGACGATAATACACTGTCACAACACGACTGTGCTTGAGATACTCGGCTCGGTCGGTCTGCGTTACCTCGATAAAGTATGGAAGCTCAAAGTCGTCGGGACAGGCGACTGCGACTCACCCCTCGTTACATCGCTCTGGGCGCTTTTTGAACGGCTCATACTCGACAAAGACTACACGCAGAGCAACCTTGTAGAATTTCTATTCAGGCGGAGGATGGAGACGCACAGGGATCCGTTCTTGTTCCTCCTCAACGTTATCGCCGTACTACATCCCCCTTCGACTGTGCCAACTGATTACGACTTGAGCCAGTAATTCCATTTAACGTGGAAAAAAGTGACAGTATTACAATACAATAATTTTTAAAACTATTTTACATGTTTCTGGCTGATTTTAATTAATATTTTTTAAATACAATTAATTATATATATTTAAAAAAAATTCAGACATCAAATAAAAGTGTCAGAAAAATTATATAATTTTTCCTTTTGGCCTTTGACCTTAAAGGGAAATGGTCGATGGCTAACTGTTTACCCGTAAGATGATTTTAACAAGGTCATGCAACTTTTTTACAATGCGCAACCTGTCTTAAGGTAGAATAATTTTGTACAACTAAATATTTTTGTTATTATTATTGATATAATTTTTTTTGTTCAGCAATGCTTAACGCATATCTTAACGGTGTATGATACGATCTTGAAAAGATGATCAACACGAAAAAGGTGTGGAAATAATGAGCTTAAAAAAACAGGTATTTCAATGTCGGTTTAAAAAGTAAATTAAACAATTAATTTATGTTGAGGTTAAAAAAAAGGCCAAATTACAAATGATTTGGATTGGATTTATACAAGCTCAAATCTGTATGTACATACACATTATTCGATATTCCGTCATCGGCCCTCTCATACTACACATTCATCTCAATAAGTACCTTCACTCTAACAAGACACAAAACTATCAGTACTATATACAAAAATTAAAAAAAAAAAAAAAAAACTTTCCTGCAAAAATCAGAACAGGTGGCCCAAAAAATCATGTATATCATGTGGCATTCATCATGCTCTCTATAAGGGGCCAAGGAATTTCACTGTTCAATTAAGTGGGACGTATGAGCAATGTTTCTCTACATGCTATTCTTAGTCAGGTGAGGATGGCCCTTCACGATTCGGATCCTTTGAAAATCAGCTTAATTAAGTTATGCTATAAAAGATCAAATCAAAATTAAATTATTTCAGGGTTTAACAAGAGATTAGTTTAAATTAGAAGCAGGTGATGTCTGTTTGTAAAAAACAGAAAAAGTCTTTTGTTTTGTAAGATCTGTTGATATTTAATTTTATGTAACTTATTTGTACCAAAAATTAAAAAGTTCAAAGTCCAGATGTGCAAGACGGGAATGAATGATTTTTGCACTTCAATGCATTGGCAAAGGTCAAGATGACCAAGGGATAATAATAAAATATTATACCAGAAAACCAAATCACATTAAGCAATCAGCAAATAAATGTTCAGTTATTTAACATTTTTATTTTTACTATCTTATATTAGTACGAGGGTATTTCAACTACAAGGATATTTGTACCCTCGAGGAGCTGGTGTTTTTGAAAAAAAAAATTGTAAGGGCTAATGAATTTGAACCCATGACCTTTACCTTACAGTGATGAGCACTGTGTCAACGTCTAAACCGTTTTGGCCACTGATGCCCTATCCATTTGATTTAATTAACAGGTAAATGCAATATTTAATATCATTTTTGTATTATTAATTACTTTATATTTAGATTTATATTGAAAAACAATGATATGAACAGTTTAAATTTTGAAGAAGAATATTATGGCAACACTCCTGTATGATACTACTGTCTAACCACAGCATCTTGGATTATTCTCATCTGCTTTATCTATTCGATTTTGCCCAGTCAGTGTAATAAATAAATCCTACAAACAAGACTTTAATCTATAAATTCGAACAATTTGTTTCAATAAAAAAAAAGAAGAAAAATGTAAGAAATGTGTAGGTTAGAATAACAACAATGAAGGTATATAACCATAAAGAAGGTTATAATGAAAGGGTTGTCCATTCGATTATTTATCAGGTTAGTGTAAAAAATGTTTTAATATCATTTTTGTATTATCATTTCAATACAATTTAGAAGTTAACAATTGAAAACGTAACGATATGTACAGTTTGAATACAAAAGAAGAATGTTATGGCAAAAAGAATTACTAGTTTTTTAGCTGATTATGTCAGATTATTCCGGCCTGTTCTATCCCTTCTAATTTGCCCTCTCAGGAAATTGTGTCAATAAATAAATCTTAAAAACAAAATTGTTTAATCTAAATCTATGTAGATAATCTAAATCTATACATTTGAACAGTTTTCTTTCAAAATTTAAAAAACTGTACAGGTTAGGTTTAAGTTAATGATAACCACAAAGAAGGTTAAAGTGAAAGGGCTCTCCGGTCTACATCGGGTTAGTGCAATAAATGTTTTAATACCATTTTTAAAATTAATTTCTATATAATTTAGACGTTATCAGCTGAAAAGTAACTATATGCGCTATATAAATATGGAAGAATAATATGGCAAAATATTTTTTAAGAAAAGGTGTTTTTAGCTTGATCGTCTCCAATCATCATGTCTTGTTTTTGCTCTGTTTTGGACTTGTGTCAGTAAATAAAACAAGAATGTTTAATCTATAAATTTAGTCAATTTGTTGTAACTTAAATGAAAAACAAATTTAAGAAATCTAGATGTTTGGTTTAACAATTTTCAGGTTTTCTTTGGCTGACGTTGCTTTAGGGTTTTTATTAACACATTTTGTCCCTATGTGTGTGTATGACAAATTTGTAATTATGTATGTACATAGGGACTGTTTATATTCAGGTCGAGTATGTTTTATTTAAACTGTCAAGTTGTCGTTTAAGCGTTTTCTAAACTTTTGTTTTTCCTTTCTTTCCCATATTTGTAAAATTAAAACAGTCGGATAAGAGGGCCTATTAGGGGAGCCTTGTTGATGTCCTTATCTAGCCGGCCTCGAAATAGGATAATTGGCCTGGGGCGGTCGGCATCCCGAATTTTCCGGTTTATGGACGAACCCGGACAAACCGATGCTGAATGGTGGTGGAGGGGGGGGGGGAAACTGGGCGAAGCCGGCTACTCCGCGGTCTACAAGAGGAAATTGTTTGACTTAAGAGTCCAAACTTTCCTGAAATCAAATTTAATACGGTACAAATTTACCGTGCCGTAAACTTGGTATCATCAAGATTTACAAACAAGGAAAAACTTCCGTCATCGTTGATTGGGCTTACTCAACGCTAGAGACGCGTTTACTATAATTTCTTTTATCTACAAGTCATTACAAATAAAATATCCGATGACATGATTTCACTCAGTTACAAACTGCTTTTTCTCTATTTTCCTAAGCCGACCCAGTTCCCGTTCAACTCCGGTCCGTGGTGACATCACTTCGTATCAGCACGGATCATAAATATCTAGCCGATTGTATGCTCCCGATATGACAAGAAGTATGACGAAAAAAAATCAGTAGTGATCAACAGGGGATTTACAAATATCCGATACCCTGTGTACCAAGAGGAGAAAAAACGCAAAAAAAAAGATGAGCGCTTAAAAAAAAGAAAAAGAAATATTTGCCATAATTAAACAGAAAGTTGTTTGCTAATGCAGATAAAATAGAACCGGTACGAAGATGGACTTTTATCGTCTTGGATGGTGGTGGAGTCGCATCTTTTAAGGAAATAAGTCTAATTTAGAAAAAAAACGATATACTCAATTAATATAGTTGTATATCCACTAAATTATAGTGATTCAATCAATCGTTTGAATCGACTGTTTATTGATTCATTCTTTCATTCTATCAGGCAGTCGTTCAATGAGTCCGTTATACATTTAATTTTTCAATAATTTGTTATTTATTTCAATGGAATCGGTAGTTCGTTCACTAAGGATCGTTCAATGACCTCTGAGCCGGTGAGTCAATTAAGTAATCGATGATTGAGTGAGTCGTTCAACGCGTTCAATTAGTTCAACAAATCGTTCAATGAATCGGTAAATCTAATTGGGCAGGCATCGAGTCGGCCATTATGCAGATCGTTCGCTCAATTAGTGAGCCGTTCAATGATTCGGTTGTTCTGTTAGGCAGACGTTCAGTGAGTCAGCAGCTTTTGTGTTAATCGTTCGTTCTTTGAGTGAGTCATTGATTGAATGGTTCGATGATTCGTTCTTTAGTACAATGAATCGTTTGGTGATTAATGAGTCTGTCGGCGTTCATTAAGTGAGTCGTCCAATGACCGGTTATTTCGTTCCTTGAGTCGGACTGATATTGTATAGGTTGTTCGCTCATTGAGTGAATCGCTCAATGAGCCGGTAAGGCTGTCGTTCAATGAGTCGGTCAGCATGTCAAGCAGACGTTCAATGAGTTGGTAAGTCTATCAGTCATTCACTTAATGAGTCGGTCAGTATGTCAAGTAGACGTTCAGTGAGTCGGTCAGAATGTCAAGCAGACTTTGAATGAGTTGCTCAGGCTTTCAAACATTCATTCAATGAGTCGATCAATATGTCAAACAGAGGTTCAACCAGCCGATCAGCCATGAGTTGGTCAGCAGGTCAAGCAGGAGTTTAATGAGTTGCTCAGTCTTTCAAACATTAGTTCAATGGGTCGATCAATTTGTGAAACAGAGGTTCAATGAGTCGGTCAGTCTATCAAACATTCGTTCAATGAGTCGATCAATATGTCAAACAGGGGTTCAATGAGTCGGTCAGTCTATCAAACATTAGTTCAATGGGTCGATCAATTTGTGAAACAGAGGTTCAATGAGTCGGTCAGTCTATCAAACATTCGTTCAATGAGTCGATCAATATGTCAAACAGGGGTTCAATGAGTCGGTCAGTCTATCAAACATTCGTTCAATGAGTTGGTCAGCATGTCAAATAGACGTTCATTGAGTCAGCCGGCCATTTGTGTAAGGTCGCTCGCTCTTCGAGTGAGTCTTTCAATAAGTCGGTCATTGATTGTTGGATGATTAATTCTTTCGTTCAATGAATAGGTCGGTAAATCAATGAGTCCGTTGTCGCTCATTGATTAGTTGTTGAATAAATTAGTCTACGAAACATTCGTTCAATGAGTCGGCCAATATGTCAAGAAGGGTTCAATGAGTTGCTCAGTTATCAAACATTCATTCAATGAGTCGGTCAGTATGTCATGCAGACGTTCAATGAGTCGGTCAGGTATTGTATTGGTCGTTCAGTGAATCGGTCTGTCAATCAGTCAGTCATTCTACGATCGTTCTTCGATATTCTTTCTTCCCTCCAATCTGTTTCAGTATTGGTGTCGATTAATTAATCGACCTTGCGTTAATTTGGTGCAACGTTAAGTCGGTGAATAGTTCATTGAGTTTTTCACATAGTATATCGATATTTCAGTCAGTCAATCAATCATTGAGTCGTTTGTTCGGTTAAAAAAAGTTTTATATTCGTCGAGGGATTAGAATCCGGATTGAGGGCAGTAATAACTAATTAAAAAAAAAAAAAAAATACAAAAATATTTACTCAATTATTGTATACTTTGCGTTATCTGGTTTTGATCTGGTTAGTTGGAGGGGGGGGGGTCTCGCGTAAGAGGGCAAATAAAAACAGTCGCAACGACTGTCGCACGAGGAAATCTGCCGGGGCTTCTTCGTCGTCGGCGTGATGGGTGGACCAGGCAATTTGCCGGACCCGTTCTAGCCGGCGAAATCGGGTTTCCCGACAAGGCGGGGGTGGGAGTCGCGAGTGGGGGAGGAACGGACAAGACCCCAGGCAAAGAAGGAAGCACTCCAGAAAGCCGAGTAACACCGGATGAAAAGCAACAGACGAGAGAAAAAACGGCAACATCCGACTAGAATAAGAAAACAGGTATAACATCTTGTCCAGTAGGTCAGGATTATCTTTGTATTACTGTTTTGTTGTTGTTTTGAAGAAATGGATCTGCGGAATCAATGTAAGGAAGAAGGTGGCTGGTTCGGCGTGTTCGATTACGGGGTCTTGGCGGTCGTCCTCATCGTCTCGAGCCTGATCGGCATCATCTTCTCCAGGAGAAGCAGGGGGACCCAGGAGACATCCGAGGACTTCTTCGTCGGTGGGTCACTCGGTACCGTGCCCACGGCACTCTCCCTCGGGGCCGGGTAAGGATGATGACCTATCATCCCACTTTGACATCATCATCGACATCATTCTTCGCAGGTTCATCACGGCGATCGAGCTTCTCGGGAACCCGGCCGAGGTGTACAGCCACGGGACACAGTTCTGGATGATATGCCTGTCATTCCTGCTCGTCGTACCCGTCACGTCCTATCTCTTCCTACCCGTCTTCATGAAGCTCCGTCTCACATCCTCCTACGAGGTAAGCCCCCATTTACACTTAAATAATAGGGGGAAAAACGAACTTTAGAATGGAGGGATTAGAGAGTGAAGGTTCCTTTTTTGAAAATTCCAGTATCTCGAGCTGAGGTTCAACAGGACGACTAGGGTCTTCGCCGCTGTGATGTACATAGCACAAACGGTAAATTTTGACAAAACACATTATTACAATTTATTTTTCAACGTAGTTTTTTGTTTGTTTTGTTAGGTGTTTTACACTTCCGTAGCCGTGTACGCGCCGGCTCTTGCGCTCAGCAACGTGACCGGGCTGAACACATACGTCGCCGTCACTGTTGTCTACGTCGTCTGCGTCTTCTACGCATCACAGGTAATTAACCTTTTCACAGAAATGGGGTTGTTGAGGGGAAGAAAATGCGAGAAATAATATATTTGTTTAATGGAAAAAGAGAATTATGAGATGGGCTCTACCTTGTCAGGGTGGTATGTGAAGGAATTCATGTTGTTCATGATGTTCAACTACAGCGAAATAACTCACTCTAGAGTGATGTAAATACAGGTGAGGCTGAAGGGGAAATGGGGAAATAGTGAATGGTGGGGGAATATGGGTGTTGAGAGGTGAAATTTGTGATGTTGAGAATGAGTGAAATCTTTCAGTGGATTCTTGTTCATTCCCTTCTAACGCATCACAACATTCTCATCACCGCTCGACTTATATTATTCACCTTCCCCCACTACACAAAATAATTAACTACTTTCTACCCCATTAATAATTATTTTTATTCCCTCTTTCTACATCACTCACATTATGCGTTCCCCCACCATACAACATAATTAATACCCTCTTTCCCCACCACTTATATTACATAGTTAATCCTCTCTCTCCATAACACTCACATTATGCCATCCGTTCCCTCACCATACACCTTTTCAATTCCCCTCCACCGCAACTCTCATTGTCCTATCGCTCACCACGCAACACAGTCAATCCCCTCTATCCCGACCATTTATGTCACATAGTTAATCCTCTCTATCCTCACAACTCACATTGTTATCCGTTCCCACCACTATACAAAGTTTCAATTCCTCTCCTCTCTGCTACTCACATTATTCCATCCCTTATCACTCACCACGCAACACAATTAATCCCCCCTATCCCCACCACGTATATCACATAGTTAAACCCCTCTTCACCACCAAACAGCACAGTTCATTCCTTTCCCACGCAGTACTTATCTTAAGTAATTTCCCAACATTTATTCATTCCCATATCCTGATCACACATTTCCCCTCACCACTTCTCACAATTTTTCGTTCCCCTCTGTCCCCTTCACATACCATAGATCATTTCTCTCTCACGCACCTCTGACCTTATTTCATTCCCTTCTATTTCTACCGTTTGTTCATTACCTTCTTCTCACCACTTACGTCATTCCCCCCTTCTCCTAACATATAACATAGTTCATTCCTCTCTCACCATTCTGCCCCTCTCTTTTCACCATTTGTTCATTTCCGTTCATCTCCAACACTACATTATTATTTCATATTATTTCGTTTCTCCACGATTCAAACTTCCCTCTCCACCACTACAACATTGTTAATTCTCTTCTATCCGCCACTCAACCGAGCCCATTCCTTTCCCCCACCTCTCTAACCATCCAGCCCTCTCTCCATAAGCAATCATTATCGCATATTTCTCTCGCTCTACTTCTTTAGTTACTAGTTTCGATCTCTCTGTCTGTCTGACTCTCTCTCTCTCTCTCTCTCTCTCTCTCTCTCTCTCTCTTTCTTTTTTTCTTTCTTTCTTTTTTTCTTTCTTTCTTTCTTTTTTTCTTTCTTTCTTTCTTTCTTTCTTTCTTTCTTCCTCTTTCTCTACCACTTATCGAATCTTTCTGTGAAATTTAGATTACAAACTTTTTATTTACATTTATTTATAGGAATAAACGTATTTATTTGTCATTGTTATATCAGATATACGTCACCTTTCCCCTTTATAACACCCACATAACTACACATGTATTTATTACAACAAACCAAGTAAATAACTAAGCAATATGTTTATCTTTAAATGTTCAGTCAATCTGTATACATATTTCCCGTTAAAATCTCAGCAATAAGCCGACGAACTGGCTTCTATCTCATGGGACATACATGGTGGGTGGTAGAAAATTCCCCTTCTTCCGAAGTAAGTGGTCTATCTCCTAGACGAATATTTTCTATACTCTTTGATGATGGCTTTAAGGTTCCCATATCCAACGAAGAGATATCTGAAGTCCGTGATCTATCTTGCAGACTAACTTCTTCATTCTCTGGCGAATTTTGCTCCAGAGTTTCTTTATCTGAGTTTTCCAGTGTTATCCAATTTGTGATGGTTGCTTTCACTCAGTTCTCCTCCTTTTTCCGGTAATTCTTCACCCAAACTACCTCATTAGCTTTAATTTTATCGGATTACTGTCACCTCCACATAACTGTTTGTTTCTTCTGGTTCTCCTGTACTTTGTCTACCGTGACAGGATATACAAGGTCCAGTCTAAGCCTGTTGTTGACGACCTATTAAAGCTTGTGCAGGAGACCCCTGTAGTCATACGTGTTTCGGTAGTCCAGCAAATCGTGGTGCTCCACTCTTAATTCAACTCCGTTCCTCCTGAGGAAACTCCGGAACTCTACTGACCTAAATGAAGATCACTTATGTACTTTAGTTATTATATAATTCAATCACCATCATTACAGGGAGGCATGAAGGCAGTCATAATGACGGACACGTTCCAAAGTGCCGTCCTGCTCTTGTCGATCGCCGCGGTCCTCTTCACCGGACTCGCCCTCACCCCGGGCGGGGTACAACGCGTCTACGAGTCCAACCTCTCGAGCGGACGGTTCGAGTTCTTTATGTAAGCATCTCAAATGAAAAATCCTTCACAGTTTTTCCTCCCTTCACAACAATTTTTTTCCTCCTCAGAATGAACTCGAGCCTGGTGATCAGGCACAGCTTCTGGTCAGTAGTCGTCGGCGGGACGTTCTACTGGGCGACTATGTTCTGTTCGAACCAGGCGACTATTCAGAAGTACCTTTCGGTCGATTCAATACGAAGTGCCAGGATGTAGGTCTGACTTATTTATATGTGAGTTTTATTTTATAACGTTTTCTTTTCTTTACTTACCAAGGGCCCTTTGGGCGAGCTCTTTCGGCCTCGTCTTGGTTTTCACAGTCAACTTCTGCACCGGGCTCATTCTCTACGACTATTACAAAGGATGCGATCCGTTCTTGAACAAGGTACTGTTTTTCATATTTTGAAACAAAAACAAGCTCGATTTTATTTTCCATTTACTTTTTTTTTTAAACAGGAGATAAGCGATATGGACGAACTTTTGCCTTATTACGTTATCAATGCGCTTGGGAATTTGACTGGGGTTCCGGGCCTCTTCGTCTCCGGGATATTCGCCGCTTCTCTCGGGTATGCAGGTTTTTTTTTCTCGTATATAGACAGTATGTGGGGTTATTTGTAGTTTATTTTAAAAAAAATTTCCTTAAGGACGGTGGCGTCTTCGGTGAACTCTCTGTCCGCGGTGACACTGAAGGACCTGGTCTCGGGTCCGTGCGGTTTCGCCTTGCCGGCGGAGAGAGGCCGCTCCCTTTCCAAGTGGATCTCCCTGTTCTACGGGTTGGCCAGCTTCTGCTTGGTTTTCGTCGTCGAACGGCTCGGCGGCGTTCTGCAGCTTGCGCTCAGCTTCAACGGGCTCACCGGCGGCGTGACGCTCGGCCTCTTTTCCCTCGGCGTCCTCTTCCCCTGGGCCGAGTCGAAGGGGGCCCTGGCGGGAGGGCTCTCCGGCCTCTTGCTCGTCGGTTGGATCGGCCTCGGGGCGCAGGCGACGATGGCCACTACCGGCTGGGAGCCGGGAGACGCCAAACCCGTCTCAGTACTCGGGTGCCTCTGCAACCGGACCCTGTCCGACGAAGTGCACGCCGAGTGAGTTAACTTTTCTAATCTTAACCTTTTTTTTTAAACCTTAACTTTGATGTCCAGCGACAACCCTTAACAAAAATAAATAGTGAAATAATTTATACAAATAATAAGAGAGTGTAACAACATCCGAATTATATGAATTTTAACAACAACAATAATAATGACAATCGCTATAAAATTTTTCAAAATGGACAACCAGATTTTCACCCTCCCGACAAGCAAAATTGTATACTTATTACTTTATTTTTATTACAATTAATTAATTTTTTTACTGGAATACTCTTATAATTGGTTAATAATATTACGTCTTTTTAAATTCCATGTTTTTTTTTTTGTTTCATTAAATGAGAGTTTATATAAATGTACACTGAGTCAATTTGGAACGACCAAACCATTAAAAAAAAATCATTTTTCAATTATCATTATAACAACAAATTTATATTATAAACGACTACAGTAATATTAATAAAGAATGAAATTTTTGGCCTTATGGAAAGATTCACGGGTGGAGTTGGTACACCATAAAATTTTTACAAACGAACAATCACATTTATACTCACCCTCCCACACAAGTGAAAATTACATTAATAATTGCCACTTAGTGATGAGGATGTTGAGCGTGGTGAGGCACTTATTGATGATGGACGTTCCGTCAGGTATGCTGTTATTTTCCCATACGAAACACTGCGAGACGCCGTTTGACTTTTTCGAGAAACTGGGTCCTACCATAGAAGGCCCGGTTTTGGACGCCCTAGGGTAACAGAACCACAGGATGACCGTTTTTTGACTTTGAGAATTTTGCGAAATTGGCACCCTATTGTTTGTTCAAGCGATTCATCAGCTCCAGGAAGTCCAAAGTGTCCAAATTTCTGAACGTACTTGCTACGTATTTGCTCGAGATCACATTGGTCTTTGGACGATTGGTCTGCCGTACTTTTTACAGATGAGTGTAGATTTGCTCTACGATCTCTAGATGGACGTGAAAGAATGTGAAGAAGGTACAATGAAAGGTACGAAGTCTGTAATTTTTCGTTGTTGTTCGTGGAAGGTCTTTGACGGCCACTGGTTGTATAGATGAAATGTTGGAACATCATGCGTTGCCTATCCTCGATGAACTCAGCGACCATCCTATTCTGATGCACGATAATGCCCTTCTACCTGTCGCTCTCATAGTACCTTCAACACCATAACATCAAGGTCTTAGCCTGGCCAGCCCGTTCTCCAGACTTGAACCCCATCGAACATTTATCAGATAACCTCAAAACACGAATAAGAGCACGTCCATCACTTCCTGTTACACTCCACGATCTTGAAAGTATTCTTCGTGAAGAAAGACATTTCCAGACTGGTAGAAAGTATGCCGAGGCGTCTTCGAGATGTAATTAAGACAAGAGGAGCAAATTCGCGATATTGAAATGTTAATTAAAAATCTAAAACAAATTTTATCGGTCTGAGGTTCAATTATTAAACGTTAACATAGTGAAACTTTGATTAATATATAAAAATATAAACAAATCAAGTTATATTACAAACGGGCGGAATTTTTTGCCTGTCAGTGTTTATTAAAAAAATTTTTTTTTTAATATATAAAAATAATACAAATAATATAAGAATGCAGTTTTTTTCTGATATGGGGATTTTAAAGATAGAGCTGTGTATCATCAAATTTTCACAAACGGACGGCTAGATTTTTGCCCTATACCACCCTCCAAGCATACTTAATGTATTGTTTATTATATTAAATAATAATTTTTTTTGTAATTATATTTTATTTTTCTCAGGCCTTCTCTGTGGGTGTACAAAATCAGCTATCTCTGGTATTCCGCGATCGGCTGCTTGTGCACGTTTCTGGTCGGGGCGGCCGTGAGCCTGGCAGCGGGGCCTGAGAGGCCGTACAGGCTCAACCACGACCTCCTTGCGCCGCCTGTCAAACACCTGATGTTCGCCCTCCCGCCCGGTCTCCAGTCCCGGCTTTGGGTCGTCCAGGAAGTCAAAGATCAGGATGTCAAAGAGGTCAAAAGCCCGCCGGCGAACGAGAGCAAAGTAGAGGAGAAAGTTTAGGTTTTCCCCCATTCAAAGGTGATGGTTTTCGATAAATGGGAGTGTGGCAGGAGGAGGACATTTTACTCATAGAAGGATCTAGGCCAGGATTTACTTAAAAATCTTCAGGAGGATGGAGAAAAATGCGAGATGGATTTCATCAAAAGAGAAAAGAGGTTTCTTGGCTGGATAAGGTCATAAGTCAATTAGAGGCAAATTTTCTTGAAGGGTGGAAAGGCTTTGTCCTGGGGAATAAGAACGAAGACGGATCAATCCGGAAATGGTGATAATGGTAAAAATGAACTCGTTATTTAAATGTAGAAAGCCAGAGAAGGTGATCCAGATGGGAGAACATGCGGACCAAGAGCGACTGTGATACATTTTTTTATTATTTAAACAAATTTGTTTGTATTGCCTATATATACATTTCCCCCTCTAGTTTATTTTATATCAACCCTTATTAGGTATAAGATTAAAATTTGTATTTTTTAACTTTTAACAAATATACAATTCTTGCGATGTGAACAAATTAAATTTTTTTTGCCTGTTCTGCCTGATTATGGATTGCAATTAATAGAGCTGTGGCGAGAATGAAAAATGAAATATTTTGTAAAAGACAACACTTGCAAGCAGGAAATCGTAAAGAGCGAGATGTGGTGGTTGGGGGTTGGAAGTTTGGAACGTTTATGAAATTGAATGTTTGGTAGGATTCGTGAATGCGAGTGGTGGTGGTTGATGCAATGTTTCGAGATTGAGTAGGGGTGAGGTGGAGGGAATTGAAGGGAGTTATGGGTGGGAGAGTGTTGTGAGAAGAGTGGCGAGGGCGGTGGGGAGTAAATGAGTTTGTAGGGGATTTGAGGCTGAGAGTGATGTGGTTCTCGGGATATGTAAGTACAAAGTTAACCAGATTGTAGAAGATTAATAAAATTGAGTATTGAAGACTAATTGGGGAATATGCAAGGGCGCGTGATAGTGGAGATGTAGAAAGTTACAAGAGTTATCGGGATATCTCGGGAAAGGTATTTGTAAGAGAGAGTGGTTGAGGGATATACGAACGTTAACAAGTGTGAAAAGAATTTGTAAGAGTGATGGAAGGACAGAAGAGGTTAACGAGAATGAAAGTTTTATAATTGTAAGTGGTAAGGAGATGTAAGAAGTTATCTTTTTAAGAGTGAATGGTGGGGGATGTAAGAAGTTAAATTTGTAAGAGTGAGTGGGTGAATGTAGGAAGTTTAGGAGGGGAAAGGGAGTTATAAGAGAGAGTGGTGGAGGGATATAAGAAGTTAATAATGGTGAAAAGGATTTTTAAAACACGGATGAAAGGGATTTATGAAAATGAATTGTGAGGAAATGTAAAAAGAAGGATAAATTAATAAAACGATGGTGGAGGGGAGGGATGCAGGAAGTTGCTGAGAGTCTATATATATATATATATATTACGCAGGGCGGGCGACCAGGACCCGAGGGGTTAAAAGCCTAGGTAGGCCTACCCCATTGCTGAGAGTCTAAGGGGATTTATAAGAGTGAGAAGTAGAAGAATATAGAGGGTTATCCAGGATGGAAGAGATTTATAAGAATGAGTGGTGAGGAAAGGGGTATGTATTAATTTTACGTGAGTGAGAGCTATTTATGAGAATGAATGGTGGAGATTAGTGTATGAGTGAGTGGTGAGGGGTGTAGAATGTAAGCGATGGTGTTGAGGGATTTGTGAATGTGAATGATAATGAAGAGTCGATTGGAAGAATGCTTTCGTTCCGCGCCTTTTTCAAATAAACCCGGGCTCTCACGACACGGCTTTTATGATCGTCCAATAGACCTGAGATTGAGAATAGGAACTTATTATTTTTCCGACGAGTGTTTTACCGTAGAAAAGATCTTTCTTTTTGAATTCTTAAATTCCCTTCTGACCGACAGGGAAGACAATTTATCAACAAAAACAAGTAGGAAAAGAATAATTTTGTTTTTTCGATTAGAAGGCACGTGCGGCCGAACGCTAGCGCCCGATCTTCGGTAGGCGAACCTTCTCCGTTGACGGCGTAATTCTTTTTTCGCCTGAGACGTCCACGAGTGTTTGTTTGTTTTTCACTAGGAATATTTCTTTTCGACTCTTTTTCCCTTTTGTCGTTGTCTTTTTTTTTAAGTGAAAGACTAAAATAAAAAAAATGGCAAGTGAACAGAAGGAGAACGAGCTGGACGTGGAAGAGGAAGTGTGCGAGGACGAGAGCGGCGAGGAGGCGCCCGGTGAACAGGCGTTGAAGAAGAAAAAGAAAAAGAAGAAGAAGAAGAAAAAGAAACAAGGTAAATGGTAGACGGCTTAACAAAAAAAAAAAAAAAAAAAAATCGAAAAGATAGAAAGAGAGTGGAACCTAGTCGCGAAACGGCGGAAAAAACATTAAAAACCGTGAATTCTCTCTGGGTCCGCCTGTTCTCGCTATTTCGTACAACCCAGCATGTAAAAAATAAAATAGGCCTAGATAAATGAATTGTTTTGACGATTCACTCTGTGTCGGCCATTGACCCCTTCTCGTCATCATCATAGCTTGATTTTAATTAAATTTACATTTGTTGAGGTTCTCGGTGATTCAACGATAGAGGAAATATCATATAACCATTGATCATTTTGTTTTTCACCTATGAGCCAACTCTCAACACTGAGACACAACCCTATCTCAAGAAACTTTTCTTTAAATCAAATTATTTTTATTAATTAATTTTATGCGTTATGGCATTGTCTCGGTGAAAGAATGACAGTTTAAAAGACAGTGTGATCACTTGTGTTGGCAGTTAGACTTTGCTTTGCATTTCCGAGTTATTCATTTTTTTTTCTTTCAGCTGATCAAAACGGAGAAGGTGAAGTGCAGGAACCGACCGAGGTGCAGGGTGATGCTGTCCAGCCTGTTGCGAAGGGCATGCCGAAAGAAGCGAACGCCTCTTCCGGGAAGAAGAAGCAGAAGATGAAGCCACAGACTGACCCACCGAGCATACCGGTATGCGAGCTCTTCGCAAATCAAGGTCAGACATTAGATTACACAGTATCATTTGATTTACAACGTATAATCTCGATTTTTTCCCTCCAGGTGGTTATCCGAAGGGTCTAGAGATGAAATATCCATCTGACGGTCAAATCACCGCAAAACACAGAGTCACGAAAGAGGAAATGAGAGACAAAGAACTCCTCGAATCGGGCTATTTTGAAATTTACAACGACGCCAGGCAGGCCGCTGAGGCCCACCGGCAGGTAATTTTACTGTCTTGACACCACTTTCTCGTTTATTTTCAAAAGTTAATCAATTTATTACTAATTTATTTTTAGACTAGGCAATATATACAGAGGTGGGTGAAGCCGGGCGTGACGGCAATTGAACTCTGTGAAGAGCTCGAGAGGGTTGCAAGGATCATGATCAATGAAAACGGCCTCAAGTCAGGGCTCGCATTCCCAACGGGCTGCTCAAGAAACCACTGTGCCGCCCATTACACGCCCAACGCCGGTGACAAAACTGTAATCGGCTATGACGACGTTACTAAGATAGATTTTGGGACTCACGTGAATGGTGAGTGGCTGTTTACAGCTTTAGTCTAACTTCTAGTTTTTTCTCTCACATTTTTGGTAAAACCTCGAGACATAGTTTTGATTCCTCTCCAGGAAAACTCTTCGCTGGAATGTGGCTTAACAATTTCATATCCTGGAATGAGTGGAGGGGTTTGGATGTGTTGAAAATTAATGATGGTCAAAAGGGATTTATGAGAGCAAGTAGTGGAGGGATATATGAAATTGACAAGGGCCGAAATCGATTTATATGAGAGGGTGTAGTGGTGGTATTTAGGAAGTTTACGAGGGTGAAAGGGATTTACAAACATTAGTGGGGAGGGGATGTAAGAAGTTAACTTTTTAAGAATGAGTGGTGGAGGAAGTACAATCTTTCTTTGTTAAGCCCACTTGTATTAAAGGAATCACTTTATATGTTTTTACTGAACAAACTATTAAAAAAACAGGATTTTGAAAAAAAGGCATCGTGATAACCACATAACATTTTTTTTAAAGGTATGGTTATTGACTGTGCTTGGACGCTGAGCTTCAATCCAGTGTATGACAAACTGATCGAGGCCGTGAGAGAAGCAACTGAGACTGGAATCAAAACGGCTGGTATTGACGTCCAACTTTGCGAAGTCGGAGCCGCGATACAAGAAGTCATGGAGTCATACGAGGTCGAAATCGACGGGAAAGTCTACCCCGTAAAGCCGATTCGGAACCTGAATGGTCACTCGATTGCCCCATACAGTGAGTACATTTTAACCTTTTTGGTATGGTGAGTGAAAATACTTAACCTACATATATTTTTTAAGGGATACACGCTGGCAAGACCGTGCCGATTGTGAAAGGTGGCGAGGCGACCAAGATGGAAGAGAACGAGTTCTACGCCATTGAAACATTTGGCTCGACGGGACGTGGCGTTGTGCACGATGACATGGACGTCTCTCACTACATGAAGAATTTCGACGCCGGTTTTGTACCGTTGCGCAGCCCGACGTCTAAATCTCTTCTCTCGGTCATCAACAAGAATTTCGGCACGCTGGCTTTCTGCAAGAGGTGGCTCGACCGGCTCGGGCAGACACGGTACCAGATGGCCCTGAAGGATCTTTGTGATAAAGGTTCGGTTTTACAATCGCTAACGATTACTTAATGAATAATATTAACGATTTTTTTTTTATTATGTACAGATATTGTTATCGCCTATCCTCCGTTGTGTGATATAAAAGGATGTTATACCGCCCAATTCGAGCACACGATCGTACTTAAACCGACCTGCAAAGAAGTCATAAGCAAGGGCACGGATTATTGAGGACGATGCGTTGACAAAGAGGAACTGGGAAGACATTTAAAAATTAAAATAAATATATTAATAACAATTAAAAAACTGCTATCATTTTTTGTTGCTCTCAAGTGAGAAAGTGTTAAATTGAAAGAAAGGAAAAAAAGTTGAATTCTATCATGGGCACTGTGAAATCTGTTTGCGCATTTGATAGAGAAAGAAAAATTTTTTTTTTCAATTTTAATTTGTTAACTGATTTATTAGTTTTTATGAATATAAGACCATCCTGTTCAGATTTGTTGTTTTGTTGTTTTCTAACTCCCCCCAGGGCATTATGTTAATTAGTTAAAAGCTGCTGTTAAAATAATCAAAAAAGAATCCTTTTGTAAAAATTTTGATACAGGATAGAACTGGTTGAGATTTTTGTACCCAGTTAGTCGATGATGTCTCGTATTATGGTATAAAAAGCTCAGGTGTACTTTGAAAGTATCAAATTTAAGCTAGGTTATATTAACAAAACCCATCCAGATTCAAATGCTGATTGGAATCGGACATAAATAGCAATGGGGAACCGTACAGTCGAGATCCCTATAAAGAAAAAAAAAAAAAAAAAAAAAAAAAAAAAAAAAAAAAAAAAAAAAAAAACGATGTCAGAGCAGCAAACTTCACAGATTCCTCCCGATGACGTACAAAGAAAATCAAAATTAGGTTTCGATTTGGGCATAACTTATGTAGGGTGGAATATTTAATCTAGAGTATCCCTGTGGGGGACTGGAATGTGTTAATAATCTTTATTTACGGCATGTAATGCCAATCACAATATACATTTATACATCATTACATATTACATACTTGCTTATGCAGCTTTTGCTGTTGTATCTAATAATATCAAAAGCAGTAACTTTTGAAAGACGTATTAAGGAGATTAAGAATTTTCAAGACATACTCAAAGCTGTATCTGTGGATATCTAAGTACAACATATAACAACTACAAGATGAGAAGAGGAGGCCAAAAAGCTTTTTGGTAAAAACATCTAGAAGTTTCTCAACTATGTCACTGTTTATACCCCCATGCATAGAAAGCACACACCTAGATGATTATTATTATTATTATTATTACATATGTCAAGTTTAGCTTTCAGTGTGATGCAATTTAACATTAAGCCAGCCCGAATTCTGTTAAATCCCAATCGTACAAGGGGACGACCAGGTTGGTGTGTCATGGATTTGGTCCAAACTTGACTTGGTATCTATATAAATAATATTTTTTTAAGTTTTGCCAAATGTTCTGAACTAATGGATTTTTGGAGTACAGGGAATTGCTTGAAATGCACTATAAAAATTAGAAAATATAAAACAAAAATGAAAATTTTATATTTGGTTCTTTGACTTCTGCCCCCACTCCATGTTCGATTACCATGTTTATTGTTTAGTAACCATTATGTGTACCATGTATTAGTAGTGGTAACCCATTAAGCCCTCTGTATTAGTCTGAGTTTTTATTCTGACGAACATCTTCTGTTATTTTTTATATTGTAAATCAACTTTTTTTTTATATTTACGGATATATTATTTTGATATTAAATTTGGTCCAAAATTGGTTTTTATCTCGAGCCCAGTGACTTAACTGTTTTCCATCTGCCCTTCTTATTTTTGCCATTTCCGCTCTAAGTTAAAGTGGAAATTTTAAAAGATATTTTAATTCTTCAATTCTTTAAATTTGATGTTTGTTTCTAAATTAAAAAAAGAATATATAAAAAATTCTTTGGATGAAATAAAATCAGCCTTCCACGCTCGACGGTTACTTGATAAGATAACCTTCCCGGCGGATAACCGGCAACCTGCAAATTCTTAGTGATTGTAATTCTCGTCGTTTCATCTATCCCTACGATCCCTTTTTTACCACGGACTAGCCGACTGATCGTCCCGACATAGATCTTCCACTTTTCCCTTTTTTTTTTCAAATCTTTAAAAATAAAAATTCAAATTGAAAACAAACGGAAAAATTCCAGAACATTAAAAACTTTACCGACCAAAATTCATCCGTGAGAGATGGACGAAGAGAATGAGGATAACTCCAGCTTGTTCGAAGAGGATTACTATGCATTTTTAAACGTGCCTAGAGATGTATGTACCAGAGAATTTTAACTAACCTTTTTATTTTGTCCCCTCATCTACGTTTTCCCATTCTGGTCAAGGAAAAAAAATCGAAGTTTTTCTTCATTTTCATTCGTTGAAAAGTTGTTTCCTTCCAAACCGTCCTGTTTTCCCATAAGTTCTGCACACACTCACAGAAATTGAATTAAGATGTACTAAACGATATACAGTACATTTATAAAACAAAAACTGTTTAAACCCTTTAAAATTTGATTATTAAAAAAAGAGGGAATTAAAAAAATACAAATTTTCACTGAAAATATTAAAATAAAAATTTAGTTTACAGGTTAGCCAATCGACAGAAAAAAATCCAATGCAGTGTTGCCAGCTGTTCATGATCTTATCATTATTTATAAAAAAAACTTAATTATCTTATTATTATTTAATTAAAGAAAAATAACGTAAAAAAACAAAACAATCTTATTAATTTTTTGTGTCGTTCAGGCGTCCACTGAAGAGGTGACGAATGCATACCGCCGGCTCAGCCGTCTCTACCACCCAGACAAGCACATCGACCCTGTACAGAAGAAAGACGCCGAGGTACTTTTCAACAAGACGAAAAAAGCATACGAAGGTGAGTCGCTTGATTGTTGTATAGTAGTACTCGCTGTTAAACAATGCATTGGCCGGCAGTTCTCAGGGATGCGCACAAGAGGGCGATATACGACTCCGTCGGTGTCAAGGGTCTCGAGACAGAAGGGCTCGAGGTCATGCAGCGCACTAAAACGCCGGGAGAGATACGAGAAGAGTATGAAAGACTAGCGAGGTTCGTTTTTATGTCGTTTTGTTTTATTTTTTATTCCGGGATTTATAAGCCATTCTTGAACATTGGAACAGCCAGATCGTAGCGAGAGTTCTTCGTAATTTCAAAACATTTTCAACTTGAACCCTCTTCGGTGCAGGTACTGTATGGTGTATCTGTACTGAAAGGTGAAAATGTTTTGGAATTAAAAAGGAGTCTCACAATGACCTGAAAAAACAACAAAAAAGAAATAATAAACTTATTGGTATTTATAATTAATTAAGGCTAAATTTAGTAAATAAACAATTTTGTTTTAAAGGCAAAGGGAAGAAAGGCGTTTACAGCAGAGGACAAACCCTAAAGGGAGCGTAGTTGTCAATATTAACGCAATGGAGCTGTTCAGCCGTTACGAGACAGACCTTGAATATGACCTGTATGAAATCCACATTTTTTTTTTTAACAAAACATTGAGTGGAGTTTTTGCCCCATAGGGATGATGGTTTTCCTACAATCGAAGTGTCTGGGATGTCGGTGACTCAGTCCATTGAAGCGCCGCTCACTGCGAAGGACACGGCGACCATCGCTGGCCACCTCAATACGCACAACGGAACTGGTGAGTGTGGCAGGCATGATCGGAACAAAAAATCAAGTCTGTCGGTATACCATGATAATACCTTTTTCTAACTTGGTTTCAGGCTCGGGTAATCTGACCATAACAAACAAACGCCAGCTGTCTGAGAAAGGCTGGGTAGAGCTGTGCGTGGGCGCCGGCTCAGGCCCGGTCCTCGGCCTCAAAGGGTTCCGGACCCTGGGCAAGAGGGCTTTCTGCCAGGCAGATACGTTCCTACAGTTCGGGAACAATGGTGTACGCACCGGACTCGATACAAGTGAGTACTGTTAGTGCTGAACGATCTGATTCGCTTTCTTGTTGTTGTTTTTGTTTTCCAGCCGTGGCAATGCAGCTGGAGAAGTCGATAATGGGTTACCTGACCTGGAGGACCGGATCGACCTCCTCCATGTCAACATCAATCATACGCAACACCGACAATTCTAATACAAATATCACCGTGCTTCTTGGTAATATTTATTATATTGTATGTAATAATAATAATAAATAATAATAATAAAAGCGTTAAGTCCAGTGTATGCCAGAGTTCAAGTCAGATGCCCTAATCAATGAACCACCGCAGTCCCCATAATTTATACAATGGATTTTTTTTTTTTTTTCAGGGATTCCACATTCATACATCTCGCTGGGATTCACTTGGAATTTCAAGACTCCCGAAGTGAAATTGAAATCGTCCGTCAAGTAAGTATATACACGTATTTTTGGTTCGTCTCCTGAGATAAATAGTTCTTGTACTGTAGAGCTGGGACATTCGGTGCAGTCCTCGAGTACGGTGCAGAGCGCAAAGTCTCTGAACAGAGTTCCGTCTCAGCTTCGGTCAGCCTCGGAACACCGACAGGCGTGGTACTCCGCCTACGTTTTACCAGGGCGTCGCAGAGCTACCTTTTCCCAATACAGCTGTGCGACGAGGTGCTACCCAGCCCCGTATTCTATGCCACAGTCACTCCCCTTCTCACTTGGATCATTGTCAAGAAGCTTATAATCGACCCGATTGTCTGCGAACAGACAGAAACCAAACTCCAGAAGCAGAAAGACACTTATAAAAACCGGTATTTGATTTTTAACATAACCAGTCTTTTTTTTATTGTTTTTGATTTTTAAAAATGTAATCACATATTCAGTATGGCGGAGAAGAGGAGGGAAGCTCAAGCAGCGACAAACCTTATGTCCGTCACATTTGCTCGCATCAGAGCGGAAGAGGAGGCGAGAAAAGGACTGGTCATCGTGTCCGCAGAATACGGTAGAATCACCGCACCAACTTCAGGCGTGTCTTGTAAGTTTTCAGCCTAACTATTAAGAATAACAGTTTTAATTTTTTTTTTTTTTTTTTTTTCCAGCGACAGATGGTCGTTCAGAGGAAATTATAGACGTCACAGTTCAACTCCAGTGCTTGGTCAAAGACTCCAAACTAGTCATCCATAACTCAACAAAGGTAATTATTGAAATTATAATTTAGAAAATAAATTATTACGGATGAAAATGTTCCCAGAGCCAGTTGCCGGGATTTTATGACCCTTGTGTCGGTGAGGACAAATGCCTCTGTGTCCAGTATCTCTTTCACAACCACCTACACCAAACGACGATCAGCGACAACGAGGCCCTCCGGATACCACGACAATGTAATAATAATAATAATAATAAAAAATAATTCAAGTATTCATTATACTGATCTCTGTTTTATGTTTTCAGCACATCGTGTCAACCCGACATGACAGTGGATGGTGACGGACGTCTAGAAAAAAAGGAAACACATAGACACACCCGATCCAATAGTTGCTTGAAGGCAAAAGAAGATTTAAAAACAACAAGAAATAATTTGCCATCTTCCACAATTATCGAAAATAAAAAATATATGAGTTTTGATGAAAGTGCAAATGTTTAAAATTATGATAGTCCAGAAAATTGTTGAAAATAATAATAATAAAATTAGCAGCTGGATAAATTGTATTGGTAGTAATAATAACTAGTTTTTGTTGTTGAAAAAACAAACAAACTTCACCTTGTTTATTTTAGCCTTTTTCTACATTAAACAATTATAAGAAATTTTACGGTACACAGTTTCAGTTATAAGACAAACCCTATATGTAAAAAAATTGTTTTTCAAATTACATAGTAAGGCAGGCTCACTGTAATCCTCCTTCTATGTTTTGTCTATTGTTATCGGCTATAGTGTACCCAGGATAGAGGTCACAGTCATAAGCGGTATGTACTGTTGTACATAGTTTTTCTTGACACAGACAACATGTTTCTGTGTCAACTTTGTCCATCTTGTTTAGATGGTGATTAAGAGGGCCTGCGATTTTCATAAAATCTGGCCTACTGAGATATAGTGAATGGATGTGGAAAAGAGACCGTGAGATATTAGGGAGAGAGAGCAGAGAGAGTTGCAGAAGGGGAGAAAGAGAGTGAGCCAGAGAAGGGGCGAGAGGGTGAGTAAGAGAAGTGGAGAGGGAGAGAATATGTGTGTAAGACAGAGAGATGAGTGTGGAAGAGAATGAGAGAGAGAGAGAGTGAGCCAGAGAAAGAGAGAGAGAGAGAGATCGAAAAATGTTGTATTTTTTTTCGATGCAAATCGATCTACTGAGTCGATTGGAAAAGGAATTGAGTACGTAATTCACGTAGTTTTCGAAAAAAACCAAAAGTTTTTATTGTCTTTTTGGATGTAAAAATTTTTGTTTCTCGGTTTTTGGACTTTTTCTCGAAAATTACATGGTTTACGAGCTCAATTCCTTTTACAATCGACTCAACAGGTCGATTTACATCGAAAAATTCAATAATTTTTTTCGATATTTTTCGTTTTTTTCAAGCTTCAAAAATTACGAGCTTAATCCTTTTTCTAATCGACCCATCATGTAGTTCTACACTGAAAAATTCAATAAGTATTTTTGCGTTTCCCCGAAAACTACGTGTCGACCAGCTCAATTCCTTTTCCGATCGACTCAGCAGGTCGATTTACATCGAAAAATTCAATAATTTTTTCGATTTTTCCGGTTTTTTTTCTCGCGAAAATTATGTTTTTATGAGCTCAATACTTTTTCCAATCGTAGTTTTACATTGAAAAATTCAATAATTTTTTTTTGTTTTTTAGCGATTTTTTTCCTTTCGAAAACTACGCGGTTGATGAGCTCAATTTCTTTTCCAATCGACTCAGCAAATTGATTTTCATCGAAAAATTCAATAATTGTTTTTCGATTTTTTTTTCGGCGGGAAAACTATCTTTTTATGAGTTTAATATTTTTTCCAATCGAGCGATCAGGTAGTTTCTCATCAAAAAGACTAACTTTTTTTGCGTGTTTTACGTACGTGTTTTACGAGCTTAATTATTTTTCCAATCGACCCCATCAGGATTTTACATAAAAAAGGCAATAAAATTTTTTCTTTCAATCAAGCCATCAGGTAGCTTTACACTGAAGAGTCAATAATTTTTATTTCTTTTTTCTCCAAATCTCCATGCCCAATTCTTTTTCCAATCGACCTCATCAGGTATTTTATATAAAAAAGGCAATACAATTTTGTCATTCAATCAAGCCATCAGGTAACTTTACATTGAATAGAAAATACAATTTTAAAAATTTTTTTTCGTTTTTCTCGAAATCTCCATGCCCAATTCTTTTTCCAATCGATCCATCAGGTAGTTTTACATCGAAAACGATAATAATTTTTTTTCCGTTTTTCTCGAAAACTACTTGGTTTATCAGCCTTATTTATTTTTCCAATCGCCCCCATTAGGTATTTTACATAAAAAAAGGCAATACAATTTTTTCATCCAATCAAACTATCAGGTAGTTTTACATAAAAAAGACAGTAAAAAATAGTTCGATTTTTTCCATTTTCCGCGAAAACTACGTTTTTTATGAGCTTAATTCTTTCCCCAATCGACCCAGCATGTCGTTTTCAATGAAATAAGATATTTAAAAAAATCTTTATTTTAGTTTTTTGCGTTTTTCTCAATATTTTCGTGGTTTCGAAACAGACTCAGTGACTTTGTACTCGCAGACGAAAGCCATCATCAACTTCAACTTAATATTATTATACATTACTATATAAGAATATAAGCCGACTCCAGTTTTCAACAAATTCATCAATTAAAAGTAAGCTTTTAAAAATAGAGAAAAAATAAAATACTTCTGGTTTCACACGAGCAGCTAAAAAACATTTCTACTTTAAAAAATCGATTTTAATTGGACTGATATTAAGACATCTTGCCTGTAATTACATTTCATTAAACTTTAATAAAAATAATTATAAAAAGCCAGTTAGCTTAGATATTCATTCTTAGGTTAAATTGTGACCTATATGTACGTAAACGTGTTTTAGACATGCTCGCTATTAAATAATAGAAAATTGGCACGTGCCCCGGTTTGAACACAGCCCTGGGAAAAATATCTGAACATTTCATCACAAATCCGAAGACCCTTCGAAATCGCCAGATAAAGGCTTGAACTAGAACTATAAATAGGGTAACTATAATAGGGCTAATGTGCTATCCATCAGCCCTTTGTTCCTGCCATCTGCAACATACGCCGGTCCCGGCCCCGAATTCTAAAGTCGAACTGAGTCATAGTCATTCGGGATAATATGATGGGAGCTAATGCCCTCTCTGTGTAAAGTGTAAAGTGCAAAGTGAATCCGCAGGGGTATTATTAAGATTTCTCGAACCGCGCCTTTCTACAAACACTTCCTCCCTTGTCAAGGCACCCTTCAATTAATACGTGAAAGCCATTCTTTTTATTTATTTATTTTTTTTTTCCAGTCAACGTATATGTTTCAGCATAAATATCACTTATTGCGGTACACACAAAAAGAGTAGGCGACGCTCGGTGGCTGGAACTGTAGGCATCGTACTTACTTAAAATGTCATGCCCTGAAGATGACCCGAATAAAGGTCGAAACATCGGTAAAAGAATGGAAAAGTACCCCGTCTTCTGCTGATACAAATCTCTGTTAGGGGGGGGGGAAGTACTGGCTACTCTTATCAGCTCATTTAGAATGAACAAGAGCAAAAGTACTATTCTTTTATGGCGATTACTAAGTACATATTATTTATTTTTTCCTGCGATGCAAATCAGTGTACCACAACATTACATTTTGTGTCTAACATTTCATTACATTTTTGAGGCCCCATAATAAAGTGGAAGGTTTATGGGCCGACAAACAGCTGAGGTCATCGCCGGCCCTCCGCATGTATTCCTTCTCTTTCCTGTCTTTCTCGCGTATTTTGTATTGAACTGCAGCCATTTGAGCATCTCGATCTGGTTACTGACTCTCTGCTTTTACTTGTATATTACGTCGTTATTTTAAAAAGCTAGCCTCTTGTTAGTACCTCAGGTTGTCAATTTAAGAATTGATACACAACATACAATACATAACATATACATCGCCACAAACATAGAAGTCTGGTCACATTCACTCCCCCAGAGTACTCGACATTCCTCGGGGCGGGGCCGAACCCACTCCATTCGCGCTAATAACTTACTTTTACTCCCCAGACGTCACACACTCACCCCAGAGTACTCGATATTCCTCGGGGCGGGGTATTGAGGCCCCATAATATTTCTCTTCTGGGTTAGAGCTTACAAGAAGAACTTTAATTTGTAGAATTCAATTTAAAGTTTAATATGAAGAATAAAGTTATTCAGGAACATCATTTAATGTACTCTTCATTATATTTATGTTCTGTCCGACTTCAAATAAAAAACATAACATTTGTGGAAAATGCGCACATTAGTCGCGTTTCAATGTTTACTGATCTTATACCAGCAGGCTGAGTCGACTTGAACTAAAACTGCAAACTACAAAAAAATAGGCTTGAGCTAAATAAATGTGATAGGGGTATTCACGATCTTTGTATTAACCCTGTTAACTCTGTTAGGTCGTGTTAGATCGAGAAAAATGATGAAGGAGACTTGGAAGAATCGGCTAGTTAACATTGCTCGATCTAACAGGCCAGAGCCAATGTTAGATGTTAGGTCGAAAATGTAGTCATATTGCTAGGTAACCAACACGGCAGCCAAGAATTTAACAGCTGTTTTTTGTTTACACGCATTTTTATTCTTAGATACGCATTAATTAAATCAGACCAATACATTTTTTTGTTGATTTCTGTCCTGTCATACTCTTATTCATAATAGGTACATCATCCCCTATCCTATAAAGTAGTAGGATGTTACACGTTAGGATACAAGTTAGGTATGTCGGCACGAATTGAAGCGTGTCATTTGTTAGTACACGCTTCTAGCATTTTGAATGAAAGAGTTGATTAATTTTCCTTTTTTATTAACCTCTGACATCTTACAATTTAACACAACACAAAAACAAAACAAACAATAACAAGCTTTCAAGGTCTGTTATAGCTTTATTTTGGGTTCTACCAGTCGGCACTGGCAGCATTGCGGAAAAATTAACGTTTAACGTTCTAAAGATATAACATAAAGGTTATTTCCTATAATTTGCTACATTTTTCTGTTAATTTCGTTAATTCTGATGTATATATATATATTACACAGGGCGGGCGACCAGGACCCGAGGGGTTAAAAGCCTGAGTAGGCCCGTACCCCATCCCTAGAAGGTCCGGGACCTGGTCGGCTCACGAGTCCTGTATAAACCTATTGGACCTATTCACAAACCCCAGGATTGTGGACCATTTTATCCTGGGGAGTGTTTTGGTTATGTCCTCTCCTTCGAAAGTATTAAATCTTTCCCTAGCATACCTATCGCATTCTGCGAGGTAGTGTCGGGCCGTTTCTTCTTTTGTTTCGCAGAAGCGGCAGAAGGGGTCTGGTAGAGTACCCATTATGAAGAGGTGTCTTCTCAAGGGGCAATGGCCCGTTAGGATACCT